AGACTTTATGTTTGGGAGGAAAATGGTTATAATCTTCTATCTTAGATGGGGGGTCTGGTTTAACATCACAAACACATGGAATCTCGGGTTTCAAATATGAGCCATGAAACCAACATTTATAAGATTGTTGTGTTGTTCTCGCCATAACTGCAAGTTTTTTCCAAAGCCACTAGCGCATGAAGCAATTCTCAATTAACAAAAGGGCTGTGTTTCTAAATTTACATTGTTTTAAACTGGGGGCATACTTTCCTTAAAATATACATGATTGTTAAGAATTGAGGTATTACAGCTCTGGTTGGTGTGGCTCAGTGGATTGAGTGCCAGCCTATGAATCAAAGGGTTGCTGGTTTGATTCCTAGTCAGGGCACATGCTTGGTTTATGGGCTAGGTCCCCAGAAGGGGGCATATGAGAGGCAACCACACATTGGTGTTTCTCCCTTTCTTTCTCCTTCCCTTCTCTAAAAATAAATTTTAAAAAATCTTTTTAAAAATTGTGGTATTGCTTATGTTCAGTAAAAGGCACTAATTTTAAGTGTTTGATTTGATGAATATACCGAAGTAATCAACCACATCAATGTAAAGCACCTAAAAGGCTCCCTCATGCCCCTTTCTGGCCAATAACCTCTATTCTGAATTCTACCATCAGAGATTAGAGTTTTAAAGTAACTTTTGTATTGATACAGAACAGACATATTTAAGTGCGTGAAGGGAACTAATCTCAAGGAGAGAGAGAATACTGAAATACGTATACACCCTTAACTGCCACCCAGTGCAGTGCATTGGACATCTTCACACCCCAGGAGGCTGCGTCGTGCCCCTTCCTGGTTAATCACTGGCTCTCCCAAAGTAACCACTATTCTTAGTCACCGTCACTTAATTTTGCCTGTATGCACTTGTGTCTGGCTTTTGTTCTACACTGTGTTGTTTTTTAACAGCAGTTCATCTTTTGTTTTTTATTGCTCTATAGTATTTATGACTATAAACTTACCACATTTCTCATTTTGCAACTCTGTTGATGGACATCTGGCTTATTGCCAATTTGGGGCTATTATGAGTAAAGCTGCTAGAAACAGCCTTGTATGTACCTTCTGATAAACATTATACTCATTTCAGTGAGGTACAGGAAGTTATTCTATTGCATTGCTTTTGGGTGAAAATGTTTTCTGAATCTCAGACCTGGAGACCAGAAACCCATTTCCTATGTATAGTACATTAGAGGGGACCCTTCCTGCCTTCTTTCTTAGCACCAGAATCACTAAAGTTAAGGATATTCTGGCTTTGGCTTTCATTGGTATATCTGGCCTATTTAAAACTGAGTAAGATAAATCCCTGACTACACTTACAGTAAGGACAACTACTATTCTGTAGGTGATATTTGTTTTCTTTCTGGTTGTCAGCATCTAAATCCCGTCATGCTTTTTGGGAATTCCCCAAGTGACCAATCTGGCAAGTGACTTAGGTTCCATCAATACACTTCTTGCTGAATCACCTGCATCTGAGTCATGAGGGTACCAGGATCATGGGATGCTAGGGTTGCCGGTGCTTTGGTACACAGAGGGCAGCAGGAGAGCTGTTCTCCTCAGATAGGATTTCAGATGCTATTTTGGACATTGTTCCTGTTGCAAAGCCTCTAGCTCAGTTCTCCAGCCTGCCCAGTAATTCTGCTATCTAGACAGATGGTAATAAATTTTTCTCCTTAAATCACACAGCTCAGGTTTCTGTGGCTTATAACTGAGAATCCTGATAGCTAAACTCTCCAACTAAAATTCCCTACATAATGATTATAAATATTTGTTTTAATTGGTAACACAAAAAGGTTTTGTGTAAAAAGAGGAACCTTGTATGCTACTTACAATTCTTACTGTCTTGGTAAATGCAATAATGTTAGTTCCTCCAAAGTAAGCACATGGGAGTTATCCACTAAACAAATTACAGGGCAAATAGAATTAAGTCTTTACATACCTGGAGGAAGAATGCACGGTAAGTTCCTTGTACCTAGGGATCTTTCCCTGCTCCTTAATAAAGAAAGTAAAGTGCCAAATCTGTGTCTTGTTAACTGGAAAATGCTGTTCCTAAGCCTCCTCCTCTTTCCTCCTGTTACACAGCCAGAGGACCTAATGGCTGCAGCAAGTCGATCAGCTGAAGTGGAACCGTGACTGGACTGTGCCAATGCTACTGTGTAGCCAGTAGGCTGTACCAGAATATACAGACCCTCAAAAGAAGCCTTGATTATATAACACTCACTAACAGCTCAAGTTATTAATAATGACCTGTACTTCAACTAATGAAAAGTTCTTTCTGGTAACATCAGAACAAAACACATAGAACTAAATGTAAGGATTTTGATAGATCTTTGTGGTTTACGATGTGATTTCAGATACTTTTGTCTCATCTGTTCCCACTGCTCAGGGGAGTTGAGTGAGGCTTAAACCCACATCCAGCTCCCATTCCTTGCTTTTTTCTACCATATGATAGGAACACTGATAACTTTAAAATAATAATGTAACTAAACAGCGTTAAAATGAAATAGGAAACAAACTCTAAGTTCAGAAAAATCACATTATTTAATTAAAACACAAAACACACCATACAATAGAATTGAAAAGCATTTTGTTAATACCAAAACTTTTTTCTATAATATGCTTATGTAAATATAGGGTGAGGCAAAAGTATATTTTATAGTTGTATTTGAAAGTTTATTCTTATATTATCGTATTATTTTCCAAACTGTAAACCTACTTTTGGCCCACCCTGTAAAAACCTAAGAAAAGAATGGAAGGATATGTTCCAAAATATTAATAGCAGCTATCTCTGGGGCAGGGGGAAGAACAATGGGTAAGCTTATTTGTGTGTATTTGGAAGAGTGTGTGCTTATCTTCATTTTCTATATATTCTATAATAAATGCATTACCTATATACTTTCTGAAAAAAGCTTTTGCCATTGTTATTAAATAGTCATTTTGATATTCTGCCTTTCAAGTAGTCAACTCATTATCTAGCTCAATGAAAACTGTATTTGAATATCCAGCCACCACTTACTGAGCAAGCACCGTCTGGTACTTTACATACAATAGTGCATTAATTTTCACAATTTCATCAGGCCGTATTATTATCACCAGATAAGAAAGCCGATGCTCCAAGAAGTTCACCTGTCAAGATCACTCAGTAGGAGCCGGAGCCGTGGTTGTGGCAAGCCCAGAAGCCCCCGCTCTCTGTCTGCAGGGCTGCCCATCTCTCCTACCTGGGACCCTCCCTTGGTTCCCCATCACACGCTGGTGCAGCCTCTCCAATCCTCTTCGTGAAAAACAGATTTAAAGTATTACAGGGGACAATTTAGAAATAATTATATGTATCATAAAAAGACTGGAAGGATATGCTCCAATGCTTTTATACTCATTTTTCTTTTTTTTCTCTTTAAAATTTTTTCCACAATACTTTTTTTCTTTTAGATAGATGAGAGTCAGAAAAAATTACAGATTTTTCTTACATTATCTTTTGAACATTGGTGCATCTCAGTATCAGGTTTATTATGCAAACCATTTGTAGAAACACGCATAAAAATGTGTACTTCATCATCAACCCCTTGTCTTCTCATTCAGATCTCGTTAGACAATAACTGCAAGGTCTCCGTTTAATACTCTGTTTTCAATGCTACACCACCACCTGTTCAATGGAAGCATCTGGCACATAAATAGGAAATGCAAGTGAATAAATGAAGAATATACACTTTCCTCTTTCCAAGTTTTTGACACACTGACATATTCTCATATGGTGTTTCAAATTAGAATATATGTTAAAGTCAGGTGGAGGGAAAAAATGTATAGGGAGTTATCTTTGCTTCTGAATCTCGCACCTTGCCACATGTGGCTGTTATGGGTTGAAGTGTGTCCCTTCATCACCGAAAGATATGTTGAAGTTCTAACCTCTAATACCGCAGACTGTGACGTTATTTGGGAACAGGGTCTTTGCAGGTGCAATTAGTTAAGATGAGGTCATCCAGGGGAGGGAGGAGGGTGGAGGTGGAAGAGGGTATAGGAGGGATAAATGGTGATGGGAAAAAAATTGCATAGTCAATGAGAAGAAGGAAATACATCAAATATTAACAGCAGTCACCTCTAGGCAGTGAGATTATTGGTACTCAAAATTTTTTCTTATCCTCTGCTTTTCCAAAAATTCCTACAACTTGCATGTACTTATTTTGTAATTAGAAAAAGATTTTTTAAAAAAATTCCAGTATATTTGAGGCATTTGAAAATTAATAATGGCTCTTATCCATATTGCTTGTTATACTGAACTGAATAAATACATGCTGTCTTGAAAAAAAGAGATGAGGTCATCCTACTGAGGGTGAGTCACTAATTCAACATGACTGGTGTCCTTATGAGAAGACAGCTGTGTGAAGACAGAGGATTTAGGTGATACCTATACAAGAAAAGGGACATAAAAGATTGCCAGGAAACCACCAGAAACTAGAAAGGATTCCCCAATAGGTTGCAAAGGGAGCTTGGCCTTGCTGACATTGTGATTCAGACTTCTAGCCTGCAAAACTGAGAGACAATAAACTTCTGTGGTTTTAAGCACCACTTAGCTTGTGGTACTTTTAATGGCAGTCTGTGGAAAGCAACACAGTGGCCTTGACATTGAATTCTTACAAATAATGGGGGAGGAGAAAATAGCCACCTCAATGTCATGACCTACAGGTTTTCAATGATTTTCCAGTTTATTTTATGATAATGTTAAACATATTCAAGAACACGCGCAATCAACACAAAAATGCTAGAAAACCAAAACAACAGGTAACTAAAATTTTAATATGCCTAGGTACTGACATACAAATTTTTAAGTTCAGTGTTACGACATTGGTTTTAAAAAAATAGCATTTACAATTATAACAAAATCAAGTTTTGCAGAGTTAAATTTCCTTAACAGTTCATTTCAATGTTAATCTACTAAAAAGGAATTCTTTTCTTTTTTTTTTTTTTTTTTTTTAAGCATTGGTATTAAGTGAGATGTGAGCACGGGGCCCAGCTCATAAAACAGAAAGCGAAGCTGCTCTAGCTGCGGCGGGCTTCCAGGGGCCTCACGCTGCCCTCGGGTCGCCCCCTAAGACTCTCAGGGTCCTATGCACAGTCAGAGGACCACGGCATTAAAATACTAACCACACACAGTCAGATTTCACTGACAAAGGAAAACTAGGAGGTTCATTTAGGAACCAACACTTTTTAACCCTCTGCTTTTCCATGTTTTTCTGTGGTTTCACTTTAGAAAATTCTTTGAATATCGACTGTTTGCATGGCAGGTATATTAAGCAGAAATTGTATTTCTATACCTGGGGAATTACAAGACCGGTGCTGCTGTACAGCCTCCAATAACAATTTTTTTTTAAACTTTTTAAGGCAGTTCATTGTTCATACTAATAAAAATAAAACATTTCTCTTGAGTAAAGTCCCAAAGCCAAGATAATTCTTGGGACGATGAAGCTTCCCAGTAAATGAAAGGGGGATTCTAAGTAAAGGTATTGTCATGGGGCCTGAGGATAAAAGTCTGAACAAGAGAGAAAATGCAGTAACATTCACACAGTCCTGTGTGATGTGACGTGTACAGGAACGGCTGGGCTGTGGAGGTGTGTGCACAGTGATACTCATTAAAGATGGGGAGTCTGTGTTGGACCCCAGTGGGCACAAAACTACAGGGAAGCATCTGCTTAAGGCTACGTACGGTTAGTTATTAATAGCCCAAAGGGGTCATGAGACACTTGGCTTTTTGGTTAGCTGGTTAGGGTTGCTCATTAAGGATCTTTCCTCGAGACATTCTAGGTAGTTTATTCACTTCACAAACATTTCCACAGATTTCACAAACAACAATGTAGTGCTAACAATGTGCCAGACTCTGTTCTAAGTACTTTGCAAATATTAACTCATTTAATCCTCCTAACAACTCTATGAGGTAGGTACTATTATTAGCCCTGTTTTATAGATGAAGATATAGGCACAGAGAGATTAAGCAACTTGCCCAAGATGATCAGGCTTCAAAATGTTTATCTTGCATCCAAACCCCTTTCAAGGGAAAACAATGACACCTGCTGCCAGGAAGAGAAGTTTGTCCTAAAAAAATCTTAAGAACCCACTTGAGTCAAAAAGGTAAAATTGATACTCTACAGCACCAGAACTGATACTCTACTCGCTCTCACACCTGAGAATGTGATCTCTAAATCACTTTTAATTTCAACATAAACTGTACACAGATGAATACAGGACTTCCTCCACTCTTTCTGAAATGTTGACGTGAAATCATAGTTTTAACATTGCATACCAGCTAAACCAACTAGACACTAATTCAGGAAGCACTTGCTTCTCTGTCACAGAGACTAACATAAAAAAGAGTAAATAAATATGAAGTTTCATATTAAAAAGTGGTTCCAAATAATGTTTAAGAATAACCTTGTACATCCCAATTCATTACTTTATCATATTCTTGAATTCTTTCCTTTATGTGAGAAAGTTTATTCTTTAGATAATCACAGCGTTCTTTTTTTTCCAGAAATGTAGGATCCTGGAAAAGAAACATAGTTGATCTATCAGCATTCTGCCTCCTCAGCAAAAAAAAAAAAAAAAAAACACAGACACATATGTTATCATCCAGAAAATGACCCTTCCTAGAATATTTTCCTGCAGCAGATTTCAAAATCTGCCTTATTAGAAAACCAGTTAAGTTGTCCACAAGGTTTTTTGTAAACTTTATTTTTTAGAATAGTTTAAGGTTCACAGCAAAGTTGAGAAAGGCACCTTTAACTTTAGTAGTTTATTCTGTTAAAAAGATTTTATTTATTTATTCTTAGAGAGAGGGGAAGGGAGGGAGAAAGAGAGGGAGAGAAACATCAATGTGTGGTTGCCTCTCACACACCCCCTACTGGGGTCCTGGCCCTCAACCCAGGCATGTGCCCTGACTGGGAATTGAACCGTCAACCCTTTGGTTCACAGGCTAGCACTCTACCTACTGAACCACACCAGCCAGGGTTAACTTCAGTAGTTTAAAATACATAAAAAGTGAATAAGTATAGAAACGTTTAATAAAAGCTCTCTCTGGTCTCTACTGATTTGTGCAATTAAGGATGGGGTTGGGAACATGTAAATAACCTCATGTTTCTGAAGGAAATGTGGGTGACGAGTTCTGCATCAGTGCTCATTTCTCTAGGGGGCTCAATAAGGACCGAACAGAAAGTAATCAGAACAGAGATGAGAAGAAAAAGCCTAGTGCGTACCCCCACTGCCTAACAAGGAGCATCTTAAGAAATACAAAAAAAGAACTGTTTTAGCTGAAAGAATCTAAAGTCTGTCAGTGGCATCCACTGTACCTGGATAAGAATATACTTTGAAGAAGAAAATGGTTTCACTCACCCTCTTTTTTTTCTTATACTCTTCATGGATTCTTGAAATTCTCTCATGTTCCTGAAAACAGTATATTATACACCTGAATTAAAAACTTGCATTTACTCACATATCTCAAGAACGGCTCAAAGTACACTGAGAATTAAAACAGAAAACCATTTTTACCTAAGATTATAATGACAATATTCACACGTAAGAATCTGATTCACCGGACAACATCTGAGGACTTACGATCAGCCAGGCAGTGGGACTGAGGGGCGAACAGAAAGGCCCTGCCTGCGTGAAACCAGGGCCGAGTCCCAGTGCCACTGCCTGCCAGCTCTGCGACCTTGAGCAAGCTCCTTACCCTTCCTGAGACTCAGTTTCCTTCCTGGTAAAAGGAAATAATAACTATAACTACCCCACAGGGTTGTGAGAAGTTTTACTTCTTTGAAATGATCCTTGTAAAGTGCTTTGCACATAGCATTCACATTAGTTATTTTCAAGCATCATTTTCATCCCTGTTGGAAAGTTCTTTTTCTGGTTTTTAGGTATTGGGATTAAGAGGTTGAGACTATTCAATTTTTGAAGATAGTTATATAATGTTCCTTCTTTCTTCTAAGTTTTATAGTAAGTATGGAATTTGTCAAGGGGTTGAGCAGCCTATCCAAAGGGAACAGATGATCACAGCAATGCCTTCCTTTATCCAGGAAACCCGTGCTATAGAGACCATCAGATACTATAACTCTAGTAAGTAAAAAATAAAATGTTATAATTTATAGTTCTAAAAGCTTCCCCCGAGGGAAGATAGATTTTCTATCACCCATCTCCTTTTCCAACACATTTTAATTCCTCAGTGTCTTTTTCATACTACGATCATGGGCAGCCCTTGCGCTCTGCAGGTGGCCTGCAGAGAGATGAACCTGGAGGTGCAGCTGTCCTCTGCCCTCACAGGTCCTGCGCTCGGGGTGACTCAGCCGCCTGGGGCTGGGGCTGCTGTGCCGGGGCGCACGCAGGGATGAGAGCAGTAATGCCTATTCTAGAGTCTGGGAGAGAAACTGGATTTAAGAGGGGGATTTAAGAAACTGGATTTAACCAGAGGAGTGATTTCAAGCAACACTGGTATTCTATGGGCTTAGAAAAGGCATGTGATTGTTTAATTCTTCAAGGGCCTCAACCAGGTTTGTGGGAGAGCCTGTGCCTCCAAGCGCCCACTGGGCTTTGACACAGCTCCCCAGGGACATGCTGGGAACCGAATGAGCTGTACTGGCGGGCACCTGCCCATGGCAAAGCTCGCCTGTGGCCAAAGAGAAGTGAACATCTGTGATACAATTAATATTTCTACTTTAGATAAGGACTGGAGGAGACAGCACGACTAAGTGTGGCCCTGTCGTTTGGCTACTTACTTGCCATCACATGTTAAAAACCAGAGGGCATGACTACCTCTAGATAGTGTGTGGAAATGTCAGGGGGACTCAGTCTCTCAGCCCCTACAGTATTCAGAACGCTCTCACCCCCGACTGCAGACCCTCATGCCTGAGCCCTCGCCCAGTCATACCGAGCTGTCAAACCAGAGACTGCTGGGTCTCGGCTCAGAGACTACCTGTCTCGGTTGGGTTTTCAGCATGATGTCTGTCAACCAGCTCACTCTTCCCACCCTGTGCTGGTCCAGTTTCCTGGGCCTGCTTGTTCTTTCCTGCACTCCTTTGAGGGCCTGTGAACGAGGTCTCTCTTTGTGCACCTGTGGACCTTGCTTGTTCTTGAAATGGTACTAACTGACCCTTGACCTACAGTAATTGCTGGATTTTTTCCTGCTTCCTGGTACTAGTGTCACTTAGCCAACATTATCCCATTGCTCCAGGATGGGGAAAATGTCACTGCTCTCCATACTTGGCTTAGATAGCTCATAATTATAACTGATTTAAATGTACACGTAAAAGTCTGTGGTTAAAACAAGGATGCCCAACTTATATGGGTCTAAGGAAAAGAATATATATATATATATAACATGTATATATTATATATCCATATATTAATCTTTTAAAATTATTTTAAAAAGCTGTATGAACTCTTAAAATCTTAATTACACAAGTACTAGATTAGATTAATACATTCTCTTTAAAAAAGATAGGATAGTACATGCAAATGTTCATAACAGCATTATTCTAATAGCCAAAAAGTGGACGCAACCCAAATGTCCATCAACTGATAAGTGGTATAGCCACATAATGCAATGTTATTGTCCCACCACAAAAAAGAATGAGGTGCCAATTCTTGCTACAATACAATATAGATGAACCTTGAAAACATTATACCAAGTGAAAGAAGCCAGACACAAGAGGCCATATTATACTACTGCACTTATATGAAAGGTTCAAAATAAGTAAATCCATACAGACAGAAAGTACATTAGTAGTTGCCAGTGGGTGGAGATAGGTGGGAATGGGGAATAAGTGCTGGTTACACAGCTTCTTTTTGGGGTGATGACCATATTCTGAAATTAGAGAATGATGATGGTTGTATGACTTTGACTTGGTGAATATACTAAAATCCACTAATTATTCACAGTTAAAAAGGGTGAATTTTGTGGTATATGAATTGTATTTCAATAAAAAATTTGTACATTAGGTAAAAAATTATAGTAACATATGGAAAAAGAAGGCATTTGCAGGGGGGAGAAAAGAACATTCCAGAAAATGTTGCCCCTCCAGCTGGTTTTCCTCTCTGCCATGATCACATTTCTCAGACTGACGTATGTGCCTGGGAGCTCACGTTCGCAGCTTCAGACCCACTCTCCATCCTTACCCACTGTGCCCTCTGGGCCTGGAGTGGTACCCGCTCAGCGACTGCGCCTGGAGAATGCAGGGCCCCTGGTGGCTCCTTTACACACTGCCCACTCCTTTGTGAACAAAATGTCCTCAAAATATCTTGGTTTGAGTGTGCCATCTGTCTCCACTGGGACCCTGATTGACTCGGTATGTATCTTTGCTAAATAAATTCATATTTTATTTAGATAAGAAAATATTATTTAATAATTGAAAGCTGGAGACATCAAATTATATAATTTGAATTGTAACCTTGACTAGTCACCTTGAAGACCTCAGGTGACTTTCCCAGACAGACAGCAGATGCATATGGTTATGGCTTGTCTGCATTTTAAAGATGGTCAGGTCGTTCCCTTTCCTATCAGTCCTCCCCGGCAGTTGCTGACACTGACCTGCTGGTTTCCCGAATGATGTGGCAACCTGCTCATCACTGCATCCAGCTCATCAAACTTCCTCAGCACGGCTTGAACTTCTGCAGAGAGCTCTTTGTACTCTGAAAACTGGTCTTGGAACACAGCTTTATAGCGTTCTCGCTCATCATCCGTCTGAATCACAGGGTACTTTCTGGGGGGGGGGGAATTAACCAAAATTGTAACTTTTTACTACAACAAGCTGAATGGGAAATCAGCTTGGCTTATTCCTCACTGACCAGACTGTACCTTCAATTCAATACACTATCTCGCAGGTAACAAATATCTGTTCAAATGTAAATGAGTTTAAGCAGAAAGGATTAACTTAGAAACAAACAGGAAAATGAAAAGGCCAAATGGAATCTCTCAATTCTTACCCTGAAGAAAGATTAGATGGATACTCACGCCACATAGTCAGGCAACACGACAGGTTTCGGTATGTGGCCCGCTGGGATATGTCTACTCAGTACTTCTGGTTTCATTTTTGTTGCTCTCAGTTCTTTGAAATTAACTTCTTGGTCTCTCTGTCTGTCACCACCCATGGCCATTTCACACTACAGTTTGGGAGAAAAAGAGAATTTGTTTACAAATAGAGGCAGAAGAAAAACAAACTAGAATTTACTTAGAAGGGAGGGACAAAAAGAAAAGTAGAAACAGCAATTAACATCTCAGTTCAGGATTACATGTTTTATACTGACAAAGTTGTTCTGACTGTTTCTATATCAGCTAACGGGACTCGCATTGAGATCTGGGGGAGCATAAAATAGGTGGAACACTCCCCGACCCAGTCATGTGTATATCAAAGATGGATGATGAAATGGTGAGTCTGGAGTCTTAAGTATCTTATTTTGGATTTATACCCCAATTAGTTGTAAAAGAAGAAGAAAATGTAGTTCAAAATAAGAAATTCAGGGAACAAAAATGGAATAAGTCTACTTAAGTGAAACAAGAAAAAAATGACACCAGAACCTGAGATGAATCAGTTACAAGTAGATGCCGAATGGGTCAGAGAGGGATGCAAATTGCGTTGTTTTCATTATCTGAAAGGAAAGGAAAGAATCCGGAGGAGAGGTGGTGGATGTCTCTAATGTGCCCATGTGTCCCTAACCTGTGACTCCCTGAAGAGGCAATAAGGACCTTGGATGTGGTGGTTTAAGTCACTCTGGCTTCTACATTGGAGAGCTCTTAAAAGGCCTTTTCAAAAATGGTACGTCCACAGGAGAGGAAATGAACGAACCCAAGATGAAATAGCCCAGGGAGAAAGTATGGGGGACAGGACTTAAGAGCTAAAATAGACAAAAGAAGGGCAGTAGGAATGGAAGACCCAGCAAACCTGCCCTAGAGCAGGCAGGCTAAGATGGATGCGCAGCTTTAGGGGAGGGAAAGAGAGTGTTCAGGACTCTATTAAGCAGTGCCCAGAACACCAGTTGAGTTGGTAAGGCTGCTGGATGCCAGGAAAGAGGTTTCCATTTTACACATAAAAAAGCCACATTCAGAGAGGTTTAGTGCATTCTCCAAGGTCTCACAGCTATGAGTAGAAAAGCCATGATTAAAACCCAGAATTTTTTGGCTCATTGATACTTTTAATGAGTAACATAGGAAACTGGTGTAGTTAGCTGTATATTGTTCAGTGCTGAAGTTCCCTGAAATTCTGGTAGCACGCCAGAAATGAATTTGTGCTGGGCGGGGCGGGCAATGCCACCCTGCTGGGGGAAGCGAGCTCCGCTTGGGCACAGTGACTCCTCCGTAGGGCAGCCAGCGCCCCTCCAGTGCCGCCATGGGCCCTCGTCTCACACTTGTTAAATCAAACTCAACTGACTTCACCGAAAACAAGTAAAAAATGAGATTTTAAAACCTTACCAGGCAGTTTTTAAAAAAATCCTCTATTTCCTGATTTTCTATCTCTAGGGCTGCCTTTGAGGTTTGGTCTAACATTAGCTCATTCTAAAAACCACTAGCTCTTAAATCACCAAACAGTACAGCCCAGATTAGAGGATCGGACAAGCTCACCAGCCCTAAGTGGGGGCAGGGCAGGGGTATGAAAAGGAGAAGCTCCCAGACGTGGAGCCTGGTGGAGCCTGGTGGAGCCTGGCGTAGGTGAAAGGGAAGCAGATCACCTCCATGCAGAAAGGCACACCCAGCCACTGGGCCCAAAACAGCAAGAATTCGAGAGGGAGCAGAATACCTTGGGGAAAATTCTGCTTTTCTCTCTGTGGGTGAGGATGCTATTTCTTCATCCTACTGAGTGCTGATATGTTTAATCTTGTAGATGAATTATGGTATTGAACATTTTGGCTTATATAGAAGATTTCTGTTTCATGGCATTCCTTTTTCCGCTTTTAACTACTGAACAACCCATTCTTCACACTGCTGGCCAAGGGAGCAGCTAGGAACATTGCCGACCCTACAGGCCTTGGCAGCGGCCCCTGGCAGCAAGTTCAGGCTTCCCTGTCTGTCCTGGATTCAGCCCAGGTCCTCACGGTGGGCACAAGAGTCCATAAGGGTTCGGTTTTTTTCCTAAAGTATTTTTCAAGCAGGAATTATTCATTTTCCTTACTTGTCCATCTCTATTTCCAAGATTTAACTGTAATATAAAGAGGGAGTTTAAACAAGCCAGAACATTTCCACAGACTATTTTGTCTGCTTTATTTTTTGTTTTGTTTTTATGCTCTTAACATATTCTTCCACTTTTCTGGGTGAACCTCACTGATCATCAGTTCAGAAAACCCTATTTGGGGGGAAAAGTCTGAAATTAGACATTAGACGAAGAATCAAACTCACTTTAAGCTTCCGTGGGAAGGAAGTGCTGGGCTCTAGCCCTGGGCCTGACCACTCTCAAGCAGTGTTCCTGGTTACAAACAGAGCCCCAGAAACGACCTTTCTTTGCTTCTAGTAAAAATTAGTTTTGTCAGCAAATATCAGAGGAGCTTTACTGTGAGGCAAGAGAAAATAATTAAGCAACGAGGTAAGTAATGCTTTGTATATAATTACTAAGTCTTTCAAATTAAAAAGGGGCTGATGAATATCCTGTTAAGGTAGAAATAGGGAAAGCTAGCCCTGACTAGTGTGGCTCAGTGGGTTAAGCATTATCCCCCAAACCGAAAGGTCACCAGTTCAATTCCTGGTCAGGGTGCCTGCCTGGGTTGCAGGCCAGGTCCCCAGTTGGGGGTGTGCAAGAGGCAGCTTGACTCATATTTCTCTCCTCTTCTCTCTCCCTCCCTTCCTCTCTCTCTAAAAATAAATTTAAAAAATCTTTTTAAAAAATAGGGAGAGCTAGATACGTGTTTCAGTGCCAATTTCTCCAATTTCTGATTCTCTCTCCTTTTGAGTATATAGTGTAATGATGCAGAGACCCTGGATCTGAAACCCACTCCATTACTTTTGATGCCTGGATTAGCACTTATGGATTTATTAAAATTTGTTTCTGTCTCTATTTGATCTTACTTTATGTCTGTATATTATTTCTTTTAAAAAGTGTCTTGTTTGCTTTTTATAAATTGTATTCATTAAAATACCAAAGAAGGGATAGCCCAATAGAGTGTTCCAAACAAGTGACAGAAACCTGAAGTTCAGAGACACGGTAAGTAATTTCCCCAGGGTCACAGTAGGGGCCCTAGTAAGTAGCTGATCTTGTCCTGAAGCTCAGATTTGCCTGATCCCAAAGTTTACTTTCCCTTCATCACACTGCACTGCCTCTCCTAGGGCAGCCTGCCAATTCTTCCCCGCTAGGGACTAGGGAGGAAGCAGGTAAAAATCATATCCAATGAGAAGCAGGAGGAGAGCCAACCTCTTCTACAAGGTTTCTCACTGGTAAGTCCAACAGAGATTCCTCAATTAAGTCTGAGATTCTCTCTCACAGAGGTCTGCCTGTAAAATAAACCTGTGTATGTTGACTCACAGGGATCCATCCCCCAGGAAAAGATGCCTTCAAAAGGATATACTGGATTGATAGACTTTTAAAAGGAGTCCCAGGAATGGGGGTTCTCCCTCTGCTAAGGTTACTCCTGACTATTCCAGGACCTCTCAGGATCTGGAACCCCACAACACACACCAGACATGCTGGGCACCAACCTCCTAGGGTGGTCCAAAAGAGGCACCCTGAGCTCCCTGGCAGAGCTTCCTAATCCTGTTCCATGGGTGAAACCTGGCTCAGCCACATTCTCACTGGTGACACTGGCCACTCTATCATTTAGGGTATGTTCCTCCAATTCAGACAAGCCTTTTACTCCATTCTGCACTACTCCCATTGGTAAATCCCACTACCTCCAAGGGACTGACCAGGAAGCCCATAAATTCCACCCTGGCCAAGGATGACCACCATTGCCACATCATCGCCACGCTGCAGCTCAGTGACAGTCCAGTCTGGTGCTGAGCAGTCAATACCTGCAGAGTGGTCACCTTTAACCCCACAAAGCAAACAGATTCTTCTCGTCTGCCTCCGAGGGTGTTCTGAAACACATTTCCCAATTGTTAGCATTCTGAATTGCTAATTCAGGTATCAGATTTTGATATCATCTATTATTAACAAGAGAGTCAGCTTTTAGAAAGTGAATTTCCTCATATGTAAGTTTTTAGGCCCCTTTTCCTTTATAAAGTCTTTCTAATCCTGATACATCTTCTAAACCGAAGTCCCTTTAAACATAACATGTTGTGCAGCGAACATTATTTTAGGACTCTCGCAGGGCTACAACTTACTCCTGGCCGTGTGGGGTTTAAGGCAGTCTTGAATGAGAGATGGCAATGACTTGCGAACCACCCTATCTATCCCAGCTGGTCAAATCTTTTGGAACGTTGTAAGGTAGCCCACAGAGTTAGGGAAGTTGCAATTAAATCACAAAGGGCCAGTGTCAATATTTAAACATCAGCCTCATATTGTTTATCTCAATATTTGAAATGAGTATTAATCTAATTTTTTTAAAAACTTAAAAAATTTAATAGGTAATATATACACATGATACATAGTTCAAAGTGTCCAAAAGGGAACATAATGAAAAGTCTCCCTGTATCCCCATCCCCCCCAGTTAGCCAAGTGTCTTCCCAAAGGCAACTACTATTATCACTTTCAGGCATATGTGATATGTATATTTTAGACAACTTGAAAGTGAGCATCAATTTAGCTCTGAGTTAAAACAAGTCTAATTGAAATGTATATCCTGACAGCAATCAATGTTGAATAAATGAACAAAAAACTAAAACACAGGGGAACCAGGAAGTTAAAACAAAACGAATGAAAAGGCATATATAAGCACACACAAAGTACAGTAGTATCTCTCTAATTCTCTGAACAATGTTTAAAGTGCATAGGTTTGTAGCACTAGGTCCACACTGTTTTATGAGAAAGAAATTCTTCAATACCAACCTCATTTGTACCATGCCTGCTCAGTCAGGACTAGTCAGCTCTTCATTTCTAAAGATTTATGAATATCCAAAATAATTCCAGGAAAGCTGCTGAGCCCTGTCAGCTGCAAGTCAGATGGCTTTACATATATGTCAGAAATAATGCAACTGACTCTTTAAAAAATGTTGCTAGTTACAGATCCCCAATGACAACCAATTAACAATGATGGACTTGAGACATTATCATCCATAAGTTGACTTTCCCAGGAGATGTCAGAGAAATACAAAATCCCTAAGCAAATTTAGTTAAATTTTATAGTTCTTGATGCTTGTGACCTCTCTCTCTCTCTCTCTCTCTCTCTCTCTCACACACACACACACACACACACACACACACACACTCACACAATCATACTCCACTAATCTTTCGTCTGTGTTTTTCTTTTTCACTAGATTTGTAAGCCCCTGGAAAATGGAGATAATACTTTTTCCCCTCCAATTACATACATGTATGAGTGTGTGCATGTATATATGTGTGTGTGTGTATACATACATATATATATGATGATACTCTTTGTAGTATTTGTATCACTGGCCCACAGCCAAACTGGCATGTTTGTTCAATGAATTAATTAATGATGACACTGATGTATTAATCACGATCCCTTGAGCAGACTGTTCACCCACTTCACAAAATCCCCTATTTCAGCATTAATAAAATATTTTTGGCAGGAACACTATAGAACTGATGCTGAATTTTTCTCAGAGTATCTCATCAAGAGAGTATTTTCAAGGAGTATTTGAGTGTTATAGAGAATATAGTTAAAAAGAACCAATAAAAGGTATTTTCAAAATGGATGTACTTAATAAAGGGCTTGCACAAACTGGCAACCCAATAAAAAAAAATTGGACAGGATATGACAGTTAATAGAAAAGGAACTGCAAATGTAACATAGGAAAAATGCTCAACCTCACTCCTGATAAGAGAAATGCAAATTTTAACTACACAAGACTGTTTTTCACCTATTAGACTGACGTCAACAAATTTCCTAACACGCTTGTGTTGATCAGGGGATGAGGAAGTCTATTGTGCTGTTGGGAGCGGGAATTGGTAAAATTTCTATTGGACAATCTGACAATCAAAATATATGAAAGGAAGATTGCACAGGCATATTCTTACATGTATAAGGTTATTCACTGCCCCATTGTTTTTAACAGTGAAAGATTGGAAACAACCTAAACATTCATTGATGGCTAAATAGACTATGATTCATCCACATAATGCAATACTGTAGCTGTAAAAAGAGAAAGCAGAAGAAAACATCTTAGAAATGTATTGTTTCTAAGAGAGCGCCAACCTGTAAGATGCAGAGTACAAAGCACTGGCAATAAGGATGCTCACAGAAATGGTTGAGTATGGATGCAAGATAGAGGAAAAAGTGAAGGCTATGCAAAGTGAAAAAAGAAAAATACGCAAGGAACCCACAGCTAAGGCAAGGACACTGGGACTCAAATCAATGATTTTGGAGCAGAAGGAAGAAATAAACATTCAACCAGAACAGAATGAAGAAACAAGAAACATCTAATAAGTTTTTGTATTAGAAAAAAGCTGAAAGTCCTCTTAGGAACTCAATGTAATAGATACTTTCATAGACAGATGATCAACTCTGTAGATTTATAGACAAGAGAGAAAAGTATTTAACAAATCAAGAGAGAAAATGTAATGTGAGCTTTTTTTCTTACCATTTTCCTTTTTGATGACAATGATGGCTCACTTATCTGGAACAAAAAGAGTTAAAATGATTTTTCAAAGGCATGTGAAGTTACTTTGCGAACATTGTCATCCATCTGCATTTATAGCCCAATCTCAATTTTACAGAGGTTGATTCTCTACTTTTCAGGTGTTCCTCCTACTCTTTCAGCCACTTTTCGATGGGCCAGTGGAGAGCCAGAGGAGAGGGGATGACTGTAATTTCCTGTCAGTCAGGAACAAAAAACAGAGGTGGAAACCTGGAGATGGTAGAGACTATTAGGGAAGTTGTTCTGAGTCACCTAGATTTTCTTTCTTCTTGGCTCCCATATACTTTGCACATTTAAAGAGTCCGAGACAGTTACATTATAAAACTAGTAGAAAAAAGCCACAGGCCATTACATCTTCTAACTTTCAGGAAGGTAGAGCAACGCAAAGAGGCACAACCTCCAACATCAGAGGTGATTCAAGTCTAATTAGTCATTACGAAAAATCTGATAAAAACAAGTTTTTGTTGACAAAGGGAAAAGAATGAAAGTATTACGTTGATAATTACAGATAATGTAGAATTTTGAAATGACATTAAGAACTCTATTGTTATTACTTCTGGCCAAGATGGAGGCACAGGTAGACAAACCTTGCCTCTTCGCACAACCAAAAGAAGGACAACAACAAATTAAAAAAAAAAAAACAATCAGAATTGCCAGAAAATCAAACTTTATGGAAGTCCGACAACTAAGGAGTTAAAGAAGAAATATTTATCCAAACCGGAAGGAGGCGCAGCAGCAAGGCAGTGACTGGAGGACCAGGCGGGCCCACATTCGTGTGCAGATAAACTGTGAGGAACAACTGGGTGGCGAGACGGTACACACAACCCAGTATTCCAGTGCAGTAACAGAAAGCCTCAAAACCTCTAGTGGTAAAAACCTGTGCAGGTTGTGGCAGCAGGAGAAACTCCCAGCCTCACAGGAGAGTTCACTGGAGAGACCCACAGGGTCCTAGAATGTACACAAACCCACCCACCTGGGAATCAGCACCAGAAGGGCCCAATTTGCTTGTGGGTGGCAGGGGAAGTGACTGAAAGACAGCTGAGAGCTGAACAAGCAGCATTGCTCCCTCTCTGACCCCTCCCCGACACACAGCATCACCGCACAGCAGACCTGGGTTGCCTCGCCCTACTGAGTACCAAAGGCTCTGCCCCTTCCAAGGTAACAGGAGCACCAAGACAAAGAAATACGGCCCAAATGAAAGAACAGATCAAAACTCCAGAAAAAATACAACTAAGCAATGAAGAGAGCGCCAACCTGTAAGATGCAGAGTACAAAGCACTGGCAATAAGGATGCTCACAGAAATGGTTGAGTATCGTTGCAAGATCGAGGAAAATGTGAAGGCTATGCAAAGCGAAAAAAGAAAAATACACAAGGAACCCACAGCTAAGGCAAGGACACTGGGACTCAAATCAGTGATTTGGAGAAGGAAGAAATAAACATTCAACCAGAACAGAATGAAGAAACAAGAACTCAAAAAATTAAGAGAGATTTAGGAACCTCCACGACACCTTTAAACATTCCAACATCCAAATCATAGGGATGCCAGAAGCAGAAGAGGAAGAGCAAGAAATTAAAAACTTATTTCAAAAAATAATGAAGAACTTCCCCAATCTGGCAAAAGAAAAAAAAAAAAAAAGACCTCTACGAAATCCAGGCAGCTCAGAGTCCCAAAGAAGCTGGACCCAAGGAAGCACACACCAAGGCACATCATAATTACATTACCCAAGATTAAAGATAAGGAGAGAATCTTAAAAGCAGAAAGAGAAAAGGAGACAATTACCTACCAAGGAGTTCCCATAAGACTCTCAGTTGATTTCTCAAAAGAAACCTTACAGGCAAGAAGGGGCTGGCAAGTATTCAAAGTCATGAAAGGCAAGGACCTACATCCAAGATGACTCTATCCAGCAAAGCTATCATTTAGAATAGAAGGGCAGATAAGGTGCTTCCCAGATAAGGGCAAGTGCAAGGAGTTCATCATCACCAAGCCCTTATTATATGAAATGTTAAAGGGACTTTTCTAAGGAAAAGAAGATTAAAACTATGAACAGTAAAATGATGACGAACTCGTAACTATCAACAACTGTGCCAAAACAAACTAAGCAAACATCTAGAACAGGAACAGAAATCACAGAAATGGAGAGTGCACGAGGGTTATCAGTGGGGAGGGGATGGAGGGAGAAGGGGGAAAAGGGGTACAGGGGATAAGAAGCATAAATGGCAGGGACAAAATAGGCAGGGGGAGGTTTAGAACAGCATAGGAAATGGAGAAGCCAAAGAACTTATATGTACAACCCACGGACTAAGTGGGGAATGCTGGTGGGGGGGGGCAGGGTGGAGGGGGATAAAGGGGAGGAAAAAATGGGACAACGGTAATAGCATAATCAATAAAATATACTTTAAAAAAACAAAACAAAAAACTCTTATTGTTACTAAATTTACATAACATTATGACAGGATGCATGTGTTTCACTACCTAGATTTCACACTGATTAGGATTTAAAGTTCTTCACTTTGTATACTCAGATGTAAATTTAAGAAATATGTTTAACATGCCAAGATAAGCTTTTAGAAAGAACTTAAACCTACGTCAAGTCCTAGTAAGGTTAATATATTTTGTGGCAGAAGAACACGGATGACACTGAAACATGCTGAGGTTCTCCCTATCACATAAGGTGCTTGTTATAAATCTAATCAAGTTTTTTGTTGCTGTCATGCATAAGATTCTTGCAAAAAGGTAAAAACATATATAGGTCAGTGAGTAAATAAATAGGTTATTGAGTAAATAAGGACAGGGTTTCATTTTTTATCTATAGTTTTGCCCAATATGTAGTGGTGGGCAAAAGTAGGTGTACAGTTGTATGTGACAGTTTATTCTTGTATTGCTATTTATTAATTATTGTATTTATCTGCATTACAACTGTACACCTACTTTTGCCCACCTCTATGCAATTATATAGTATAAGGAGATATTTGGAAAACTGGAAAAAGAAAGATGCATAATTAACTTAAAATTAAGAAAAAAGTTTAAAATAATACTGACATTTTCAGTGTCATAGGAAATTCTACTACACATTCCTCCTCAGCAGAAGAAAGCAAAACATTATCTTATTTCAGGGTATAATGAAGCTAGTAGAACATACTCTTAACATTTTGCTACTGTTTAAATAAAATTATTTTAAACAAGGCTTTGATACACTTTTATCCTCTAGATTTTATTATTATTAATTCTCCTCCTCCTCCTTCTCCTTTGTATATTTAATTAGTTAAATCTTAGAAATGAAATCAAGGACATAGCTCCCATTCTAATTTTGGAACACCTGTCTCCCTAAAATAAGGACGAAATATCAAAATGCCTGAGTAAATTTTCAGAGTATGTTTATGACAACTCAACCTCTCAATACTTGGGGAAAAAAAATCATGTTGTTCACCGTATTCTTACTTGACTTCATTTAACTCACTGGAAGAAAGTGGGACTCATCATATCAGATTTAAATGAGCACTTTCCTCCTCTAACTGGAAAGTTATGGTTTTTTACTGTCTTACCATACTAAAGAATCAACACTGTTCTCAAACTTATTTTAATGATGAGACATTGTATTACTGAATATGTTGTTATTCTTCTTTCCGGGAATTCAGTAGCTATGTTTTCCCCTAAAGCATCAGGAAGACATAATAATGCAGCCAACAAACTCTAAATTACATTACGTATCTGGTGTCCCCTTGCAATGCTGCACAACAGTGACACACCAGGGTGCGTTATCCCAGTCACAGCATGTCGGACACTGAGCTAGGACTTTTGAACTTCAGATCATTTTTTAAAAAAGGCTTCTGTAAAAATCTTTGTTTTGAGAACTATCCATATTTAACAATGGAGTGAATAACAGGAAAAAAACATTAACAACAAATGAAAGACTGTGAAATTCCTTACCTCCTGTTGCTCCATGTATTCCCTGTGTCTCCGAGCTGCCTCGTGCCTCCACAGCTTTAGGCAAACCAAAGCACTAATGAGGTAAACAATCATGGTGACAAAGAGGAAGACCATCGCTGCTATCTGTCCTCCTTCCACCCGGCAGAACACTGCATTCACTGGCGTATTAAATAATGGATAGTAGCAGAGTCCACCTCGGTTGATATCATTCACATAGACTATGGCTGCAGCCATATACAAAATAAACAAGGCCACGTTAATTCCAAATTCAGTTAGGGGCCACCAGTTAGAGTCCAAAAGAATGGTTTGATAATACATGGACATGCCAAGAACCAGAATAATAATGGTGGTGACCCAAGCTAATCCAGCAACCACGAGTACAAAAGGAGTTTTGGGGCCATTGTAGTAATAGCCCCCATACATACTGCCCAGGCCACCAATGCCTCCCATGGCAGTGGGCGAGGAATAGCCAAACATGTTATACCACTCACTGTCCTTGTGAATGTAAGCTGTGACACAAGCGAAGACGCCGGCCCCCAGGAGTAGCTCCACCACACCCAGAATCCTCAGGAGGCCAGGCCACGACTTCATGTAGGAATACCTCAGGTTATACGCCTCCATCTTCTCACTGTACGTTAGAGCTGTTTGTGTGTGTCGGCCTACAGATCCATAGGGATCCTGGGGAAGCATGGCCTCAACCTCTTTCCGGGAATTATAGGTTCCTCCTGACCCTCCGTAAGGATCTCTGCAGGAGTCAGGGGGTGAACGGTGGTTTGCTCTCCCTGGAGAGGCTGGAGGTGAACACTCCACTCCATCGGAGATGTATCTGATGTCTGACACTGGTTTATCCCATTCTGGGTCCTTTTTCTTCCCTCTGAAGAAGTTCTTCCAGGACTCAGGGACAAAGCGCCTTACAGGCTTGAGATCTGGTGCTATGGCCGGTTCCTCTGTGTCACTTGAGTAGAAGTCAGGGCCGAATGGTGGCTGTAATGGGAGAGGGGGCGGTGGCAAAGGATCAGCGCTCACAGCCAGCTCACTGTCACGAAGAGTCTGGATGGTTCTTATGGTGCCATTTTCATGGGCCAAGTCCCTTGGGACCTCATCATAGTGCCTATCTCGATTCCTGGATCTTCCATCATTTGACGACATTTGTGATTTCTAGACCTGTGGCCAAGATTAAAGTTATCACTTATAATTAGTTTTTTATTATTTCAATGAGGCTGATTTAATTCACTTAGTAGTGAATGATCATATTTAGGAAACCAATAGGACCATGTCTATCATGATATATAAAATGATAACACAGTTCTGGCTGGTGTGGTTCAGTAGATTGCATGTCGGCCTGCAAACCAAAGGGTCGCTGGTTTGATTCCCAGTCAGGGCACATGCCTGGGTTGTGGGTCAGGTCCCTAGTGGGGGCGGGGGGGCGCATGAAAAGCAACCATACATTGATGTTTGCCTCTCTTTCTCCCTCCCTTCCCCTCTCTAAAGATAAATAAATCTTTAAAAAAAAACATATTTATATTTTAAACATATGTAACAATTAATGTTAGCCAGGAATATAGTCACCATTCTATACAATTTTAAGGACAATCAAAATTTTAAGTATTAACTCTAAATTAAAACATTTATAAATCTAACTTATGTATGAGCTCTAGAAACAATCAAATGTAAAAAAAACAAAAATAAGACTAAACTTTAACAAGATGGGATGCTACTGCATTCCAAGTAGAGTCTTCTCCTCAATCAGCTAAATCAAAATATTTGGGTTTAAGCATATCAAAATGTGATAGGTCAGCAAATAACTCCTCATTTTCATTAACTCAAATTTGCTTTGAAGTGAATGGCCCAGGAGAAGCAGATGGTTAAACACAGGGAGTGAAGAGTTCCTTTCCCTCCTAAGTCAGGAAAGTCAGTCTAGGGGCATTGTTTCTCCCACTCTAAAAGAACAACACTTCATACTAGATTTTAAAAACTGATTTCTCAGAGAAAAAAAAATCACAGAAGGTAAAGAGTCCCCAAAAGTACAACACAGAGCAGCAGCAATGACCACATATATCACTCTTTCCAGAGCAATTATCTAAAGGTGATTGCTGTTGCCATGGAGAGACTCAGAAGTGACCCTAGAGGGTATTTAATCCACCTAAAACATAAAGCATAGAAAAACACTTTTACTAAACCTGCTGATTTCCTTCATAAAGTCAATAATGTGGACACAAATACAAAAAGAAGGAAAGCATTTGCTAATGTATCTACTAGGTTTGCAGCACATGAATGTCTCCCCTAAATTGCTTGTGTGTATTTACTTGAAGACTCACTGATACATGGCATTGTACTTGATGCTATGCAGGTGGTATCAAAATTTAAAAGGATAATTCCACCTTATGATATTGAACAACTTGGAAATTCCTAAGGCTTGTTTTATTTTACTTTGTAAAATGGAGACTGAGCATTCAATATTTACTGAACACCTGCCATGTACCTGGCGTATCAGTGCTGTATACTATGCTGAAAGTGTATCAAGTGAATGAAGCCAACTGAAATCTCTGTCTTTGTGGAGGTTATATTCCAGTGGTGGGTGGCAGATGATAGATAAGGGAAGTGAAGTACAGCGAAGGCTAAGCAACAAAGTTAAGAAAAGGGATAAGGAGTGCATTGTGGGCAGGGTGTTACATGTATTCCCTATGTTCCTGTTTAACAGGGTGTTACATAGAATGACCAAGGAAGACTTCATAGAGAATGTGACATCTGAATATAGAAGTGAAGGAGATAAAGGAGGAAGCCAGGCAGGTACTCCAGGGGAAAGTATTCCAGGTAGATGGAGCAGCTAGTGCAAAAGCCTTCAAAGAGTGCCTGGCATGTTGAACTATTAAGGCATGGAGGCCAGTTGCGGTAGCAGCACACTAGTGAGATGTAAAATTGAGGTCATCTGAGTCATGAGGGCCTTGAAAACCACTGGAAAGGATTTTGGCTTTTACTTGGGAGTGAGATAAGGAGCCACTGGATGACTCTGAGTAGAGTGACACATCTGGCTTTTTGTTTTTGTTTTGTGGGGCAGAGAGAGAGAGAAACATCAATGTGAGAGAGAACCACTGATTGGCTGCCTCCTGTATGCACCCCCAAACCCACAACCTAGGTTATGCCATGACCGGGGATTGAACCCAGAACAGCGATGCTCCAACCAACTAAGCCACATTGGCCGGGGCTGACTTGTTTTAATAGTCTTTCTCTAGTTGCTGTGTTGAAAGCACGCTACAGGGGACAAGCATGAAAACAGGGAGACCGGCAAGGAGGCCAGTGAAATGATTCAGTGGGCCGTGGTGGGAGCAATAGAGATAAACTTTTCAACAGAAATGTTTAAACATAATAAAAGTGGAAAGAACAGTATTATGAACTCATATACCCATTAACCAACTTCAGTGATTATCAATTTATGGCCAATCTTGTTTCATCTGTATCCCCTACCTTATTCCCTTTGTCAATACATTACTTTGAAGCAAACCCCAGACATCAGATCATTTCACCTGCAACATTTCTTCATCCCTCCAGTGTAGCGTTGGGGAGAAGCAGCCTCAGAAAGTCTGAAATCCAGATGATGTCAAGTAGGCAGACTATATATACAGAAGGGCACATGCTGCCCCAGACTAGATAGAATCATCCAGGAAATGGGGGGAGATGAAAAAGTCTAAAATCGGGAGTCTTCTAAATGGGGAACTCCAGTTTTAAAGAATTAACTATGATAGTCCCAGCACACGGTACTGCCCAAAGCAAAGTAGGAGCTCTATAAATGACAGCAATTAATTGTTGTCTTTTTGTTTCTTATCTTTATCTGAAAAGTTTAAATTCTAGAATGCAAAGTACTACTATAGTTTTGAAATATTTTCCTAAGAAGAATAGAAGCAAAAACACAACAAATAACTTTAGCAAGTTTTACATAACAGCCCTCAATGTCTATACTATATATACACTTAAAGGATATCCCATGGCGTAACTCACTGGTATTTAAAAAAGAAAAAAGTGTGCTTCTAACTGTAATGGATTCATCTGCACCTGTGAAAGGTGGCATATTTGAATCATATCGCCCTATCAATGTTTAAAAGCAAAAAATACGTAAATCTGAAGAACTGTAAAAGAGCAAAATATGTGATGCCAGAAGGAAATGGTCAGCTGTATTTCAGCACATGGTAAATAATCTGGATACAGGGTGCCGCTGAGAGCCACTCGGCACGCTGAGGCACAGTGGGTCTTTGTCTGGTCCACGCCCGGGCCCTCACTGCGTTCTTTGGGACACATATCCGGGAACACGACTGAGGTGGGAGAAGTGCCCCCCCTTCGATAAAGTGTCCCAGGAAGAGAGTTTGGTCACCTTTCCACAAACAGAACCACAGCTTTACCGGGCTTTAAAATTTTACTGGGCCCAAGAAAAGAGGCAGATTTAGGATGTCTGCGGGCTTCCAAGGGGCTGGGAAAGCCCCGAGGGCTTTCACTTCACCCACCAGTGAGTGGTCAAGGGCTAAGGAACATCTTCACTCGGGTGTCTCCCGAGTCAGCCGCTCGGCGACCGTCCCACCTACCTCGCTCAGTCCTGGGCTCTGCCCACCCTGCCTGCGTGCTCCGTCTTCGCGTCTCTGAGCGAAAATCCACTCTCAGTCTTCAGATTCCACCCAAAGTGGCCGGAACTAAGCCGGCTCAGCCGTGCCCCACTCCCAGTAACCAAGATCCCCGCGCCCGGAAGGACAGCGGCGGCGCGGCCCGCGTCTTGCCGCGCACCTGAATACCCTGAATAAAACCAGGCAGGACGCGGGGCCCTCCGGACCCCCGCCCCGCTTCCTCCGCACCGCCTCCCGCGCCGGCGTCCGCCTGCAGGTGTTAGCGGGGCCGTGCGTCGAACACCAAGAGCCCAGAAGGCTCCAGGGGGCCGAGAAGCCCCACCCCGCCCCTGCACCTGCGGGGAAAGCGCCGGCCCCTCCCCGCCGCGTCCCGGTCACGTGGGCCCCAGCCCGCGGACCCTCTTCACCTGGGCGGCCGCCGGAAGAGCGCGCACGCAGCCCGGGGCAGTGAAACTGGGATCGGGCTCCCGGGGCGGGGCCGAGCAGGGCCAAGCCTTGCCCCGCCTGGCTTTGTCAGCTCTCCGGCCGGGAGCCCGAGCCCGTAGGTGCGCGGCTCCCGCCCCCGCCCCGCGCCCGCGCTCTCCCGGAGGCCGGAGGAAAGGTAAAGGATGTGCTTAACCCCTCCGGAGAGGTATCGCAAGGTGGCCACCCTTTTCCCTATTTTTTAAAAGACGACTTACTCTGAAGGAGATTCACGTACTATGCCCAGTGCTACACGGCACGGAGTATGTTAGGAAACATTAAAAGATATGAGAAACAAAAAGAAATTCAACATTTTAATTTTTATATAAATTATGTCATACTTTCCAAAAAGTATCTAGAATATTCCACTGTACAACATATTAAAAGGTATCCGAGAAGCTAGAGACCATAGAAAAAGTGTGATTAAGGCACAAAGTTTATTTACACTGATAACTGCATAAACTTTTATAATTCATATTTACAACCCCATAAACTTTTGTATTCTGTATTATTCCTTCACACTTTGTGATATTTGGCATAATGTTCACATTTCATACACACGGACCTCCTCTCCCAATACCACTCACAAGATAAAATAAATACTAGAGAAAAAAATGAAGATACTATTTGAAGGCTTGATCTTCTATTTCCTTCAGGGAGAGTCAGTTTCTTGTACTGAAATACGACAACAGTGAATACTACAACAGTGAAGACAAACTGTAATTCACTTGAAAAGTATATTATCTCTTCAAGTGCCACTGAATAATACTAATGTGAATCTGTCAAGCAGCAATGTGATTGCTGGGCTGCTTTCTATGTCCCATCGCTCTCATAGTCTTCTATTACCACGTCGTCGTCATCTTCCAGGTCTCCCTGGGCTGAAGAGGGCTGCGGCTGGCTGGCCGGCAGTTCGTTCCCACTATTCTGACTCAAAGGAAGCGACCAGGATTCAGGTTCTGTGGTTTGAGTAGGTTCATAAGGAGCTTCCTCTGCAGGCTGTCCTCCGTTAAGCAGCGCTTCGTATCCACTTTCTGGGCCTATCATTCCATGCTCCCTGTCAGTCAGGGCTTCCATTTTTAATCTGCCAGATTCATAATGCAGGCGTTAATAATAACCAAAGAAGGGGGCTCCTTTAATTTATACCATGACTATGAAGATTATGAGGCCATCTCCTGAAGTTTCCTTTCATTTACTTTCATTCTACTCACTATTTAGCTAGGCCCTTTATTTAACAATATAAACAAATGTACAAGGTCAATGACAAATTGTGAATAAACCATTATAACTTATGACACAAATGAGTTGATTAATATCATTAGCAAAGAGTTCTTACAAACTTAAAAAATAAATGAAGAGAAAATGGGCATAAAACATGAACTTACAGAAAAAAATACCAATGTTAAACTAAACAAATGGTTCAACCTGATTTGTAATTTTAAAATGGAAATTAAAATAATGTGCTACTTAAAAATTAATAAGCTACTACTGTCATCTTTTCAACTGGAAAAGACTTTTTAAAATAACAGAACCCAGTGGTGGCAAGGGTTAGGAGAAAAGGACATGCTGGCACACTGTTAAAGGACATAAAATTGTCAACACACTCTTGGAAGCAATGGGGCAATATAGTGCAAAGACTCAGAAAGATGTATATCATTGATCCAGCAATTTCATTTTTTAGGAATTCATCTTATTTGTAAGTAGTATTTGATGTGCATGATGATTTAGCTATAAGAAAGCCTGTGGTAAAAGTTGGAGATAAGCTAAATGTACCAAAATAAGGTATAGGTTGGATTATAGGAAACTATGCAGCTATTAAAATATTAAATATTAAGCTAAATAATCATATTTAATATGATCAATATGAATCAAAGATAATGTAAATGTGGTCATCATAAATGAAAGATAACAGTACTAGTCATTGTAATAAGTATTACTGTCAATCCTGCCTCCCAAGTCAGATCAAGTAGTTGAATAATAGCAATTATCCCTTTTCAATCCTTTAAAAATGCCTGAGGGCATAGTTTGATCTTACAAATAAGCAGAATAGAAATGAAATATAGTTATTGTGTTAATCACTGATATTAGCCCAGAAACAATTCTGTGATAAAAATGACATATAGGTTTATCTCTCTATAATATCTATATTTTCTCACTTATCTGAATTTTCTTTCTTCTTTTAAAGATTTTATTTATTTTTTAGAGAGGGGAAAGGAGGGAGAAAGAAAGGGAGAGACACATCAACATGTGGTTGCCGCTTGCACGCCCCCTACTGGGGACCTGGCCCACAACCCAGGTCTGTGCCCTGGCTGGGAATTGAACCAGCGACTCTTTGGTTCTCAGGCCAGTACTCAATCCACTGAGCCACACCAGCCAGGGCTCACCTGTCTGAATTTCAATGCTAAGAAAATAAAAGGAAGTGCTTATGAGGTACTTCCTGGTCACTGCAGGCTTCAAACATAGGCTAAGAAAATCTGTTGAGAGGAAAGCTGAAAAGGGGTTTTCAGATATGCAAGAGGTGTTGAACTAGATGATTTTAAAGATTCCCCTGCCTTTGTGATTCCATGATTCTATTTTGTCTGATATTCCATGGTAAACTGGTGTAACTATGTTTTTATATGTAATAAAATAATGGATCTACAATGCAATCATATGGTCTTTAATCACTGGGCCCAAAATGTATTTCTTGGATTTTTACAGATAACATTTATTGATTGTATATTGAAAAAAATACAACATATTCAGTGGACATTTCAGTAACAGCTCTATGAAAGTTAAGATCATTAGCTTACCTTCCAAAGTGCTGCTTCAGAGGAAGCCTTCCAATATCTTGGATAAAAGAAATCTGAGCTGAAACAGATTTTTAAAAAGTTTTAAAAAGACATTTCTCCAAAGAAGATATACAAATACCCAACGAACCATGAAAAAAGGGCTCAAAATTACTGATCATTAGGTAAATCTAAATCAAAATCATGAGATACCACTTCAATACCCCTTAAGGTGACTATTATTAAAAAAAAACAACAACAAAAACAAAAAGGTCAGCAAGAATGTAGAGGAACTGGAATCCTTTTGCACTGCTGCTGGTTATATAGAATAGTATAGCTGATGTGGAAAATGGTAAGGCAGTTTCTCAAAAATTTAAAAATAGAATTACTATGTGACCTCACAATTCCACTTCTGGGTATCCATCAAAGAACCAAAAGTAGGATCTTAAAGAGTTATTTGGATACCCATGTTCACAGCAGCACTATTCACAATAGCCAAAAGGTGGAAGCAACTTAAGTGTCTAGATGAATGGATAAACAAAATGTAGTATATACATACAATATTATTCAGCTTTAAACAGAAAATTCTGACATATGCTATACATGAATAAACCTTAATGACATGCTAAATGAAATAAACCCATCACAAAAAAATACTGTGCAATTATGCTTATGTGAGGTAGACTGGTATTAGCAGAGATGGGGGTTAGTGTTTAATGTGCATAGTTTCAGTTTTGCAAGATGACAAATTTTGAAGACTGGATGCACAACAAGGTGAATACGTTTACCGCTACTGAACTATATATTTAAAAACAGTTTAATTTTATGTTTTGAGGAAACATATTTATTCAAGAATAATCAAACAAGAGACTACAGCATTTGAGCCATGACCTGCTTCTTCCCTTACTCAGCTTCCAGGAGAATTCACATCAGTTGGGTGCAGCCAAGAACACAGGGCTTCCTCCTGGTGAGTATGGCCAGCCAAGAGTCTGGGGCTCTCTTTCTCCACCCAGCCCCCACCCATAAAATGGAAGCTCCACTCCAGTGGCACAGTAGGCAGGGAATACTCCCTCCTCCTCAAACTGCAATGGCCCATGCCCCAGGTCATTCTTAGGGCACAAGTTTCAAAGACGAGGAGAGGCCAAGGAGATGAGGAGACCAGGAGAATCCAAGCTAAGGTGAACAGAGGCTTCAGTTGAAGCTCCATCCAAAGAAAATGACTTTATTTAAAACACTGTGTAGGAAAGCTCAAGCTTAAGGGACATTTTAAAATCAAGGCCTCCTAAGAGCAACAAACTAAACATCAGACAGCTACTTCATTGCAAAGAACCAGAGAGACAGCTAACAAAGCCCGCCTGGAGTCAGAACAAATCTCAGAGACATGCCTCAAAGTCTATACCTGCCCAAATTTAATTTAATCAGACTGTGAAATAATTTATGTCCCTGGCACTGTTGAAAACAACAGACCTATCAGCTAGAAATTAGTGGAGCATCAGCAGGTTGTCTGATGCCAAACAAGGCAGACAGTTTAACCAAGAATTAAAGCAAGGAGAAACAAAATCAAAGAGAGCCCTGCTAAAACCACTGTCAACACAAGGTAATTGGGCACGCCCAAGGCTGAGAGCTCTTTGAGGAGTGATAAAGGCTTCACACTGCAGGGGGAAACAGGCTTCATTAAAATAGTTTAGCCAAGTCACTAAACAAATACATACGCAACAAAAAAAAAAAAAACAAGCTGCAGAGGATGGAGGAAAATCAGTCTCCAGACCTGCCACAATGTATTACCTAAAACATCCAATTTTTAACAAAATACTATGAGACTATGCAAAGAAACAAGGAAGTCTGACTCCTGCACAGGAAAAGGGTGGGCAACAGAAATTGAGAGAGCCCAGATTTAAATTTAATAGAAAAAGACTTCAAAGGAGCCATTACAAATATGTTCAAAGAACAAAAGGAAACCATGCTTAAAGGAGCCAAAGACGGGGGAGGTAGAAGGTAAAGGGCGGAATGAATGGTGATGGAAGGAGATTTGACTTCGGGTGGTGAACACATAATACAATATACAGATGATAGATTATAGAAATGTACAACTGAAACCTATATAATTTTATTAACCAATGTCAGCCCAATAAATTCCATTTAAAAATAAACTAAAAAAGAGAAGCAAAGTCAGCTATAATGACAACGCCTCATCAAATAGAGAATATCAATAAAGAGACAGAAATTACAGGGGGAAAAAAAGAAAAGGAAATTCTGGAGTTGAAAAGTCCAGTAACAAAAATGAAACATTAACTAGAGAGGCTCAACAGTAGATTTGAACTCGCAGAAGAATCAGTTTTGAACACAGATTAACAGAGATTATGCAATTGAAGAGAGAAAATTGGATGAAGAAAAATGAACAAAGCTATCAGGAATGTGGGATACCTTAAAGCATTCCAACAGACACTAAGTGAAGACTAGAAAAGAGGAGAGAGAAAGGAGCAGAAAAAATATTAAAGAAATGATGTCTGAAATAGCATAGTACCTAAGATGAAAGAAATAGGACAAAATTTGGTAATACAAAGAAAAGCCAAACACCCTATTTTTAATTTTTTAAACCTCTTAAAATTTGCAAGTCCAACACTCTGAGGACTCTTGGATACTTACCTTTTTAAAAATCCACTACACAATAATCACAATTTTTAAAAACTAGCTTTTTGATATGGAAAACTTAAGAGGTGTGATCCTGGAGTCTGAATTTTTTTCAGTAGTGAATGAATGATTCTCCAGATGATCCCAATGTAAGTAATCTAAACTAGTACTTCTCAAACTCCTCAAACACCTCCCATGGAAGAAATCACCTGAAGAATCTTGTTAAAATTCACATTTATTCAGTTGGTATTGGGCAAGGCCTGATAGTCTACATTTCTCTCAAGCTTCCAGATGATGCTGATGCTCCTGGTCCAAGGAGGCTCTTGCTTATTACACTGATTCTTGATCCCACACCTGCGAGTGGCGACATGGAATGTGGCAAGCTGTGCAATGTGAATTGGTGGCAGTAGGACTGGAACTGAAGAACAGCCTGCACTGTTAGGAGATGCTACAGGTAGAAGAACTGAGTAAATAAGTGAATATATTCAGCAAAATGGGAGATGGATTTTTCATTGCTCAATAAAGGAGGTACAGATACTAAGACGGGAAAGATGTTAGACTGAAATTGAAGGTATCAGTGTGAACTCACTTTGTTCCCCTAGAAAAGCCTAGAAACAATGACACTCCAGGAGCAATGAGCATGCCTAGCACCAGAACCTGATTTCTAAATACCATTTCCACCAAAAGGAACCAGGGCTCCATGAAATTCATGGTTCCAGGACTGGAGCAGGGAAAGTCTGAAATGATATTGGAACATTTTGTACCAGAAAGTACTCAAAGTGTGACGGATCAGAAGGCACATATTTACCTTAAAGCAGCTTGCACTGGCCAAATATGGACAATTTGATACCAAAATAATTAATGAGAGCAAGGAACTACAACTGAGGAAATAAGAATTGGAGTCCACACTAACATAAACAAACAAACAAACAAGTGTGGGAGACAGCATAGCAATACCTACACTACAACTCACCAACACAAATGTAGAAGAAATAACATAGAAAATCACCATTTGCAACCATCACAGATTTAGGAAATAATCAACAGATGCTATAACTAGTAAGTGAAATTTTAATGAGAAATGGGATGTTTACATAATCTCAAAGTATCTCCCCATAAACACTCAATAACTTTATATTAGAAAATATGAGATATCATCTTACCAAATAATAAAAGTTAACTTTACCAGTAACAATGTAAATAGACATCATGTTCTCTAGATATGATGCACTGAGAACAGAGCATCACTTCTGTGGTATCCCTGTCAAAAACAAACGTCCTGAATACAGTCATGAGGAAGCATCAGGCAAAGTCTAAACTGATGAACAGCCTCTACACTGTAACTGCCCCATATGCTTCAAAAACTTCATCGCCAGAGAAAGACTAAGGTACTGTTCCAGATCAAAGGAGACTAAAAAGACACTGTAACTAAATACATCATGTGATCTTGCTCTGGGTTCTAGACAAGAAAGAGAACAAGTTTTTGTTCTTATTTTACAAAGGACATTATTTAGGACAACTGGCAAAATTTGAATGGCACGTATAAATTAGATGGCAGTAGTATAAAAAGTTAATTTCATGATTTTGATGTGTATACTGTGGTTATGTAGGACTGTCCTTTTTTACAAGGACTACCTTGAAGTGTTTAAGAATAGCCGTCATCATGCCTGCAAATTACTCAAACATGGTTCAGAAAAAAATACATACTTATATGGGTGGGCATGTAGGTATAAAGAGAGAGGAAAAAAAATAAAAGGTAAATACAGTAAAAATTGACCACTGAGAAATCCTGGTGAAGGATATACAAGAATTCTTTCATGCTATTATTGCAATTTTTCTGTAAGTTTGAAATTATTTCAAAGTACAGTTTAAAACACTAGTATAATCTTCAAAATAATAGGCAAGGATAGAGAAATCTCTGGATTCTGACCCACAGATTAATCATGTCCATTGTTCAAAAGTCACCCACTTCTGCCTATGAATGTACAATAGCATATTTTAAATCTTTTCGTATTAATCTTTTCTTCTTGTGGGTAAAAGCCACAAGATGAGACTGTCTTTGTATGAAGGCAGCCATTTACTCTATAATCCTTTCCTCTGACTAGTCCATAAGGCAAACCCTATCTTTAGAATTTCTGAGTTACGTAGCAGATTATTACTACTTTATATATTACACAAATTCTGTTCTACATTAAAGATCAACACCACAGACATGTGACCTACTACTGTTAATGAAATGTGGCCCTTAAAATACACAATTAAAAAAAACTAATGATGAAAAAATTGGTGAAGTTCATAAAAAGGCAAACCTCCGTAGACATAAATTGTGCAAGTGTGCATTGCCACAGATATACTAATTTTTTAGCATTATTTATAATTTCATAACTTGGAAAGACATTGTAAATATATTATTAATGTACTTTGTAATATTGAAACCAAAGTATCAATAAAGTTAAATTATAAATTTTGAAAAAAACAGGAGTTAGACTCCTATTTTTTAATATACTTTACTTGAATATACTTGAAGAGCCCCCATAAATGGGATTGGTGTCCTTATAAAAAGGATCCCAAAGACAGCTCCCCCTCGCTCTGCTCTCAACCAGGTGAGAACATGCAAAGATGAACATCTACAAACTAGGAAGCAGGTCCTCACCAGACGATGGATCTGCCAGCACCCTAGTTTTGGACTTTCCAGCCTCCAGAGCTGCTTCATCACTAATTTATAAAATACGGAACACTATCCATGGTAAATGATGTAGCAAATTAAAACTTGTATCTAATATCTGTAATATGTACAGGAAAGTGTCTAGAGGAATTTACACCAATCTGTCAAAAGGAATTTACCTATTGTTATAGGGGACTTTCAGTTTTCACTTGATATAACTCTGTATTATTTTATTTCTTTTTTAATCAAAAAGAAATTAATTATTAATTCTGGATCAACAGATGAAGGAAAAAAAATTAGTCTCACTAGTATATAGCAATGAGTAGACCTACAGAAAGACAATATTATAAAACACTACTTCTCGGGAGAATAAAAACCCACAGTATTACCTTGATTTCTCATTGGAATGGTGAGCAAAGCAAGGTATGGCAGCAGCTGAGTTTGGAGGCATAGAGCTGGTAAGCAGAAGTCAGAAAAAAGTGCTTTCGCTGTCAGGCAATTTTCCCGATACTGTATAGAAGAAATAAAAAATAAAATGAAAAATCTGGATATGTATTCCTACACATGCTAAGTTTATTATATTATAAAAGTTTGTGGGCTTATATAGTATAAATATACTTCTAAGAGTTTATTTAGTCTTTTATAACTATTCCAGCATTATTTATAATACTACAGTTATTTCACATTTGACATAACAGCAGTAAGAATTTTTTTTTACAAGATCTATGGTAGAAGGAAAAAACACTTAAAAATCAAAAGAATTGTTTATGAACATAGACATCACAAATTTTTTGAGGACATTGTTTCTCAATGAAAGAACTTATGTTCTTCAATTAACACAGGTGCAATGTTAGGCTGCTAAAAAGAGAAGCACACCTGGCAGAGATAATTTATATGTAACAAAAATGCAAAATTAATGAACGTGCTGTAAGGGCAAAGTAGGTCAATAAGGGATTATAAATTGCTTAAAAGTCATAAAATTCTTCAAAGAAATCTTTTGAAATTTCTTAGGTTAAGAATTATAGGCTCATATTTAGCCATATTATTATATCCAGGGGGTCACAGATTCAGATGCTACAGGAGCCAAGCAGGTAGTACAAATCAGTGCAGTGGAACAGCTGGAGACAGTGGTACCCACCACTCCCATCTTTCAAGAGACAGATTCTACTTGGCTTTGGCAGATTGCTGTCATGTAAAAATATGGGGCCTTACTTCCCTTTTTATTCCCCACCCCAGGAGATGCCAGAAATTCTGGAGCCAGAAATCCATGTCTGAATTTTAATTATTATACTAATTTTTAAAGATGGGCAAATTCATTAAAAAAAAAACCAACCCTGTGTGTGTACCCTGACTGGTGTGGCTCAGTGGGTTGGACATCCCTGGTTTGATTCCCCATCAGGGCACATGCCTGGATTGCGGGCCAGGTCCCTGGTTGGGGGGCATGCGAGAGGCAACCAATTGATGTAGGTATCTCCCACACATTGATATTTCTCTGCCTCTCTTTCGCCCTCCCTTCCTATCTAAAAAATAGATAAATAAAATATTTTTTAAAAATCTGTGCATGTTATATTCAACTGGGGGGCCACCTGTTTTTTGACCTTTATTTGAATTCAATCCTCTCCAGTTATAGCTATGGAAACTAAGTGCACACACTTATTGTTAGGTGAAATAACTTGTCCAAGTGGTTAGAGATAAAGCCAGATTTATTTTCAATTAAGACTAAAATATAGTTATACTTTGATTCTAATAACAGTTATTAACTAACAAAACAGGTATGAGCTTTCAAATTTTGAGTGTTTTTTTCCCCCTAAAAAATGACTAAGCACGTAAGAAGGCTGTCCTTTTATGTTTTGTCATAATTTAAAGAAAAATGTGGGTCCTAACAAGTATTTCTTACTAAGAATAAAACATTTTTCTTTTTTATAACCTAAAAAAATAACAGCTTTATTGACATATAATTCACATGCCATAAAGTTCACCTATGAAAAGTGTACAATTTTTTTTTTTTTACCTTTCTATTAATTAAAATCCACTGGGGTTTGTGCAATGGTCGAAAACTTGATCCTCCTCCTTGGCAATGAGCAAATCCTCGGGCTCTGTTGGAATGTATCACACCTCTTGTAGCTATAGATGTACTATATTTTCTGAGTAAAAAGCGTGTCTAAAAAAAGAAGACAAAACGTGAAATGAAGAAAATAAGATTTATAAAAGAGTACTATTAGTACCACTGAAACTAACCATATTTAGTCACTGAATGTTCACTTTTTTGAACATCGCTGCAGCCCTAAAAATAACATGCTACAGAGTTATTGAAGCAAATTCAACTAATAAATAATAATCAAATGCTATGTGTAAACTAATTACATCTTGGACATGAGTGGGAGAAACAACTTTAAATACATTTTTGAGACAACTGGGCAAATCAAAATAGGACAGTATGTTAGGTGTGATGTTGTTAGACTTGTAACAGAGTAATATTATTATGCATGCTTAACTATTAAGTGTCATGGTGTTTGCAATTACTTTCAAATTATTCAGTCAAAACAAGTCTGGAACTACATAATTAAGCAAATGTGGTAAAAATGTGAAGAACTGGTGAACAAAGTAAAGGTATACAGGTATTCGCTGTATTACTCTTTGAATTTGTCTACAGGTTGAAAAATTTCAGAATAAAAAAGCAATATAAAAAAAATCAAGCAAATAGTCCTGGCTGGTGTAGCTCAGTGGATTGGATGCCAGCCTGCAAACCAAAAGGTCACCAGTTTGATTCCCAGTCAAGGCACATGCCTGCGTTGTGGGCCAGGTCCCCAGTTGGGGGCATGTGAGAAGCAACCAATCAATATAGGTGTCTCTCACACATTGATGTTTCTCTCCCTCTTCCCCTCTCTCTAAAAGTAAATTAAAAAAAAATTATTAAAAAAAAATCAAGCAAGTACAACTGCTGAATAATGAAACTCTAAATATGACACACTATATGAAAAATGTTTTTACTGTATTTTTCCTAATTTTAATTATTAATGCTATTTCACCATTTATAACACAGAGAAATAAACATATCAGAACAGTGTTAACCAATGGAACTTTCTACAATAGAAATGTTTTATATATGGGCTGTTCAATATAGCAGCTGTTGGTCACATATAACTATCAAATGCTGGAAATGTGGTTAGTGTGACTAAGGAACTGAATTTTAATTTACTAAGGAACTGAATTTTAATTTAATTTAATTAGTTACCTGTGGCTAGTGGTCAGACTACTATACTGACTACTATACTGGTCAGAGTAGTGTTCAAATGTTAAGAAAAATACAAATTTATATAGTGAATAATTTCAAAACTTTAAAAAAAATTTTTTTTAAATAGCAGAAAGTATAGAAAGAAGCAGTTATTTTCTTTCTATCCACTCTTCAATACCTGTCAAAATTTCTGAGTATATTAATTTTATAATCAGGAATCTTTAGGAAAAAATTAGTATTATATTATCACCAGGAAAATAAGATTAATTGCTGAAGCTTCATTATAAACAATGAGTTAGAGGAATTAATTTTCTCATATTTATTAAGAAGTTACAGAATATCATGTCAAATAGTAAAGAATAAAAGTAAAATTTCTCAATTCTGAGGAAATAGTCAAAAACAAAAACATTGAAGTCAAATGGTCTTACATTCCAGTCACCACTGATGATATCTGCAAAACTCAGAAATTCACTGGCTCTCACAAGATCATCTACTTCCGTGAAGAAATCTACGTAGTTTTGGTGAAGATATAAATTAAATAACTCTTCTGGCATGTGTGACATTTCTACCACTTCCTATAATATAAAAAAAGCATACATACATAATTTTGGTGGTCAAATCTGTATGTCCACAAATATAAATAATATATGTCTTGTAAATGTTACTAAGTGTTATTAAAGGCTTCTCACTTTACCTCAGGATGAACAAGCAATGTATCCCGTTCATACTCTGATAAATGGGAGGGCAATCGAGGTGATTCTAATTCTGTTAAAGGTGCTCCTATAAAAAATTTCTGGATTAAAAGTAACATCTTTATAATTACATAACACCTCTCATTTGAAGGTTTTTCAACACTGTAGGCACATAATTCCAAAAGTACTAAGTGAGCAGTTAAAATTAAAACACAAAATAACTGGAAGCTTATGTGAGTTGTCTTATTAGCAAGAAAAATTTAGAATTCTGATGCTTAGATTATGGCATTTCTGGAATTAAAATATTCCACTTCTTAAAGCACTCCACTTTCATCTTTCCAGCTCTGGGCTGCTTTCTTCCTTAGAGCCTCATCTCAATATAGATGTCTCTACTGCTTAATTTACTATGTAGGCAGAAGCTGCTCTCTGCGGGAGAGAACAGGAACCCCATTCCCTACTGCAAGAGGTTATAGAAGAAAGTTGAAGAGGATAAAGAAAGGGTGGAAGGAAAAGAATCAGTGGCATGGGCACTAAGCTTCAGCAGTCAGAGGAGCTAGAGACAGAGAAGTGTCTCCATTTCCATCTAAGTGATGCCTGTTTCATTTTCCTCAGGTGGAACAAAGGTTTCTACTTAGAAATCCCAATTTTCAACAGGAAGAGAGATGGAAAGCAAGTATAAGAGGTATTCACAGAGTTTTACAGGAAGATAAAAAAAGTAGTTTCAAACAGCTGGGTTTTGGTAACCAGAAAACAGTCTCAGATATTAACAGGTGTGATAAGCATGAGGCTACAGTGAAAGTCTGCTCAGACTATTTGTGATTCACTGATGCAGCTATTTTACTACAGATTTGAAAAACTATCTGAGACAATACAGAGGATACTATACACATAACACATTTTTATTGTTAACCATGATTTGCATTTTGTTCTGACATCTAAAACTATTCTGAAACTATAGCAATGACTTGCCTTCAAAAATCTGTGAGCCCTGGAGAGTGTTGCTCAGTGGGTTGTGTGCCAGCCTGAGAACCAAAAGGTCACTGATTTAATTCCCAGTCAGGGCCTGGGTTGCGGGCCAGGTCCCCAGTAGGGGACAAATGAAAGGCAACCACACACTGATGTTTCTTTCTCTCCCTCTCCTTCTCCCTCCCTCCTCCTCTCTCTAAAAAAATAACTAAAGTCTTTTTTAAAAATCTGTGTAAATTGTTTTATTTATTTTTTTAATTCTCACTCAAGGACATTTTTTCATTCCTTTTAGAGAGAGAGGAAAGGAGGGAGAAAGAAAAACATCTATGGGAGAGAGAGAGACAGACAGAGACAGAGAGAAGTATCAACTGGCTGACTCTCGAATGCACCCTAACTGGGGATCGCATGCACCCGGACCCACAGATCGAACCTGCAGCCTAGCTGTATGCCCTGATCAGAAGTCAAACTACAACATTTCAGTTATGGGACGATACTCCAACCAACTGCGCCACACCAACCTGGGCAATTGTTTTATTCTTTATAAAAATCACATCAGACCAATTAAAAAAAAAGAAAAAGAAATCAATTTTCTTCCTTTTGGACCATGAAACCAAAAACTGATTTTTTTGAAAGGAGAAAGAATTTGAAAGGAGAGACAATTTGGGAGCTTAGAGATGGGTGATGAGGGTGAAGGGACTGAGGAAAAGTAGTCATTAAAGACAGAAGAGGAGAAAGGAAGAACATCTCTGGTTAGGGACAGTGCAGCTTGTTAAGAGACCAGGGAAGTATAACAGAATCCAAACAAACCTGAAGCTACCTGGCAATCTGCCTAGCGCCCTGGTGGCCAGAGCTCAGTGCTAAGAGGGCTTGCTTGGGCAGCCAACACTTGTCACTAAAAATCTAGATCTTACCTCTGGCAAACTATAATTGTATAAGACTTACAAACATGAATATGGCCTACAGTAGTTAGATTTTATGTTTAATCGCACTCATATTCCAAAAATACTCTATCTAGATAAATAAATCTTCCTGCTTAGGCCTTGCCAAACGGTCTCTGCCCTAGCCCTAGATCTTTCTTGTAAGAGAACCAAATACATGATGTTTAAAATTTCTGGTACTTTATATTGGCTGTGAGACTCATATCTAGTAATTTTTTTAATGTATAAGGTTTTCTTACTTTTGCAATATAGAATTTTCCCCAAAGCTCTGAAGAGAAAGAGAGACACATCTTTTCCACCAATAGCTTGGACCTCTTGATGTTCAAAAACCTTATCAGGTTTTTTTCTTCGTCTTGATTTTGACAGCGCAGCATCTGATTTTAATGAACACATTCCTTTTCTCCTTGGGCATAAATTGTTCCTTCCTAAATAACATACACCCAAGTGACAATATTTAAAATAAATTTAAAATATAAAAGCTAAAACTTGTAAGATTAAGTCATTGCTAAGTGGCAGAGCCAGGATTTTCACCCAGGAAGTCAAATTAACTTTGAAAGGTAATGCAGCAAACCACATAAGTCAATCAGGTTTTGTCTCATATATACAGATATATATGACATATTCACTGGGGAGTTTTCATGCACGTGTACACATATAATTTTATGACACTGTCTCAATAAAAAAATACAGTAAGTGGAAATAGGTATATTTCTATTATAAATTAAAATGAGTTTAGTTTGATTTCATGATATAATGTCGTAAGAATGTATTTCCATAGTTACCTTTTGAAGAAGAAAACTGTAGGCTGTTTATTGCACTTCTGATATCACCAGAACATCCTTGACAGAGCAACTGTAGAGAAGTTTTATCAGGGACAGTAATATTTCCTCCATTCTAAAATGAGAAATTTAAAAATTTTTAAATGTTTTTCTAAAACAAAAACTTAAAACTCCCTAATTTTATAAACTTAATGGAAGTATACTAGAATCCTTTAAATTTGAATGCTAAAAAACCTCTGTTTTAAATCCCAGTCTGCCTAAGAAGGTACAAGTTTCAATCACTTCACGTAGCTTAAGGTAAAACTTCAAGAATATAAAATATTCATTTGCTTTGACAAAATTACATTTTGAAGTTTTCTATCGTTTACTATATACAAATATATATATACAAACATACATATGTATCTATACAGAGAGACTTCAAATCACAATATAATGTAAAATTAAATACAAAAAATTGACAAATTTTTTGTAATTTACATGAAAATCTCTACGCTGGGGTTTTCAACATATTAATACAGTCTGCTGAGAATTAAAAAGCCACAAACACACTGACTCATCTTTAAAGCCCAAGTTTCATACGGCATTTAAGATATATAAAATACACATATATTTCAAAGACATACATGCAAATTTAAAAAATATATATACTACACCCTTGGTAGTTCAAATATAAGACAAGAAAAATTTGTCCCCTCTCTCCATTCAGAACCTCTTAATGGTTTACTAATATGATTTAAACTGAATTCATGTGACTGTTCACAGACCATCACGTTTTAGATCTTGTAAAAACTGATTAAAACAGAATAAAGTACCATGCTACAATCCTTCAATATACATTTTTATTTTAACTTTATTAACCCAAGCTGTTTCAAGTCCTTATAAAAAAGTTACTGTCTGTCCTCTGTTGGTCTCCTCAAATCCTAAGCTTTGTTACCACTGTTAATATTCTCATATCATCTTTCTGAACCTTTCTTTTTGCACAAATATAAGTATATATAGTATCTATATGTAGACATAATCGGGACCATATTATCTATGCCTTATCATATATGATTATTTTTAATACCATATTTTTGTGCTCTTTGAATCTATTTCATTGTCTAAAAAAATGTTATGGGTGTACCATAATTTAACTTGTATTTCCCCCATGAAGGTATATTTACATTGTTTCCAATTTTTCACCATGACAGACATTTATATGCATCTTTGCCAATATGCATGAATATTTCTGTAGAATGCTCTCAAGTGTCCAAAGGTATGTGAGATTGCCCATTTTTCCATATCTTTGGCAATCCTGTTTATCAATCTTTTAAGTGTTTTGTTATGTATGTGAAAAATGGTATCTGAATGGTAATGATTTTCTCTGATCACTTGCAGGGCTGAACACCCCTCATGTTTACTAGCCATTCATATTTCTTCACATACTAGCTTCTATTCTTAGCCTTTGTGGTAGGCACATTTTTCTATGTGCAGGTGTTATGCCTGTCTTTTAATTTTCCTTACCATGCCTTGTGATTTACTGTTTCTCACTTTTTTGAGATAAATCTATGGCTTTTGGGCTTTTGTTTCTTGCTTAGAAAGACTTTCCCCCAACACAAAGCCACTATTTACTCCTCTCATACTGTCCTAATTTTGATTTTTGCATTTTAACATTTAATCATCCTGGGTATTATTTCTGTGCATAGTATAAAGATACAACCTTATGTTTCTCTATACGGATATCCAGTTGTTCCAACACTATTTATTAACTGTAATAACCTCCTCTTTCCCCAGTGATGTGAAAAGCCACTTCATATAGAAAATTCCCATTTATTGACCTATTATTGTTCTGTCTTCTCATACTCTTTTATTTGTCTATTATTGTCAACACCACACAGTTGTGATTTCTATGGTTTTATATTATGTTCCAATACCTAGATAGCAAGTCTCTCTTCATCATTCTTACAAAATTTTCTCGCTCATGCCTGTGAATTTCTCTTCCATATTAACTTTATTTTCATTGTGAATAGACTGAATTTAAAAATTGTTTGAGTACTTGTTTTTGAAAAAGTCCAGATATGGATTACTTTCCAAAAAGGAAATGTAATTTGAAATCATGATCCTTGGAGAAAATACTATAAATGTTAATTACTATGAACATGTAACTGTGGCTGAAGTGTGTCATCAGCAGTTCTTTCCACACTTTATATACCTAACGGTATCAGGAAAGACTATTTTTTCCTATAAAGACAGAAAAACACCTACTTAAACAAACAAACTTCAGATACTCAAGACTCTTTCTTATTACAGTAGTCCCTCCTTATGTGAGGTTTAATTTTCCATTGTTTCATTTATCTGTGGTCAACTGCAGCCTGAAAATATTAAATAGAAAACTCCAGAAATAAACAATTCATACATTTTCAATTGTATTTCTTTCTGAGTAGCATGGTAAAATCTTGAACCACTGCTCCATCCTGCCTGGGATGTGAATCATCCCTTTGTCCAGCGCGTCCACATTGTATAGCTACCTGCCTGTTAGTCACTTAGTGGCCATCTTGGTTATCAGATTGACTGTAGTGGTATCATGATGCTTGTGTTCAATTAAACCTTTTTTACTGCTTTTTCTATTTTATTATCATTCTTATTAATTTCTTACTGTGCCTAATTTATAAATTAAACTTTATCATAGATATGTATGTATAGGAAAAAACAGTATATATAAGGTTTGGTACTACCTGCAGTTTCAGGCACCCACTGGGGGTCTTGAAATGTATCCCCCAGAGATAAAGGAGAACACTACCATACAACTAAGTTCACTTAAGATGTCAACAGTTTTTCTTTATATAATTAATTAAGCTCTGGTTCGTGTGGCTCGGTGGATTGAGTGCCAGCCTGCAAACCTAAGGGTCACCGGTTCGATTCCCAGTTGGGGCACATGCCTGGGCTGATAGGAGAGGCAACTGATCCATCTCTCACACATTGATGTTTCTCTACCTCCTTTCTCCCTCCCTTCCCATCTCTCTTAAAAAAATAAATAAGTAAAATCTTTAAGATATATATATAAAAAAAAAGATTAAGCTACAGAATGCAGGAGATGAAAGTCTTCTTTACATCTTCCTATATTATCATTTTCATCCTGGAGACCCCAAACAATATCCTAACAATTTGATTTTGTAAAAGCTTGTAGGACTTGAATAGTGTTCTTGCTCCTTTGACAGTTCTAATATGCTTGCAGGTCAACTACTTAAGACAGAGCACATTAACACATTACCTCCATAACCAAGAAGTTATCTCTTTTTACCAATATCACACAACTTGCTAAATTAAATGCCATTTGCAATTTAATAAGTTAGTCTTTTTTTTTAATTTTAAAGAACAATGAGTGAGTCTTAAAAAGTTTTCAGTTAAGGTGATAAAGTAGTATATTGATTACTTTTATTATTTCTTACTGTTTAATAAATAAAATATTTAAAATTATAACTTGTAGTTATGCTCATAGAGAACGTAGACTTTCTTAAAAAAAGCACAGGTAATCCAACCACTCACTAATCACTAGATCTAATCACATTTAGCATTTCTATATACTTTCTTGTAGTATGTATAGGTTTCTTTGTATGTGCATTTTGTTGTTACTGAAAATTGCCTGTTTCATTTTAGCAGAGTAAATTGGAATCAGAACAAAATTTCAAACCTATCTGATACTTAACAGTTGTGGGATATTATGCAAGTTATTTCCTCCAAAACTCAGTTTCCTTACCTGTAAAATAGGGATAAGATACCAATTTTGTATGGCTGTGGTGAAGTTTAATAAGATCAAGTATGTAAATACTTTGTATAGTCCCTGACACATGTAAAGGGCTGAAGACATTTCTACTGTTAGCATTATCATATAAGTTTGCATCTTGTCATTTTTAACTTGACATTAAATTGAATTTTTCAATATCACCAAATATCTCAAAACACCAATGGCATTAATAGCTCATCCATGTAACTGCTTCTTTATTGGATTGTTTGTTTCTAATTTTTCAATATTAAAAGTTGTTATTTATTCAGCTAAGTGCTCTACACACACATCATTTTGTTTAATCTTCAAAACAACTCCTCCCTTGCAGATTTCCTTCAATTCCTTTGATCCCAGCAATGAAAACAAAAATTATGTTTCATGTAAGATCTAGAACTGTGCTGGTAGAAGAAGTTCCATGTATTTATTTTAATATCACCTTGATTTGAAAGATAGAAAAAATGATGTATTAAAAGTGACAAAAGCTGCTTCACAACAATGCTAGTATGCCAACATTGCTGAACTGCAGACTTAAAACTGCTTAAGATGGTATAGTTAATAACCCTGTAACTATATTTGAAAATGTTCTCACTACAAAAAACAATGGTAATTACATGATGGGACGGAGGTGTTAGATAATGCCTGGTGGCAATCATTTTGCAATATGTAAGTATATCAAATCAACATGCTGTATACTGTAAACTTACGTGATGTTTTATCAACTGTATCTCAGTAAAGCTAGAAAAAAAATTATTGACATGGTAAATTTTATTACGTGGTTTTTTAAAAAAAATCTTATTGATTTTAGAGAGGGGGAAGGGGAAGAAAGAGAGAAACATTGATTTGTTGTTCCCCTTATTTATGCATTCATTGGTTGTTTCCTGTACGTGCCGTGACCAGAGGATCAAGCCCACAACCGTGGCATACCAAGGTGATATTCTAACCAACTGAGCTACCCAGCCAGGGCTATCAATGTGTTTTTAACCATGCACACAAAAAAGGCGTCAACAGGATAAAAGTAGAGTTGAACTGTTGATGATTAATATACCTAGATGCCAGGAAACAATTTCTTGATTACAGGCACTGTTTAGAACACTAAGCCGAACAAAGGGAAATTGCTCTCAATGTGAAAGAGAAAACAAAGTTTAATAGTAGAAAAGGTTAAGGATTTTTAAAATCAGTCTTTCCTACACTTTCCAAAATGACATGCCTTCTATGTGTAATAAAAATTTTTAATTCTAGAAGTTGAAATAGTATCTCTAACTCCTCAAGTTTATATAATACCGCTTAAGTTTTAAGATTCAAGCCCTGGCCAGTGTGGCTCAGTTGAGTGGCTGCCATCCAGCAAAGCAAAAGGCCGTCAGTTTGATTCCTAGTCAGGGCATGTGCCGGGACTGCAGATTTGGTTGCAGGTCACAGTGCAAAGGAGAGGCAACCATCTATGCTTCTCTCTTTCTCCTCTCTCTAAAAATAAACAAAATCTTAAAAAAAAATTCAAATTAATCAGTTCTTAAGAAACTTACCTTATTAGCTTCTATTGTCACTATTCGATTAAGAAATTTCATCATAATTGTTGGTGCCACAGGATTGAAACTGTCAAAGTTTTATAAAAGAAAATGGTTAAATGATTAATTTAAAATACAATGTGTATTTTAACATTTTAGGCAGAAATTTTATTCTTACCTAATGTTTGACATAGCACACTCCTCTTGAACTTCTTTGGGAAACAGTAACCTTTGATTATTATCTCCACTGAGACTGTCAGAGATTATAAATACTAGAGGACAGCGACCAATCTGTACATACTTCCTAAAATAACAAAATATCATAAAGTTAAAATTTAAGCCACTTACCATTTATTTTGGAATTTCAGAAAACTTCACTGAAACTCACCTTAGAATTTCATGTAAAGTATGAGAATCTCGATAAAACTGGTTAGGTAAATCCTATTGAAAATACATGATAAATACCTGTTCAGTTTTATTCCCATGTAAATTTATTTTCAGATTTACATTTACCAAGACAGGAAAAAATGTTATCTATTCAATGTGTTACAGCCAGAACTTTTATAAAAGGGAAATATGAAATAGCTGATATCCTAAACAGTAATATCCATCAATGGGAAACCCAATTTTCACATTAAATTTCTTGGGGTCACTACTAGTTAGAGTATGTTCACTAAGCCATCATTTTCCAAGTATTTATTTTGCTTTCCTATACTTAAGCCATTAAATTTTTAAAGCCCATTAACCTAAAGCTACTCTATTCAAGTTTACTGAATAGGTTTTTAGGTTTCCACTATCATTACGCTGTATTTTACCACTATTAATACTGTGACATATCTTGAAATTGTTTACTCTACAGTTACTGGAGATTTTCAAAAGCTGTACTTACCTCAACAAGAATTATCTTCTTATCAGTTCTCAGATTATCTCCAATCATTTGTAGTTTGTTATATTTTGTTGCTCTTAGTAGAAACTCTTTAAAAACTGTTATCTGAGACTGATAGGGAAATACATGGAAGCTTGATTCTGAAAGGAAACATATTTAACCCTTGTATTTTCAACAACTTATATATACATCAGTATCATACATATATACATATGCATTAATGAATACATATGCAAGAACAGCTCACAATACTATAGATTGTTCAAATTTTACACAGGCAAAACTTCAAATTTAAAATAGGATATCCATTTTGAAAGGCAAAAGTCATGAGTATCAGGGATTGTTCCAGACCAGAGAATGTACTATGGCGTCAACTCACTTCAGAACACAGCTATGACTCCAAACAATTGGTAGAAATACTCAGGACTTTGCATACACAATGAAGACCCTCCAAATAAGTGTGTGACTATAAATAAAATATTTCCAATAATAAAGGTTTAACAACAAAAGTTGAATGACTGATTAATGAACTTGGGAATAGGGAAATTCTCCATATAAAAGACTGTTTATAAAGACATGCTAGATTTTCAAAACTAATGTTCCTATTTAAAAAGTAAAATTTTAGGAATACAGGATACTAGTAACATAAAGAGTGTGCATACTAAGGATATAGTATGCACAGAGCATATTTAAGAAAATCCAAGAGAAGGGATTTATGAATATTCACATTAAAATAAAACTGTCCTTGCCCTGGCTGGTGTGGCTCAGTGGACTGAATGCTGGCCTGTGAACCAAAGGGTAGCTGGTTTGATTCCCAGTCAGGAACAGGCCCCCAGTAGGGGGTGTGCAAGTGTAAACCACACATTGATGTTTCCCTCTCTCCCTTCCCCTTTCTCTAAAAATAAATAAATAAATAAAATCTTTTAAAAATAAAAAAGAAATAAAGTTGTCCTTCTATGGAACCCCGTTCACTGTGAAGTGGCCTAAAAGATTTGGCTACCCCTAGTTTAGTTACAGTAGCAACAAGTAAAACTATGGAAGTTAAAAATGATTGTGCTAGAGTATATAAGCATACATGTAAAATTATTACGTACTACATCTTTAAATTGGTACATTATTATTTTTTTTAAACAGTAATTTTTTTAAAAAGATTTTTTAAATTTATTTTCAGAGAGGGGAAGGGAGGAAGAGAGGTAGAGAAACATTGATGTATGATATATATTGATCAGTTGCCTCTCACACACCCCCAACTGGGGACCTGGCCCACAACCCCAGTATATGCCCTGACTGGGAATCCAACTAGCCAACCTTCTGGTTCACAAGGCCAGTGCTCAATCCACTGAGCCACACCAGCATACCATTATTATCTTTGGATGTTTGTCTTAAGGCTTCCTTCCCAATTCCAAAGACTTTGCCTTATGCTTTGATTTGATTCAATTCACACAGGTCTTTCTCCTCTTTTTCGGAAACAAGTTCCTTTAATATTTCTTAAAGCTTGATTTATATTGGAACAAAAAGATTTTATTTACAATCTACATTATCTAGCCTGAGCCTGAAAAAAAAATACACTAATAATACAAAGAGGTTAGCTTCTCCTCTAACAAAACAGTTAAGACTAAACCCTCATTGAATCCCCTTCTCTTCTACAGCAGACACTGTTTCTTTCCTTCTCCTGAAACTACCTCTCTCTGAAAACTAGGAAGTATGGGAGAAAATGCTCTCATATAGTTTCATTTGATTGCTACTCTGACTTTGTAAAGCAGCTGGTGGTGAGCAGATGCCAATCTAGTATAAGAGAGGCAACATATACCTTTCTCTCAAGAACATACACCAAAAAGGAATCTTAAGGATATGGATAGGGAGTTTGTTTCAAATGTCCTTCAATTAAGCACAGGCTTTTCCCAGTATTTCCATTACCTTCATTGCAAACCTTACCATGATTAAACATGATCTCCTTGAAATCATCTTTTTGGAAGTCTGGTAAAACTGGATTAATCCACTCTTGTACTTGAATACCAAGTTCTTTTGACAGAATTTTTATAGTTGTTGTTTTTCCACAACCAGGAGGCCCTGTTATTAATAAAATAGGTCCACCCTAAAACCAAACACAAACATTAATTAAGAACCAAAATCACTGGAATGCTAGAATATTATGTTTGAATTTTCTTTCTAAATATTAATTAATCCTATAAATACTTACTGAATGTCTGGTATAAGCAGACTACATTTCACAATAAGGCTGGCTGGAGCAAACCAGCTTTAGATAAAATAATCTTATTTCCTGACCTTTAAGAGTAGCTTCTGTTATTTCTTCAATTTTTGCATTATGGCCCTCCCAAGGACTGCTTAGTAGTCACATTAAAGCAACTAAACCTCAGATTAGGAAGGTAACATTTGAAACAAATATTTTTAGAGGTTACCTGAACTCATAAAATTCAATCTTAATACAGAATTTTTTGGATTATATATTTTAATATTGTACAACATTCTAATGGGAAAAACAGTTTGGACATCAGTTTCTTTAAGAAATGTATACTAAGAAACATATTTAGAAGATAGGACTCTGTTAAAGAGAGACTAGAGACTGTAGGTCCCAGTGATATTCTCTCACATGTAAATCTGATTTTAAAAAATAGTTCCCTATCATTTTTCAACTTTGAGATGAATCCATTAGTGTTTCAGTTGCCCCCAATGGTAACAGGTACTCTTTTGAATCATGTCTGGCTTTTGGATTTAATCCTTTGGATTAGCATTAAAATAACAGGAAAATATACAGGAAAAACAGAAAATGGATGTTAAAGTACTTAGGTGAAAGACTGCTAGGGAGCTGGACACTTACCTGTTGCCAAAGTACCTCCCCATAGATTATGTGCCAATTGCAAGAGAAAATTACTTTACAATGAAGATTTATAACTAACACTCCCTTAATCTAGTGATCAAAACTTAACACCAAAAACAGCAGAACCAGACATACTCCCTAATATGATGCAATATAAAATACACACCATGACTTATAAAGTATTCTTGCAAAACTGTTTAACTGAAGTCTATGCATTAATTTACCATTCTATTTTTCTTTGTTTGAAGCATCTCAAAATTAGAAAAATTTAAAAAGAGAGAGAAGAATATTCTAGCTTGGGGCTGAGAGTCAGTGTGGTTTTAGGAAGTGAAACAAAAAACATCAGCATAAATGAATACTGTTTTAGGCTATATTTAGTATAAAAGCTAACATGTAATTTGCCTGCTTGCTTCAGTGTGAGACAATCTTATGTGCTAAATATACTAGCACCTGAACTGGTTTATTGTGCTTTATGTTGATGACAGGACATAAGAGTGAAAAGGAGGTATAAAAATATAGGGAAAACTCAGTCTCATAATCTTTTAATGAGACCAGGAGTAGTAACGTCAGAAAGCTTTCCATGGCTAGTGATCTGGATTTATTTGAGTAAAATCATCATAAAGGTTTAACCCCTTACAATAACCGATAAGACAGAGAAATATTTGGTGTTAAATATTTCAAATATGTCTTTTATTACCTGTTTTGACTGCCTTTCTAAGACTTCAGCTTTTAACCATGTTTCAACTTCTTCAATTTTCTTTTTGTGCACAGCAAGTTCATGCTAAAAATTTCAAGTTTAAAAAAAAAACATTTTAACTCAAGGATGTTTGGTACATCAGTGCAGAATAATCTAAACATTTTAAAACTAGCAAACCATTAACATGATAAAAAAAGGTTGATTACACTTAAGAACTGACAACATTATTTGAAAATTTGAGCAGGTTTGGAATTATAAAATTTTTAAAAATCCTGTAATACATTTTGGGAAGAAAATAAATAGAAACAGGTATTACATTTAGCAAGAAAGAAAGAAAGAAAGAAAGAAAGAAAGAAAGAAAGAAAGAACGAAAGAAAACAAACAGATCAATGCTACTTTGGTGTTAAATTTAATCTAAGACAACCAACAGTACAATTTCAGATGAGACTGGGCATGGTCAGGATAGTATGGCCATAGACAACCAATGGTACAATTTCAGAATAACTGTTGAGAAAACTCTGAGCTTTGGGATATAAAATAAAAATCCTTAAATTACTGTTTTTTCCAATTAATTTAGATTTTGTGAAAAGTAACCTGAAAATGTACATCCCTCTCCTTCCTGAAATAAAATCATGTTTGTATGCTATTTAGTACCTGAGTTTCTGGTTTGTATTTATCCACCCATGGTTCATTTTCAGACAGATTTTTTTTTGAATTTTCTAGAACATATATCTGTTCTGCAGAAGATAGTGTTCCTTTTTTTCTAGTAGGAAATGTGCTACTTTCTAATGTGGAAGGCACATTCTTTCTTCTATGACTCGTGTTATTCACACTTAATGATGTGGCAGTAATAGTAGAGGTGCTTGTATTCTCTGAAAAATCATCAAATGATGGGTCTACCCAATCTGTGACCTGAAAAAAAAAAAAAGTCATGAAAATACTACTACATTTTTTGCATCTATTCCTTATATAATTGAGTTACTCTGTTTAAAAAAAATTGTATATTTGTAGTATTTAAAATAAAAGTCTCAAAAGTTAGCTCTTTAAATAAAACTGATTCCAGCCCTGGCCAGGTGGCTCAGTTAGTTGGAGCGTTGTCCCATACACCAAAAAGGTTGCGGATTTGATCCACAGTAGGGGCGTGCTTGGGAGTCAACCCATCAATGTCTCTCTCTAAAAATCAATTAAAAACAAAACCCTTAGGTGAGAATAATAGTAATAATAAAAACTGATTCCATATGTATTAGTTATTTTTGTACTTTACAAGAAGTTCAAATGCATACTTGTCTACTTGACCATGGTAATGATGAATACCATATAAAGGAATATAGAATACTAACTTAATTCTTTTTATTTATGTCATCTTCCCAGGATAAAGAGTAGGCTGATTATTTTAAAACTCATTTGTAGGACTAAAACATAAATATTTAAAGATTTTATTTATTTATTTTTAGAGAGAGGGGAAGGGAGGGAGAAAGAGAGGAAGAGAACATCAATGTGTGGTTGCCTCTCACGCCCCCCGATTGGGGTCCTGGCCTGCAACCCAGGCATGTGTCCTGACTGGGATCCAACTGCAGACCTTTTGGTTTGCAGGCCAGCACTCAATCCACTGAGCCACACCAGACAGGGATTAAACATAAATATTTAAATTACCTATCAAAAAAGGCAAAACAAAATAGAGAAATAAAATATTACTTAACCATGTACAACAGTGAGAAGAGTTATACTTCCACCTTAACCAGGTTAACACATTACATTTCATACATCAAAATAATCCCTATTAGCTTTAAGACTTTGTGAAGATATAATCTAAAAATCCTGATACTATAAATAATTTGTAATTATGACTTGATTATATTCACTCCTCTTTTAAGGACAGAAAGTTAGAAATATTAGTCGTGGATAAAGAAATGAAACCTCTCGGAAAAATTTCAGTCATAGCTACCTGATTCATTTCCTCCTCTTCAAAAGACTCACTGTTACTACAATTTTGGTCCTTTTCCTCTGTTTTTAAGAGTACATAAAAAATTATAGTAATCGTTTTAATAGCAATTCTGACCTACATGTTACATATACATTTTATGGCTTTATTTCTGACATAAATGTGGACTCCCATTTACCAAAGAAAAAAAAAGAGAGAGAGAGAGAGAAAGAGAAACAGCAAAGCTAAATAATTTACTTAAGATCGCAGATAAATCAGCTCTGGCTGGTGTGCCTCAGCGGACTGAGTGCCCCTGAGAATGGAAAAGTCACTGGCTGGATTCCCAGTCAGGGCACATGCCTGGGGCGCAGGCCAGTCCCCAGTTCCGGGAGTGTGAGAAGCAACTAATAGATGTTTCTCTCTCCTTCTCTTTCGCCTTCCTTTCACCTCTCTCTAAAAAATAAATTAAAAAACTTTTTTTCTTAAAGGATAAATCAGATCAACCACTAGGAAAATAGCTACTTTGCATATGAGTTATGATACTGTCTGATCTTCATCCTACTCTGGCTCCTAGCCTTGCTGAGAACTCACTCACTGAACCTTAAGATTTCTAAGAGGCAGGCCCTGTTGTTAAGCTTTAACACCAACTACAACTCATATATCTCTTTTATTCTATTGCTCTTTAACTCTAGAATGTTCAGTCTTTTCTCTGTGACGGGGATTGTAAGTATTTTTTAAAATTAAGGTTGTACTTTCAGTATACAGTTGTTTCACAATTTATAATGAGGCTTTTTAGATCACTAACTACAACAGACATTGGGCATCATTACACTGATAGCAGTAATAAATCATTAAGAACATGTACAAAAATGTAAATCTTTTGGGGCAATTATACGACCATTTTAGTGTATCATACCTTTGTGGAAGATACCTTTCGTCTAAGAAAAGTTTTTGACATTATAAACTTTAATAGTTCCCATCCATAGCATACAACTTGTAGTACATTAAAGTATAATTCACCTAGGAAACAAAAAGAAAAAAATTCTCAATTAAGAAAAACCAAGACCCTGGCCAGGTAGCTCAGTTGGTTAGAGCATCACCCTGATAGCCAAGGCTCCGGGTCTCATCTCCCGTAAGGGCACATACAATAATCAACCAATGAATGCATAACTAATCAATGTTTCTCGCTCTCAAATTAATATAAAAAAATTTAAGAAAAAAAACTGTGAGAATAGTAATTAATATGTATGATATAATCAACAGCATAATAAAGTTAAGGCTCAAAACCAGTGAGAAAGAACATAATAAATATAGATAATGTAATTACCAAAGTGCTTAATTAAATTTTTATTTTAATGAAATAAAATCTGTGTCAAATAATCTACTCATGGTGTTGTAAAGTATTTCATAGGAACTCAATAATTAGAGAAAACAAAAAAACCACGTATTTCTGTACCTACCTTTTGTTATTACGAAAAATTAGACAATTTTATTTGTGCAGTTTTTATAGGGATAATTAAAATTTCCCTCATTTAAAATTAGGTGCAGCTTTTCACTGCCAAAATTTAGAAACAAAACAAAACCCACTACATAGTGAATTCAAACTTATCCCTCACTTTGGACAAAGACTTTAAATCTTACTGTAAATTTTTTCCTGTAACTGTTTTCCTTATTTAAACATACTAGGAAATTTTTTGATAGCAGTTTTCTTACTTTCATAATTCTTCAGTGTTAATACAAGCTAGTAAATTCACCAGTTTTAAGTTAGCCAAAAGGAAAGGTTTATAAACTTATAAATTGGAAGGTATAGTGGACTCGGAGACACACAAAATGTCTAAATACTTCCACATATTATAAAACAAATCGTACACATACAAATTGTTCACGATTAGAGTTTTTGTTCTGGAGTTTCAAAGGGATACACAGGTGTAAAAAACGCCTATTTGAGTAAATATAGCTCGGAGATCGAAATAAAAGGCGCAGGCTGTTGTTAGGGTATGGACTCTAAGTCATTTTTTGACAACAACACTGACAATTACCTCCTTTAAAATGCAGGTAACTGCCCCTGATGATGCCACGTTCCTGAAATGAGACGTCAGAAGTAGAAGAGACCTTCAAGAATATTTCTAGCAGACCCACACCACCCTACACACGGCACAGGGTATAATAAGCTCAGACAGTCGTACAACGTAAGGCGGCTAATCAGCGAAGAGCCGAGATAGTCTCGCGTGCCCCGGCTCCAGGCCAGAGGTCTGCACCCCCACCCCTCTCATTTCCAAATGACATGGGCAGGTCGGGAGGAGGAGCAACGAGATTCAGGAAGGCGTGACTGCAGAGATGGACTCTCGTCACTAGGACAGGTATAGACACCACAGCCGCAACCGCGGCGGCCTTACTTGCCGGGAGCTGCATGCCCTCGTAGGCGGAGAGGAGCGAAGGAGCACAGACTCTGCTCCAGGTGGTAGGGCACCCACCCAGCCCTACACGGGCTCAGCGCTGAGCCTCCCCGAAGTCCCGCCTACCGAGGACTTTCCACACTCGCCGGCGCTTCCGCGACACAGCCCGAAGGGCGGGGGCAGCCAAAGGAGAGAGTAACTTAGGCATCCAGTGCATTGCCTGAATTGAATGCTAGCTTCCCCTCTATTTCCCTGCCTCGGACCACACAATGAAAGTGTGTCATTGTAGGCCAGGAAACAATGGTCAGTGACTGGAAGGCGGAGTTTGATCGAGAGCGCCTCGCAGAGCCTCCGGAGCCCCTGGCGCTTGACACCGCCCACCCTTCCGGCTCCTTCCGGTTGCGCTTAGAGCCCTTGCGCCGAGGTTTCCAGAGCTGTGGCGGTGGGGACCATGCTGCTTCCGAACATCCTGCTCACCGGTTAGGGCGCGCAACGGGGAGGGGATGGACAGTGGGTTGGTTTGGGACGCCGAGTTCTCTGGAGCCTCGGGCGTCCGAAGTGGGAGCGCTCAGTGTTTTGTTTCGAGGCTAGTCGAGGGCCGCGTGGCGTGGCAGTTGTTAGGTCCTCAGACCCGGTCCTCGCGACCGTTGTGGGGGGAGGAGCCGGACGGGGGAACGTCAGTTCTGTTGGCTGAGTCTGCTCGGTGAGGCGGAGAGGAATAAACCAGTTCAGCTCCCCTTTCTGGCAAGCTGACTAATCTTTCTGAATCTAGTTTTTGTTTGTGAAGTGGTTGTTGATTTTTTTTTTTTTTTTTGGTTGGGTGTCTTTGGCTTTTAGAGAGGTCATATTGGTGATCTGTTAGCGGTGGATGCCTAGTTTTTAAGGCCTTACTGGGCCGTCTTTCATTTTCCTTTGTATCTGAGAGTCAACTTTCGGTAAGAGAGTTCGGGTGTTTGTGGCGTATGGTGATTAATTTGCTGTGTTCATTGAGTTAGTATCAGAGACTTTTTTTCTTCCAAGAAGAAAACAAATTTATCTCCTGAGCACATCGGGTCGTTTCTTGTACTGAGATGCGGCGGAAGTTCCCGTGGGGGTCCTTCTGGTTATTTGGATCCGTACTCAGGGGCCCCGTTAGTATGTGAGCGGTCCTAAAATGCCGCATAAGGGAGACGTTCTTTGTGGGGGGGAAAAAGCTATAAATTTTTTATCGTTTAACAAAACATAAGCTTGTTGGCTGCGCACAATTTTTCTGTTTCTGAGAGCTGCAAATTAACATAAACATACTACTATTTAGCCTTTAAGATTTCTTAAGGGAAAAATTCTACAATATCTAAATTGACTGGGGCATTCAATGTCTTGGTTTTTAATATTAAGCCATATTGTCAAAAACTTGTGTGTGAGCATTTTATTAAAAGCGCAGTGAGTCCAGGATTCAAACGTGGTGTTATTAGAGGGGAACTTAAGGCGAATGTTATTGTCTTGTATATAGAGATTTGATTTATTCTTTTTATCATGGATGATAATCGAATTTTATTCAGTGGCATTAAACCTGAAAAGCTGAAAATTATGCATTTAATTATCTTGAAATCCAGTAGATATTAAAAAGGGAAAGTGAAAAACAATGTGTAGTGCTGTCATTTATGTGAAAGGGAATGTACGGTGTGTGTACATATTAAATTTGCACGTTATGTATCGGTACATGCACACACAGTATGCTATCAGATGTACCTGTGTGTGGATGTTTATACAAACACATGCATAGGACTTCAAGAATCTAAAGGAAGAGTATAGGGAGTCCTTGGTGTAATTGAGATTTGTTTTTGATATTGTGTGATTTTTTTTTTTCCATGAACAGTTTCTTAATTTTTTAAAAAATTAAATAATGGTAATTTATTTGAGATATCTAGCTTTACTCTGAAAATTTCCATAGTGGTGGCAAGCAGTCTGTGAATTGGTATCAGAATTGCCCAGGCCCCACTTCTGACAGAACTAGATGCACTGGGTGAGATTCTGACATCCAACAGGCTTTGGATATATTAATTCATATAGGGTGGCTAATTACAAAACTTTTCATTTCTGTTAAGAATATTAAGGAGGGCAGGTAGGTGGCTAAAGTCTAATAAGTATTTCATGAACAATATTTTCTGTGGCTTGTCTTACAGGTACACCAGGGGTTGGAAAAACAACACTAGGCAAAGAACTTGCATCAAGATCAGGACTGAAATACATTAATGTGGGTGATTTAGCTCGAGAAGGTAAGGGACATTTTGGTGGTGTTTTTAAAAAGAGAGAGAGAGATGCTTTGGATGGTATGGCTCAGTGGATTGAGTGCTGGCCTGTGAACCAAAGGGTTGCTGGTTCCAGGAGGGCGTATGCCTGGACTGCAGGCCAGGTCCCCCGTAGGTTGGGCACGCGAGAGACAACCACACATGGATGGTTTTCTGCCTCTCTTCCTACCTTCCCCTCTCTCTAAAAATAAATAAATAAAATCTTAGAGAGAGAATGGAGTATTAGTACTATACTGTGAGAGGGTACAAAAAGCAGAGGAAGATTACCATTGAGGAATTTATGCTGTGTTGGAGACCCATAATAATAGAAAGTACAGTCATACCTCAGTACTCGTTGGCTTCGGAACTCATCAGATCCTGTACTCAGTGCATTTTGATGAGGAAACAATGTTTCAGCACTCGGCACTTGCTGGGGACCCATTGCACTTGCTAGAATTTGTCTTTGTCACACTGCTGTCCCGCTAGAGAAAATGCTTCATTGTTTGCTACTCATTGTTTTCAGCGTTCATCATGAGTTCTGGAACAAATTACCAGTAACTGATGAGTACCAGGGTACCACTGTATTAAATGTCTAAAACTGTGTCCTAGTTATTTTGATCATTATATTGCCCCCCAATTGGCTAGCAGGTCTTGTGGATAGTAATTGGGAAGGTTTCCATGAAGAGATTGATTGGACTTAGGATAGGCAGAATCTGAATGTGAGGAAGAGGCAGAATGTTTTGAGATGGATGAATGTGTAAAAGTTCAGGTGAAGCCAAGCGTATCTGTGGAACTGATTATATTGATCTCACTGGAAGGAAAGAGTATTCTGACCTCAGGTAGTAGGACATGGTTGTCTTACGATATTTTCTTAGATTAATTTGGTAGTTGCATGTCTGCATGAAACTGCACATATTCTAAAATGATGTGTTTTTACTTATTTTACCTTGTTTTCCCCCAGTCATTTCCCCCTTATTGTGTCTTCGTCTTTCCATATTCTATTATGATTTGTACAGGGTAGAAACTCAATAAATTTAAGTTAAGGGAACTGTAAGTGTACCTCATTAAAATTAAAAAGATTTAATATATTTTTAAAATTTAAATATTTTTTAAATGTAACATTTAAAAAACTTTTTTAAGTTCCTGACAGTTGCTACTAAAGTAACTATTTCAGGTTTGATCTAATGTGCATATTTTCTTTAAATGACCTAAAGTCTGATCACCGGATATCATGGAGTCTGGCAAGATGGCTTCTCCCAAGAGCATGCCGAAAGATGCACAGATGATGGCACAAATCCTGAAGGATATGGGGATTACAGAATATGAGCCAAGAGTAATAAATCAGATGTTGGAGTTTGCCTTCCGATATGTGACCACAATTCTAGATGATGCGAAAATTTATTCAAGCCATGCTAAGAAAGCTACCGTTGATGCAGATGATGTGCGATTGGCAATCCAGTGTCGCGCTGACCAGTCTTTTACCTCTCCTCCCCCAAGAGATTTTTTATTAGATATTGCAAGGCAGAGAAATCAAACCCCTTTGCCACTGATCAAGCCATATTCAGGTCCTAGATTGCCACCTGATAGATACTGCTTGACTGCTCCAAACTATAGACTTAAGTCTTTACAAAAAAAGGCAACTACTTCTGCGGGAAGAATAACAGTTCCACGGTTAAGTGTTGGTTCAGTTACTAGCAGACCAAGTACTCCCACACTTGGCACACCAACCCCACAAACCATGTCAGTTTCAACTAAAGTAGGGACTCCGATGTCCCTTACAGGGCAAAGGTTTACAGTACAGATGCCCACTTCACAGTCCCCAGCTGTAAAAACATCAATTCCTGCAACATCAGCAGTTCAGAATGTTCTTATTAATCCATCATTAATTGGGTCCAAAAACATTCTCATTACCACTAACATGGTGTCATCACAAAATACTGCCAATGACTCATCAAATGCATTGAAACGAAAACGCGAAGATGATGATGATGACGACGACGATGATGATGACTATGATAATTTGTAATCCAGCCTTGATGCATGTAACATGTATACTTGATCTTGAATCCACTGTACTAAGATTAAATACGCATGCTGGATGTTTGCAAGTTGTGTTTTAGAAAACATAGTATTTAATGAGTAAATACAGTTACCATAGTTTTTAATTGAGATATTGTATTTTCTTTAATAGAATTCATAGTGGTTTTTCGTCAGCCTTTAAGTGTAAGAAATAAAGTTGCTATTCATCAATTTGATTGTTGGTACTGTGGCAATTACATTTTTAGAAGCTATTTTACCCCTCATCACCAACAGAAGTAATAGTTGTAAACGACTTCAGTTGTTGCAGGCTGTTTATTACCACTAGAGTGTCATCTCTGATGTCTTCAGATGATTAAATCACAGTAGGCTCTCTGGTGTGTAAGTCATTCTAATGTGCCATTTCTCTCAAATTACTAAAATACAACCACGGTTCTTTTTGGGGAGAACACTGGATGGGGACTTTTATTCAAAGTGAATCGTCATCTGTTTGGATTTATCTTCCTCAATTGCCCAAGTTCTTCCTAGGTCCTGTTTTTCTATCCCTTTGGTTATGCTTATGGACCCTAATGTGTCTCCCAGTATCTCCCCACTTTAAAAGTTTTAGCTCTGGCCATATAACTTAGTTGGTTAGAGTGTCGTCCCTATACGTGAAGGTTGAGGGTTCAATCCCAAGTCGGGGAACATACAAAAATCAACCAATGAATGAATAAATAAGTGAACAACAAATTGGTGTTTCTCCCTTTGTCTCTCAAATAAAATTAAAATTTTTTCAGTATCCCATTTGCAGACCAGTTTTCTGCATTTTTGCTTGCCATATTCTTAATATAAATCACTGTCATGCTTTTATTTTTAATCCAGGCCTGGCATGTAAATTAGAGTTAATAAAACTCAGCTCATTATTCTCATTATTAGCTATTGTACATAGCTCGAAAGTCTTCATTTTATACCTATGTGAAATCTGGTTTTGTTTCTTTCCATGTTGAGCTTTACAGTTTTTGGCAAGTGATTTGGGAGTCACAGTAGTCATTTTCCGTCATGTCTTCCAGTTCTAGCCTCAATTTTACAGGTCTAAACTTGATTGCTATATAATCAATCAGGCATAGCATTGTGAGGAACAGTAACACTAGACCATTTGGTCCTCTCCTACTTACATTTACCCCATTTTAGCCAGTTGTTAGTCCACCTAATGGTGTGTAGTCTTAAACCATTTTATTGATGAAATTTAATCCTTAAAGAAGTGTTTTCCCCTCATAAAATGCCACATAAAAGATTTCTGGTTTGACTTGAAGTGGTGTTGGATGAGGTACTTTATAAGATCTCATAATGTACCAGATTTTTTTTTTCTTACGCCATTTGTAACAATCACTTTAGAATATATTCTGAGATATCCAGCCTTCTAATTTTTTTTTTCAAATCGTGATATATTTTAAGGAAAACCATGCAATAATCTATGAAACAGTGGTTCTTAGCTAGTGGTGATTTTGTCCTTCAGGGGACATTTGGCAATTTCTGGGGACATTTTTGGTAGGCACAACTGGGGTTCAGGGAGTTGCTAGTGTCATCTAATGGGTAGAAGGCAGTGATTTCTGAACATCCCACAATTCACATCATCTAATCCCATAACAGAATTATCAAGCTCAAAATGTTAGTAGCTGAGGTTGAGAAGCTCTGCTATAAGACTTTAAAGGAAAAAAAAATGGTTTTGAACAAATGTCTAAATGGATGTTGACAGCCATCCTAATAATCATATTGAATTGCTGTATTACAGTTGACCCTTGAACAACATGGATTTGAATTGCGTGGATCCCCATATACGTGGATTTTTCAATTGACATGTGCAGTTCAACTCTGTGGTTGGGAATCTATATGTAGAGGGCTGACTAGTTATACATGGATTTTTCAGTTTGTGGCAGGTTGGTCCCCCTAATCCCTGCACTGTTCAAGGGTCAGTGGTATTTTTAAGAGATCCTTATGCCACTTGGAACCCAGGCATGAAAAATTATTTGGGAAATTAAAGTTAATAAAATCACTGGGAGTCCTAAATATTGTGTGCCTAAGAGTACTTTTCTTATCCCTGTACTTCCAGGATCTCAGATTCCTCCTCACTTGATATCCTTTCCCATATGCAGTCATTTAATTACTTTTATCAGCATCCTTAATTTTCCTGCCACCAGTTTGTCAGTCTGAAGCCTCTGGTCCTAATCTCTGTAAGTCAAGACAAAGTAGTAGTATATTGACTCTGGATCTATTTCAAATAGGAGTTGGAAAGCGTAGCCAGACCCTCAACATTTATAATCTTGATCTGTTTCTAACCTAGTTGTGGGCAAACTGCTGCTGTTTTTATAGGAACCACTAGCTAAAGATTAACTCACAATGCCTGATGTATTTACTATCTTGCCCTTTCCAGAAGTTTGCCATCCTCTAATCTCTTTTCTGTTCCATCTTTTTCCTCCACTGAAAGCCTTTGAAATGACTCTCTCCATTTGCTCTCCAACACTGTTCTCTCCCAATCTTTGCATCAGATCCTCTCCTTCCCACCAATATACCTCTTTCCCTCATGATTTCACTGCAGACATCTTGTAATTTCTGCTCCTCTCTCTAATAATCTCATACACTCAGGACTGGCCACTCCCTTTCATTGATGATTCTTAATAACTAAGCCCAATTTCTAGACACCCAAATGTAGCCATCTGGATAGTACCCAGGCATTGCCATATTAGCATGTTTAAAAAGCACATGCTCTGAAGTTACCCCTGACTCTACTTGCCCATTCCTGATTCCTATCCCCCGCATGTACAAACACTAATACACCATGCAGATCATTTGGCCTTTAAATTTTGATAGTTTGTCTAAAAAATCTCTGTAGACTACTATTCCTAACACATCTGGTGCTGCATTCCTATGGTACCCCTAATCCATTCACAAGACCATTTGTGCTGAATCTCCTTCAGTGTCTTACCTTCCCTCCTCTACACCATCCTGTCCAAAAAACAGAATAGAGCCCTGGCCAAGTAGCTCAGTTGGTTATAGCATCATCCCTATGTGCCCAGGTTGCAGGTTCGATCTGTAGTCTGGGTACATACAAGAACCAACCAATGAATGCATAAGTAGCTAGAACAACAAATTGATATTTCTCCCAAATCAATAAAAAATTTTCTTAAAAAATGGGGAGCAGGAATAACATGACTTGATTTTTACTGATAAAGTCCATCCTTCTTATGAAATATAGGAGATTATGAACTGGCCTGTCTACCCTCAGCCTTACCTGCGGCCACTGTCCACTCTGTCCCCTTCAGTCTGCTCACAATGCACTACTGTTTCTCAGTCACACTAGGAATTTTCCACCTCCATGTCTTTATACATCTCATTTCCTTACATGTAGATGCCCTCCTCTGCCTTACAGGCAACTCTTAAAAAGCCCAACTCAAATGTCACATGTTTGGTGTTAACTTCTCTAAGCAGAAATTACTGCTCTTTTCTGTACATAAAATGCCAGGTGTCAAAAAAACAATCATTCTAAACCAGTTAATGTCTTGTACTTAATAAGTTTCTTGGATTGAGGTAACTATGTTTCCAAGTGAGAAATATCTGGAGATGTCTTAAATATTGGCAGTAGCCTCAAAACAGATAAGTAGCATCCCAGTATCTTCAAAAAACAGCTTTCACATAGTGTGTAAATTCTAGGATGGCAGTTAAAACATTTTATAGCTTGATAAATGACAGCTAGGAAGATCTTTTAAGGTAAGAACTTAGCCTTTCAACTCTGGTTCCACAATCAATATTTTTTTCTGCAAGTAATATATCTTTAAATAAGTTACAAGACTTTGTTTAGAAAATTGAATGATTTTCTAAGCTTTCATAATTTAAAGCAAGCCTTTTCGTGTTTGCTAGATTAAGACCCTATGTATAGACAACTATAAATTTCTGAAACTTTCTGAAGTAGTATATATATTTCTGCTTTTTTGGGAAATTTACAATAAAGTTTAGAATCCATTCATGGTCATGTCTCTCAATTTACTACGGTACAGATTATAATCATCACCCAAAATTCTGCAGGAGCTTTGATACGGTATCCATGCTGTTGGAGATTTGTTTCCTTCCAACTCTTTTTACAAATCAAAATGATTTTTTCATTGAATTTATTGAGGTGACATTGGTTAATAAAATTATATAGGTTTCTTTCTTTAAAAATTTTTTTAAAAATCCTCACTTGAGGACATTTTTCCCCTTGCTTTTAGAGGGAGGAAGGGAGCAAGAAACAGCGATGCGGGGGAGAAGCATCGATTGGTTGCCTCCTGCACATGCCTATACCTGGGGTCAAACCCACAACCTAGGTATGTCCTCTGACCAGGAACCAAACCTGCAACCTTTTGGTTATGGGATGATGCTCCAACCAACTGAGCCACACTGGCTGGGGCAGAGTATGTAATACTTACTTCTTGAACTTTATTTAATTGCATAGCATTTCATTAGTTACTATATCAATATTTAACTTTCCCTTTTGTTGAACATTTTTAATCATTTTATCACAATCTCTTTCTGATTAGAAATTAAATGATAGAGGAAATCTGAATGGGTATCTTTTTTTTTTTAAGTACACATCCAGAGTTGATTGACTATATATGTACATATACAACTAGTATAACAGACATTTAAAGGCTGACTTTAATTTGTACCCCTTTAACAACTGGGAATGTACAACATTTTTTCATTATGTTTACTGCCTTTTCCATTCTGTGTGAATTCTTTGTTAAATTCCTTTTTATCTTGATTTTTTTATTTTTAAGGTCTTTATATAATCTATATTTCAGTTCTTTGTCGTACTACAAAATATTTCTATTATTTCTCTTTTTATTCTTTAAGTGACACTTTTTTATTTTTTTTTAAGATTGTATTTTTAGAGAGGGAAAGGGAGAGAGAAAGAGAGGGAGAGAAACATCAATGTGTGGTTGCCTCATGCGCACCCTACTCGGGCCCTGGCCCACAACCCAGGCACGTGCCCTGACTGGGAATTGAACTGGCGACCCTTGGTTCACAGGCCAGCTCTCAATCCACTGAGCCACACTAGCCAGGGCAAACATTTTAATTGCTTATTTTATTTTTTTAAGGTTTTAAAAAATTTCTTTTTAGAGAGAAGGGAGGGAGAAAGAGGGAGAGAGATGGATCAATTGCCTCTCGTTAGCACCCTGACCAGGGACCAAGCCTGCAACCCAGGCATGTGCCCTGACTGGGAATTGAACCTGCAACCTTTTGTTTGTGGGACCAGTGCCCAACCAACTGAGCCACCCCACTAGGGCTTCTTTTCCCTTTTTTTTTTTAATTTATTGATTTTAGAGAGAAAGAAACATCGATTTGTTGTTCCATTTATTTTTGCATTTATTGATTGATTCTTGTATGTGCCCTGACTGGGAGACCCCTCAACCTTGTTGTATGGAGACAGCTCTAACCAACTGAGCTAGCTACCCAGCCAGGGCTTATGTTAGATTTAAATCTGCCTTCTTTAGAACTGCGCATCATTTTTTTTTTAAGATTGTATTTATTTATTTTAGAGGGGAAAGGAGAGAGGGAGAGAAACATCAATGTATGGTTGCCTCTTGCGTGCCCCCTACTGGGAACCTGGCCCACAACTGAGGTATGTGTCCTAGACAGGCTCAAACCAGAGACCCTTTGGTCTCAGGCCGGCACTCAATCCACTGAGCAACACCAGCCAGAACTGCCCATCCTTCTTGTTTTGCCTTATGAAATAGGATATTTAACCCTTGATTTTGGAGATGTTGGAAATCTAGAAATAAAGATGCTGTTCAGGAACATCTGGATACTGACTTACCCACACCACATGAAGATACGGCCTCAGTGACAAGACGGTTCATTCCTGGAATCCAGAACCTATTTTTATTTTTATTTTTTAAATCGAAATGTAATTTATTATTTTAAAGATTTTTATTTATTTATTTTTAGAGAGAGAGAAAGGGAGGGAGAAAGAGAGTGAGAGAAACATCAATGTGTGGTTGTCTTGCTCACACTCCCTACTGTGGTCCCGGCCCGCAGCTGAGGCATGTGCCCTGACTGGGAATCAGACTGGCGACCCTTTGGAGAACCTGTTATTTTAAATAAGTTTCATATCCTTTGCCTAATAAATTTGGAACTTAACCTTCTGTTAATGTGTGTGAGAGCATTTGTATCCATGTGTCACCCTTCCCACTAACCTGTAGGTCACCAAAATTAATGCTGTTCTAGTAGCCCACAAATTCAGAAATTAGCTATTATGAATTCTTTAGTTGGTTTCCATTTTGATAGCTAAAACAGTTTCAGATATGTGGCCATCCAAGAATTTTCCTCTAGATAAAATTCTAATTTATTAGTATCATTCACTATATCCATGTGACATCTATTGTGTTAGTGCCATCCCTTGTCTCTAAAAGAGTAATTAATGATTGACTTCCCTTCCTAAAGTCTAGAATTAATTGACTATTACTGAAAGTTACTTAGAAAATACTACTTCTGCCCTGCCTGGTGTGGCTCATTGCATTGAGCGCCAGCCTGCGAAACAATGGGTCACCAGTTGGATTCCCAGTCAGGGCACGTGTCTGATCCCCAGTAGGGGGAACGTGAGAGGCAACCACACATGGATGTTTCTTTCCCTCTCTCCCTCCCTTACCCTCTGTCTAAAAATAAATAAATAAAATCTTTTTTTTTTATTTTTTTTTTAAGAAAATACTACTTTAACCCGCCAATGTACATCTTTTCCAGGGCAGTTATATGACGGCTATGATGAAGAGTATGATTGTCCCATTTTAGATGAAGATAGAGTAAGTACAACTTTTTAAATAAAGGATACATTTTAAAAATTTTAATAGGAAATTTGACTTGTTTTTTAAGAATCATTCATCCTTTTTTTCCTCCACCTTTCTTATAGGTAGTGGATGAGTTAGAAAGCCAGATGAGTGAAGGTGGAGTTATTGTTGATTACCATGGTTGTGATTTCTTCCCTGAACGCTGGTTTCATATAGTTTTTGTGCTGAAAACAGATAACAGTGTATTGTACAAAAGACTTGAAGCAAGGTAAGAAAGGAAATATATTGAATTCTTAAAGTATAAACTTTTTTTCAGATTCTGAAATTGGTTATTGTGACTATTTGGTCTCTAGTTGTGAACCAAATCTGCATGGTACCAACATTCTGAATCTAAAAGAAAAAGATGCATTTGTATAATGCAGGCATTTGTATAACTGTGTAAATGAATACTTCAACTGACAGTTTAAGTAAAATGTACTATATTGCAACCCTATTGAATATGCTTTTTCCTTGAAGTAAAACCTTGCTAGGAAAACAGCCAAGCCAACAACATAGTCTTTGCTACTGAGTGAACATTACCCAAATTATCCTTATTACAGGAATGGGAAAGCTTATGAAAAACTAACAAGATAAATCAACATTTCACAACCTTTAAAATATATTTGAGTTAGTGCCTCCAAGAGAGTGTCACACTCCAGAATAACCAAAAAGGATACATTTTTGAGGAAAACATTTTTCTGCTGCCTTCTGATTCAAGCTTTGGGAAGATGGCAGTTCTAGGAGGAATTTAGAGGGCAGTCTCAGCAAAGAAAACTCCAGAAATTTGCCTAAGGTCAGATTCAGAATTTGCGATTCTCACTGAGTCAGCTCTGAGTAACTACCATTGGGTGGAATACTTGCAAAATCCTTGCACAAAGGAGTATAGTAGCAGACATGTAGGGAGGGTTCGGTTGGAACAAGACCCACAACTGCCATCCTTTTTTCTCTAGGTAGTGAAAAGCCATTAAAAGTATTTGAACAGAGAAGTAATAGAGACCATGTAGTACTTACGCTTTTTTCTTAAACAAGGCACTTTTTAAAAATTATTAAAAATTACTGTTTTTTTGCAAATAGCCAAAGACTAAGGTATGAAAATAAGATGAGAGGTAGTCTTTTATTTGTAGCCATTGAAAAAATTATAATAAAGTAACTACTTTTTAAAAAACAGCTCTATTGACATACATTCACACACCACACAATTCACCCATTTAAAGTGTATAATTCAGTGGTTTTTAGTATATTCACAGAGGTGTGCATCTATTACTACAGTCAGTTTTTGAAAACATTCATCATCCTCCCCCCCCCCAAAAAAACCCCACACCCATTAGCAGTCACTGTCCATTTTCTGCCTCTTTCCCAGTCTGAGGCAACCAGTAATTTACTTTCTCTCTCTGCAAAGTTGCCTATTCTGGACATTTCATGTAAATTAAATCATATAATATGTAGCCTTTTGTGTCTGGCTTTTTTCACTTAGTGTGATGTTTTCAAAATTCATCTGGGTTATCAGGTGCATCAGTACTTCATTCCTTTTTTATTGCCAAATAAAATCATTGTATAGATAGACTATATTCTGTAGTTTATTTATCAGGTATGTGATTGCAAAAATTTTCTCCCAGTCTGTGGGTTGTCTTTTCATAAAATTAATCGTCTTTTAAGTAGTTTCATTTAATTTTGATTTTTTTCATCCTCACCCAAAGATATGTGTATTGATTTTTATTTGATTTTTAGAGAGAAAGAGAGAGATACATCAACTTGTTCCATTTATTTATGCATTCGTTGGTTGCTGCTTCTATGTGCCCTTGCTACAGATTGAACCCACAATCTTGGTGTATTAGGACAATCCTCTAAACCGACTGAGCTACCCAGCCAGGGTAGAATTTTTTTATATTTTTCACTAGTTAATTGGTTGGCTAATTCACATATCTGTCTAAAGATTACTTAAGTTTATTTTTTTCAATGTCTTTGAAATTGGTAAAGATACATCTAGGTGATCAAGTACCTAATTAGTGTATATTATTTTAATCATATACATTTCATTTTATTAGATACCATCTACTTGTTTTATCTGTTTATATCATAACCACTCTCATTCTTTTTAAAATCTAAGACCATAATTATAGTATTCTTATTTTATTTCAGAATCTGGATTGAGATAGTTAGGTGTATTTACTAACTGAGTGCCTGACAAAATGTCAGGGAGGGGAAATTTCAGACAAACCTAAATATTGATCCTTCGTTTAACCCTCTTGTAGCACCCCTTATTTATAGGTGCCAGTCGATTTTCTATAGGTAAAGAGAATACAAGAAGTATTTTTGCATGATTTTTTGTATTTCCCACAGTCTCCAGTTTCTGGTATGTTTATTAAAACTCTAATTAATGCCATTTGTTTGCTTATCTTCTCTCTGCCTTCTAGAGGTTACAATGAGAAGAAACTGAAGAATAATATTGAGTGTGAAATTTTTCAAGTGCTATATGAAGAAGCATTAGCATCCTACAAGACAGAAATAGTGCATCGGCTGCCCAGCAATAAACCAGAAGATCTAGAGGATAATATCAATGAGATATTGAAGTGGATTGAGCAATGGAGCAAAGATCAGAGCTCTTGACTTATGAGTCTGGCCCCTTTAGAATCACTGTTAATATTTCTCTGCCCACATCACATAAATTGTCCAATAATCAGTAAAACTTTTTTATTAAAATTATGTTGCAGAACTAGTAGGTGCATAGTATACAGCTTTATGTTTGGGTTTCTCTTTTCTATGAGAAAGCTAAACAATCTCAAGTATAATGAATATAATGTTATTAAAGACAGAATAAAAATTGTCATCATTTAATGCTTGCTGAAAGAATAGGGGTAGCGATTGCTAAAGAATAAATAAGTCAGACAAAATGTGTGGACGGATATCTTTTAAGTTTATTACAGAAGAAAATGAACATGGTCTCTTAAAACTGAAATCTAAAGATAAAGCATCAGAGTTTCCATTTTTATTTCTCTAAAAAAGGGAATACTTACACTCTGAAAAAGGTACAAAAGATTATACTGGAAAGGTAGGTTTCCCTTCCAGGCCACCCCTGTTCTTCAGCTACCCCACATCCTCTCCCTTTAGGAACTAATGTTTCCTATATTTCTTTTCAGATGATTTATGTCTGCACAGTGTGTGTGTTACATATTTTCTTAAGCGCATGGCTAGCATACCATGTACACTATTCTGTATTTTTTCACTTACTATATTTTGGAGATTATACCATCTCAGAGTCTACGCACTTCCCTATCATTTTTTTAAAAGATATAATTCACGTGTCATAAAATTGACCATTTTAAAGTGGACAATCCACTGGTTTTTATCATATTCAGAAGACTGTGCAACCATCACCACTAATTCTATAACATTTTCATCACCCCACCCAAAAGAAGTCCTGTTCCCATTAGTCATCACTTCCCATTCTTTTCTCCTAGCCCCTTGCTATTACTAATCTTTGTATACATTGTTTCATTCTAGACATTTCATATAAATGGAATCATGCAGTATGTGGCCTTTTGTGTCTGGCTTCTACTACTTAGCATAATGTTTTTAAGGACATCCATGGTATAGCCTGTATCAGCACCTCATTCCATCAGTTCCACAGTTGGATTGTATCCACTTTGGGTTTTGTGAATTACCAATATTTGTGTATGAATTTTATGTGCATTTTGGTTTTCAATTCTCTTGGGTATGTGTCTAGGAGGGAAATTGCTGGGTTATACTGCAACTGAATTTAACTTTTTGAAGAAATACCAAACTGTTTTCCAAAGTGGCTATGTTGCTTTATAGTCTCACCATCCATGTACTAGGGATCTCATTTCTTCACATCCTTGCCAACATTTGCTACTGTTCATAATAGCCATTCTATAGAGATGCAGTCATATTTTATTTTTGTTTTTACATTTCCCTAATGACTAGTGGTGGTGTACTTCTTTTCATGTGCCTATTAATCATTTGTACAACTTCTTTGGACCCCTAAACTTTGTAATGTTTGCATCGAATTCCATTAAGGATGTGCTGCAATTGGTTTAGTCAAGCCCCTATGGATGGACAATTAAGTTGATTCCAGCTTTTTACTATTACAAACAATGATGTAAAAAAGGATAATACATATGTTAATGTGTGCCCGGCACTCTTAAACACAGTTCAAAAGTGAACTCTTAATTCACAGGAAGGTGTTATTTCCATTACAGAGGACAGAACCAAGGCACAGAAGAGTTCCGTAATTTACCCAAGAGCACAGCAAGGAAAGTGTCTGAGTCAGGACTCCATCCTAGCAGGCTTTTACCCACTAAGTTGTGCTACCTCATGCTTATGTAATTTTGCACATGAACAAGTTTCTCGGTCAAGTAAATTCCTGAAAGATAAACTGTGTGCAAACATAACATTGAGTAAATCCTTTTTAATAAAGACAGATTGCCTATTATATATGTGCAAGACTTCATCAAAATCACTATGGTAGGGAAGGCCTCCCAAGATGAGTTCTTGACCTCTAGATGATCTTAACCTAGTATATAAAAAAGACATACACACAAATGGACGCTTTAGACAAATAAGGTAGAATGTGGCAAGTGCCCTGTTGGAGATTAGAATGAGAGAATAGAAGAGAGAATTATTTTCTACTGTGAGTATCAAATGATGTAGGATGCAGGGCCTTGAAGACAGGGTATGGAAGTAAAAAAAATCGCTTGGCCTAGGTTAATACAACAAGGTGCTACCCAGTACTACCAGTCATATAAAATGAGGATAATTACTTCACAGGGCTATCGTAAGGATTAAGTAAACTGCTTAGCCCACACTAAGCACCATATGTATAGCACCATATATGTGTGTGTGTGTGTGTGTGTGTGTGTGTGTGTATGCTTGTTATTGTTTTCAGTAGTGTGAATGGCTATTTTGAGAAGATTATTGCCTTTTCACTACTGGAGTTCTCTAAATTCTCTTGCTAATCAAGCTACTCATTATCTTAACACGAATATTGACTCAATAATAAATGAGATTTTCCTTCAACAGGTGGGAGATAATGAAGTCTAACACAGAGCTACAGAACTTTTTGGAATTTTGTATATTCACTAGTTTCAGTCCTAGGTTTTCATGTGAAACTAGTGACAATGATTTAACATCTTATAGTGTGTTTGGAAAAGGTCTTAAAAATAACCTCCTTTACTGTTTTTCTCTGTTTTTATTCAAACCTATTTGTTAACTTTTTGTTTAAACAGGATGATTTAAATCAAACTTAAGTGTGTTGCCCTGGCCGGTGTGCCTCGGTTGGAGCATCATATCGTAACAAAGAGGCTGTGGGTTCTATTCCTAGTCGGGGCACATGCCTGGGTTGCAGGGTTCCATCCCTGTCTAGGCATGTATGATCCTCCTTCAGGGTGCATCCAGGAGGCAACCAACTGATGTTTCTCTCTTACATGGGTGTTTCTCTCTCTCCTTTCCTCTCTCCCTTCCTCTTTATCTAAAAGCAATGAAAAAATGTCCTCAGATGAGAACAAAAAAAAATTGAAAAAGAAAAGATAAGTGTGCCAAAATTTTAATCATTTCATAATTCTGTAAATGAGACTTTTTAGTATGATGTATTTGGTTTCTCAAGAGTGCCTTAAGATAGTAAGCTTTGGTGTATACATAACCAGTGACTTTTTCCCCCTTATGTCCTTGTTATATTTTTATTTTGGAGGGCTTTGAAATAGGGCTTTGGCCTTCAGTTATATTCCTTCTGTATTCTAAGCATGTCCTACCCAAATCCTTACCAACATTTAAATTTGTCTTTAACACAAAAGTAATAGGAGTCGAAAGAACCGTTTATTTTTTCCTATGAAGTAGGAAGAGGGAGAGGAAAAAAATCATGTTTTAATAACCTTCATTGCTGTATATGTGAAAAACAAATCATGAAAATTATATATACCTATGCTTTTACTTTTTCAAAATAGTAGTTTATTTTTCGCTGTATTTTTTTCTGTTACCATTTATTACCCTATACCCTCCTGCACCCCTGCTCATCCCCCTGCTGCCAGTCACCACTCTGTTGTCCATATCCATGAGTTCTTTATCTTTTTTCTTGATCCTGCCACTCCTCAACCTCTGCCCCCACCTCAGGCAGAGCTGTCAGCCTGTCTATCTATGAGTCTGTCTTTGTTTTGCTTGTTAGTTGAGTTTGTTCATTATATTCCATATATGAGTGAAATCATATGGTATTTGTCTTTCTCTACCAAGGCTTTTACTTAAAATTTAGTCCCTTAACTACTTTTGATGACATAAACTCTATTGACATTCTCATGTAAGCTATGAGCCCACTTCCTCCAAGGAGATATACATATTAATACAAAATGGTGCCTATATTTTTCAGAGATTCACAGACTCCTGAAATCCATCCAGAGGTTCATTGTTTAAAGAGTTTATTTTTATGGGAAGAGGGTTCAAAAAATAATTTGTGGAAAAAGACTAGTGAATAAAAAGCATATTCGTCATCCTGGAAGTCCTAGCCAGCGCATTATGCAAAAAAATAAGGACATGCAGAGCTAGAAGAAATAAACAACTCTCAGTCAACATGGTACCTATGTAGAAATTCCGAATGGCGTCCACACAAAAGCTACTTGAACTAATAAGTGACTTTCAGCAAGATCACAGAACACAAGACCAATACATGAAAGTCAATTGCATTTCCGTATATTAGTGACAAACAATATTAAATTAAAATTGTTTTAATTTAATTTTAAGGAAATTAAAATTAAAACAATAATACCATCTACTAATGTACCAAAAGGCATGCGGTACTGAGGTATATATCTAACAAAATATGTGCCATGTCTGCATGCTGAAAATTCAAAGGAAGGATCCAATTAGATGGATATACCATGCTCATTAATTTCAAGACTCAATATTATTAAGTTGTCAGTTTTCTGCAAATTGACCTATAAATTCATTCCCAATAAAAATCCCAACATAAAAATTGATAAGCTGATTCTAAAATGCACATGGAAACATATAGGAACTAGAATAGACAAACAACGCTTTAAAAGAACTTTTAAAAATTTTAAAAAACATATGTTTATTGATTTTAGACAGAGAGTAGGGGACAGAGAGAGAGAGAAAAACATCAGTTGGTTGCCACCCATGTGCTTCCCAACTGGGGATTGAATCTGCAACCTAGGTATGTGCCCTGATGCAGAATTGAACACCCGAATCAAACCCCCAACCTTCTGATGTACGGGGCAATGCTCCAACCAAATGAACCACACCAGCCAGGGCTTAAAAAAAAAAAAAACCAACTTGAAAAAGTTAAAAGACTTAGAGTACTTCATTTCAAGATTTGCTATAATAAAGTTTTAAGTGAAGAAAACTTATTTTTGTCTTGCAAAGCTACTGAAATGTTTATCATACAAAATGAAATAGTACACAACTGACTTGACAGTTATAAATATTTTAATTCTCTATGATAATTTTAAATCCCTAAGCAGCTAAAAAGCACATGACATTGAGCTTGTTCTGTTACGAGGAGAAATTTTAGAGCCTTGATTCTATCTAGTTTCCCACATGTCTAGGAATATTTACTTTTGAAAAGCAGCTAATTAAGGGAAATGTGGGTTGGATCTGGAGAAGAGGAAGACTAAAAGAAGTTGGCTACTGCGAGGAAAGGGTTTATTCGTTTATTTCGAATCCAAAGTAAACTTTAAATCCAGCCAACTTTTTTAAATTATATTTTATTGATTATTCTATTACAGTTGTCCTCATATTTCCCCCATTTGTCCCCCTCCAACCAGTGCCCCCACTCGCTCAGGCAGTCCCCCCACCATTGCTCATGTCCACGGGTCATGCATATAAGTTCTTTGGCTCCTCCATTTCCTATACTGTCCTTTACATCACCATGGCTATTCTGTAACTACCTATTTGTACTTTTTAATCCCCTCACCTTTTCACCCATTCTCCCCCGCCACATCTGTCAATCATCTGGTAACCAATTTCTTTTTTCTTGCTGCTTTTAAGAGTCTCTCTTTACCTTTAACTTTTGGCCTTTTAAATTATGATGTGTCTTGGAGGGGGCCTTTTTGCATCCATCATACTTCTGACTCTCTATGCTTCCTGGACTTCTATGTCTATTTCCTTCACCAAATTAGGGAAGTTTTCTTCCACTGTTATTTCAGATAAATTTCCAATTTCTTGCTCTTTCTATTCTCCTCTCGTACCCCTATGATGTGAATGTTGGACTTCTTGAAGTTGTCCCAGGGGCTGTTTATACTAGCCTCATTTTTTTTGGATTTTTTCTTCTTGTTGTTCTGATGGTTTTTTTGTGGTTTTTTTTTCTTCCTTATGTTCCAAATTATTTATTTGATTCTCAGCTTCATCCACTCTACCTTTGTTATCCTGTAAATTGTTCTTTATTTCAATTAGTGTATCCTTTGTTTCTGACGAGGTCTTTTTCATGCTGCTGAGGTCCTCACTAAGTTCTTTGAGCATCCTAATAAACAGTGTTTTGAACTCTGTATCTGATAGATTGTTTATCTCCATTCTGTTTAGCTCTTTTTCTGGAGTTTTGATCTGTTCTTTCATTTGGGCCATGTTTCTTTGTCTCTTCATTTTGGCAGCCTCCCTGTGTTTGCTTCTGTGGATTAGGCAGAGCTCCTTTGACTCTGTGTGTTGGAAGTGTAGCCTAACGTAGTAGGTTCCTGTAGGGTTCAGTGAGACAGCCTCCCCTATCACCCAAGCTGGGTACTCAAAGTACACCCTTCGTGTGGGCTGAGTACACCCTCCTCTTGTAGTTGAGCCTTGGTTGCTGTTGGCAGGATCAATGGGAAAGGTTTACCCAGGCCAGTCAGCTGCCAGGACTGGCTGTGACCATGGGCCACCAGCCTCTACCCTCCATGGAGGATCAGCTGTGCAGGGACTGGATGGTGGTGCGCCGTGGTTGGTAGCTGTCCACTGGGTGCGTTAGCCCTGGTGGGTTCCCAGGTGGTATAGGCCAAGGTCAGTCGTGGCCTTTGTTCTGCCTGGGGCACCCTGCCTGAGTGGTAAAGCAATCTGAGATGGCTGCTACTTGTGCTGGGCTTGGAGATTTCCACAGCCAAGTTTTCTGACCACTATGAAATCCCTTCAGTTATTTCATAGATGTTGGTGTGGATAAAAAAAGGGATCATATACTAAACCTGAAAAGCCCAGGGGAAGCCCAGATGGTGGGCCTTACAAACTCAGAGAGTGAAAATAACCACATAGGATGGTATGAACATAAAACTTCCTAACTAAAAGCAAGTCATGGTGAGTAGTCAGGTCCTAGGTCTGTAGCTTCCTTGACAAAGGTCAATCTTTACCTTAACTGAGGCTATCTATTTGTCTTTTTGCATCTAAAATAACACACCTTTGGAATGTCAGAGTAATCTCCTTTTCCAGACCCCTCAGGGCATAACAGCTGCACTAGAACAGAGACCTCAGAACCCCTCATTGTTATCTTGTTCCTCAAATACTATCTCTGTGCTATAAATGTTTGGGGTTTTTTAAGTATATTTCATTGACTGTGCTATTACAGTTGTCTCATTTTTTCCCCCTTTTATTCCCCTCCACCCTGTACGGCCCCATCCCACAGCATCCCCTCCCTCCTCTGCCCATGGGCTGCACATATAAGTTCTTTGATTTCTCCATTTCCTATACTATTCTTAGCCTCCCCCTGCCTATTTTGTATTTGCCATTTATGCTTCTTATTCCCTGTACCTCTTCCCCACCTCTCCTCCCTCCTCCTCCCCACTGATAAACCTCCATGTGATCTCCATTTATGTGATTCTGTTCCTGTGCTACTTGATTGCTTAGTTTTTGTTTTTAGATTCAGTTGTTGATAGTTGTGAGTTTGTTGTCATTTTATTGTTCATAGTTTTGATTTCCTTCTTTTTCTTAGATAAGTCCCTTTAACATTTCACATAATAAGGTCTTGGTGATGATGGACTCCTTGAACTTGACCTTATCTGGGAAGCACTTTATCTGCCCTTCCATTCTAATTGATAGCTTTGCTTGATAGAGTCATCTTTGCTGGATGTAGGTCCTTGCCTTCCGTGACTTTGAGTACTTCCTTCCAGCCCCCTCTTGCCTGCAAGGTTTCTTTTGAGAAATCAGCTTATAGTCCTATGGAACTCCTTTGTAGGTAACTGTCTCCTTTTCTCTTGCTGCTTTTAAGATTCTCTCCCTATCTTTAATCTTGGGTAATGTCATTATGATGTGCCTGGTGTGTGCTTCGTTAGGCCCAACTTCTTTGGGACTCTCTGAGCTTCCTGGATTTCCTGGAAGTCCATTTCCTTTGCCAGATTGGGGAAGTTCTCCTTCATTATTTTCTCAAATAAGTTTTTAATTTCTTGCTCTTCCTCTTCTCCTTCTGGCACTTTTATGATTCTGATGCAGGAATATTTAAAGTTGTCCCAGAGGTTCCTAAGCCTCTCCTCATTTTTTTGAATTCTTGTTTCTTCATTCCGTTGTGGTTGAATGTTTATTTCTTCCTTCTGCTCCAAATCATTGATTTGAATCCCAGTGTCCTTCCCCTTTGCCATTGGTTCCCTGTATATTTTTCTTTATTTCACTTTGCGTAGCCTTCACTTTTTCCTCTTTTCTGTGACCATACTCAACCATTTCCGTCAGCATCCTTATTACCAGTGCTTTGAACTCTGCATCTGACAGTCGGCTATCTCTTGATTGCTTAGTTGTATTTTTTCTGGAGTTTTGATCTCTTCTTTCATTTGGGCCATATTTCTTTGTCTCAGTGCTCCTGTTATGTTGTAAGGGGTGGAGCCTTAGGTATTCACCGGGGGGTGGAGTGGGGGGCAACCCACATAGCTGCACTGTAGCATTGTATATGGGAGAAGGGTCAGAGAGGGAACTATGCCACATGTTCAGCTCTCTCCCTGCTTTTAGTCACTTGCCCTGTGACCCAAAAGCAATTTGGGCCTTTCTGGTGCTGATTCCCAGGTGGGTGGGTTTATGTGCATTCTGTGGGTCTCTCCAACAAACTCTCCCATGAGGCTGGGACTTTCTCCCACTGCCACATCCCCCAGAGGTTTTTACAGCCAGAGGGTTTGAGACTTTCATTTCTTGCACTGGAATTCTGGGTTGTACAGTCCATCTTGCAACTCAGTCGTTCCTCCCGGTTTATCTGCATGCAAATATGGGACTGCCTGGTCCTCCAGCCACCTTGCCATGCATCCTCTCTGCCCCTGCTGCTCATCTGTGCCCCCTCCTACAAGTCTGGATGAATGTTTCTTCTTTAACTCCTTGGTTGTTTGACTTCCATACAGTTCAGTGTTCTGGCAGTTTTTGTTGGTTTTTGTTTTTAAATTGTTGTTGTCCTTCTTTTGGCTGTGTGAGGATGCAAAGTGTATCTACCTACACCTCCATCTTAGCTGGAAGGCCTCTGTGCTGTAAATGTGAATTATTAAGTATTGCGTACCTGATGGGGGACTCAAGTGTTGAAAATTTCTAGTTTCAGATAACAGCTAGTAAGCTTAGTAATCGGTGTATGTAAAAAGCTATTGTTTCAGGAACTGAAGGTATGACCCATCTTGACTCCAGGAAATCATTGGCAGCTCCACCTTTGTGCCCCAGGAGGACTGCAAGGAATCCAGATGGTATCTGAGCCACTGTCCTCCCGGGTAAGCTGCCTACCGCCCAGGACACAAATGAAAGAATGCTGCAGCTTTTTATCTGATTAACTTTCCCCCTGAATTCCAAACCCCTTACCTACACTTTTCTTCTTATAAAAAGGGTTGGCTGGAAATGGAATTTAAAATGGTCTGTTAGGGTACAAACCCGCCATCTTCTCAGATTATCGAAGATCTGAATAAAGCCCCCATAAAGATTCAATCTCTCTCTCTCTCTGTTTTGGTTCTAGTAGGTGACAAGCAGCACGAATGCCGGCTTTTCCAGTTTCATACCCACCCATGTAAAAGAACCCTCTGTTTCTCTATTTTGCTTTTTTATCCAATCACAGAAATTTCCCAGATTTGCCTTCTCCTACCCCCTCAATCTGCCACCAATGGATTTTGTGTAACTCTCCTGACTCTCCTCTTTTTATTCTAACGAATAAACTAAGCTGCACAAACTGCCATTCTCTGGAGCATTTTCTCAGTTCCTTGAGATTTTGCTTCTGGGCAAGTTTAGTCAGGTTGGCTCAAATAAATTCATAAAAATTCTCTATTGGTTTGGACATTTTTTACATCGACATTGGGTAGTAGGAAATAATACCAAAGTCATTTTACCAAACGTAATCAATCTAATGACGTTTTGGTGAGGTTAGAAGAAGGCAGGGCCCATTTCGAGAAACCCACAGGAGCAGGTGGTCCAGAGCAGCCGCTTCCTAGGTCCTCAAGGCCACTCCCTCTGTTCCTTCCCAGGGCCAGGCTGAGGGCTGCAATGCCCTCGGCATTTCCTAGGACTGAGCCCACGTTTCAAGGTCTGTCTCCACCGCCGAACCTCAGCTCTCCTCCACCGTTCCCTTACGGGACTTGCAGAAACAACGTTTTGAACAGTCTAATGCTTCCTTTATTGGAGCACACACGGTCTTCTGCGCAATCGGGTGCCCGCAGCGGGGAGAGGGCGGGCTTTGGAGCCGGTCGGAGCTCGGGTCCCGGGGCACTCTCCGTACAGCACAGCCGGTTATGCAGGGGGTCCAGCCCCCGGCGCGCTCCCGCTCGGGGCTGCGCCGCGCGGTCACGTGGCCGAAGGACGCGGCGGCGCGCGCGACGTGGCGGCTCGGTGCCGGGTGAGCGCGCTGATGGGGGCGCGAGGGCGGCGGGGGTCGCGGTCGCCTAGCGAAAGTAGGGTTTCCCCAACCCTCCCCTGGCGGAGGGGTTTGGGGACGAGGCAGAGCCGGCAGATGGAAACACGGTGCGGGGGTGGGGAGCGGGGCGAGGCTGCGCACATCCGCGGGAGCTCGGCAGGTTGTGGACGAGCTGGCGAACTGGCTCCTTCCCCCTAATGTTAGTTTAATGGCCTCGTCCGACACTGAAAGTGTAAGGAATAGGTTTACAAGGTTGTTCCTGCTTCTCTCTTCTTTTCTTGGCTTGATTTTTCTTTTCTTTTTTTTCTATTAATTTTGAGCCTTCACAATTACAGCGTACTAAATGCAATGTAGTATCCTGGATTGGATCGTGGAGCAGAAAAATGACATCAGGAGAAAAACTGGGGAAATTGTAATAAAGTCTATGGTTTAGCTAATGTTAACTTCTTAATTTCGATAAATGTACCCTAATATTAACATTAGAGGAATCTAGGTAAAGTATATACTGGAGTTCTCTGTATTATCTTTGTAACTGTCAATCTAAAATTGTTTTAACAGGAAAAGTTACAAAACAAAATCCTATGGTGCTGTGCAACTGGCCATTATTCACCAGGCAGGGATCCGGTTCATTCCTCTTTGCCAGGCCTGACAGGAATTGTTTGACCAACTTGTTTGCTAAGGCAAGAGTTGTTAGGCCACTGGGTGTGGATGCTTCTGGTCCATGTTATCCAGGAAGGAATCTGCTTTCTCTTTTAATTCAGTCCATCAGAATTAAACACCTTTGGAACACCTGTTACTCACAAGCAAATGAGACAGGTATACTCCCTGAACTAGAGATGTGTACAATAAAAATATTAGATAAGAAGTAACGACTACTGAAAGTGACAATACAGAACTAAGAAGGCTCAGTGGTAGGAGAAATCACATCTGGCCCAAGGTAGTCTGTAAGGCTCCTGGAGCGAGTGGCTGCCATGAACTGAGAGGGGCCTGAGAGGAGAAAGCACTCCTGGGGGGGAGACCCCCCCAGGCGGAGATTGAAGGTGACCACGCTGAGGCCACGTGGAAGAGGTTGCAGTCCCCTTTACAGGAAAGCACAGAGCATGCCCAAAGAGTACTGACAGTTGAAACGGGGTGAAAACAGAATTCTTCTTGTAGAAAACAGGGTGACACTTTTATTTTATATATATATGTCATGAGGGTTATGGAATGTGATGGGCATCTTTGGACTGTGCTTGGCAACAGTGTGTAGGACTGAGGGGAGTTACCCCATCCCGTAGAGTCCCCCTAGCAGCCATGGATGAGGAAATAAGCCGCTCGGGACACTTGGTCTGCCAGGAAAAGGGGGTGGCGATTCCCTCTAGAGGAGAATGCCCTGAGCACTTCTCCTGAAGTGGCTTTTATTGAGAACAAAATGCGTGCAGGGGTATACAGCATGCATGCAAAGCCTATCAATCTAAGTCAAAAAGGCTATAGATAATAAATTGAAAAAATACAGAGGTTTGTCTTAAGGTCTGTCAGGTTGGCGCCAGGTACTCATTAAGGCACAGTTTTCGGGGCTCAGGAATAATCTCCTCACTGTGAAGTAAAACACCTGGTTTTTCCTTGTCAGGGCAGTGGGAAGCAGAGCAAGCTTTAGTGGATACAATGCATTCCTTCACGGAGCCACAGTTCCCGATACCACACAAAGTGGTCCCCAACATAGGACAGCTTGGAGTAGATCAGTTAGGGACTATTGGTTTAGCCCAGAAGGGGTACAAGAAATTGAGCCAAGCCTGTGAAGTTAATGTGCAAAGAAGGACATGGCATTGGGAGAGTTTGTGGATCTAGAGGACTTGACAACTGAAGGTACCAGAGAGAAAAAAAAATGAGGGAAAAAAGAAAACTATTCCTAAATTTTGGACTTGGGTGTTTTAGAGCGTGGTTGATGCATTTGCAGAAATAGATGACTCAAGAGGAGACATGGCTGTAGTGGGGGAAGGGTGTGAATTTGTTTTTGAACAAGCTGTGTTCGAATTGCTGCCAGGATATCCTGCTGGAATGGAAGCCAAACATATACCGAAAGGACAGGAAGAGGAAAAGGAGCATGAACAGGCAGATATCAGAATGGGGGATTCCCACGAGGTTGAAGAGCCAAGGTGGACCAGGCACCTGGGTGTGGTGAGTCAGTGAGCACAGCTTCTGCAGAAGGGGAGGTGGCAGAGGAAGGAGACTAGGTCTTGGATTTAGGGATTAGAAAGTCACTGGTCACTTTTCAAAGAGCTGCTTTAGTGCAGAAGTAGGATTTGCTCAATTTGCAATCTGATCGTCCTGTGGCCTTTCCCAAGTGGCCAGACCACAAAACATGGAGCCAGAGAAATAGTTTCTAGTTCCGGCTCTTCCACTACCTGTATAATTTGGGGCTAGTCATGAATGCCTACAGTAGCACAGGAAAATACATCTCCTAATAAAACCAGAAGGACCCTTTTATTCCTAACAACACCTCATAGTTCATAGAACTAGGGTCTTAAATGGCACAATTTGGAAAATGCTGATATAGAACCAGGATTTTAGAGCTCTAAAAAAACCAAAAAAAAAAAAAAAATCTTCTTATCCACTACCCTCATTTGACAACTGAATAAACTAATACTCAAATTCTAATTCATTAAACATTGATTCCAAATATATCAGTGGTGCCCAAATGTTGAGTATATATAACCCCATAAAGTAGTTATGCTTAAACCCATTTTGCAGATTTGAAAACGGGCTCCAAGCCCTGGCAGGTGTGGCTCAGTGGATTGAGTGCAAGCCTGCACACTGAAAATTCACCAGTTTGACTCCTGGTCAGGGCACATGCCTGGGTTGCAGGTCAGGTCCCCGGTTGGGGGCACATGAGAGGCAACCAATCTGTTTCTCTCCCTCTCTTTCTCCCTTCTTTCCCCTCTTTCTAGAAAAATAAATAAAATATTAAAAAAGAAAGAAGAAAAAGAAAGAAAGGAAGGAAGAAAGAAAGGAAGAAAGAGAGAGAAAACAGGCTCCAAGAAGCTAAGAGACTTGCTGAGGGTCACAGAGTAGCAAGTGAAGGGGTGAAATTTGAACCTAGGCCTCCTGAAGTCAGGCCTTCTCTGTTGCCCATCGTGCTGCCTTTCTTATTGTCAACACTGAATGCGTTTAAAACTAGTCAAATGGAGTGTTAGTAATGTGTTCCAAAAATCCAGTTTAATTTGACTGCATTCCATATTAATATTACTATTAGTACATAAAAAGTGGGAGAGTACACAGCCAACAGTTCCTAAAGTTACACTTTAAAAATCGGTAGAGTGTTAGACCACGTGAAAGCTTAGTATGATGTTCAGTTCTGAATAGCAGGAAGGTGTTCCCATGGCACTTATTATGAGGTCTGTCCAGAAAGTATTCATCCATGGTCTATGAAAAATAAGACACTGATTGAAGAAGATACAGGAAACATTGTACATAGGACAGTACACCTCAGTCCCCTTCAAAATAGGCACTTTAGGACCTCACAGGGTTCTCCCAGTTGCCATCAGCTGCCCTGTCATATTTTTCTGAATCTCATCCATGTTCTGAGATCTCTTTCCTTTCAGAGGTGAGTTCAGTTTTGGGAAAAACCTGAAGTTGCGGGTCACCAAATCTGGGTTTTAGGGGACCAAATCACCTGGGTGATTTGATGTTTTGCCAAAAAATTGTGCATGAGACATGATGCATGAGTGAGTGCATTGTTGTGATGAAGCTGCCAATCACCAGTTGCCCATAGCTGCAGCCTTCGGAATCATCCAAGTAATTTCCACAGAGGAATATTCAAGCTTAATGCAAAATTTTATGCGGATTCATTCCTCTACTCAGTCATTTTAAATGCCATGGCCACACAGTACACACGCTCACTCAGTGGTGTCTACTAGTACACCACTGAGTGAGCGTGTGTACTGACTAGTACAGTGAATTTGTCATTGATCACACATGCGCATTCCAGCCCACTCTCCTTGGCTGCCAGATTACATGGATGTTGCACAAACTGTTCTCGTTATATTAAAAATGGCTGGACTTTTTCTGGACAGATCTCATATATGGTGCATTAAAAAATATTCTTAGCTAATCCTGTGATTGCATATTCTTTCCTCTTAATTGCTTTTTTCTTTGTGTTGACCAATTCCATTTTCTTCACTGCTGGCTGCCTAACCATGACCACACCTTCCTTAACAGAGATGTGAGGTTGCATTTATAAACAGGGTTCTGCTGCACTAGAGGTACAGCACTACCTCTTATCCAATACATAGTTTCCTGTCTACCCTGATATATAAAAATAGAGAAAACTTACTTATTTAGGAAATAAACTTGTAAATGAATCAAGGTGATTTTAAAAATGGGTTCAATAGACTGTGTTGAGTGTGGCTAAAACTAGCTATTTTAGACTTTTACTTTCAGTTCTGTTAGATATCATACGTAACAGAAACCTGATTTACTCTGATGTTAGCCTCATTGAAATTCTCCAATGGATAGAAAGCAGTTGCTAAGAGTGTAACAGTATCTCTAACATCCGGGATCTGGATTCAGAATCTGACTCTGGCTCTTGTTAGCTGTGTTAATCTGTGTGTGCTTCAATTTAACTGTCTATACTTTAATAATAGTGTTGGCCCTGGCCAGGTAGCTCAGTTGGTTAGAGCATTATCTCCATTTGGAACACCAAGGTTGATGGTTCTGCCCCCACTCAGGGCACATACAAGAATTAACCAATGAATGCATAAATAAGTGGAATGACAGATTGATGACTATCTCTCTCTCCCTCTCTAAAATCAATAAATATAAAAAAATATAATAATAATGTTGTCTTGCAGAGTGTTTGTAAAGATTAAATAGAATAATCTAAGTAAAGCACTTAGAATAGTGCCTAGAACACAGAAAGCAAGCAATAAGTGCTAGTTATTATGCCATTATTATTGATTTAAGGCATTTAGTTTAATAATTTTCTTAAATAAGAGGGTATAACTTATTAACACACTTCTCATTTTGTCCCCTGATCCAGTGAACAATCCCTTACTTTTTTCTGTGTTTTTAAAAACATTTACCATCATATTATTGAGGTAAAATTTACATATAATAATGGTGGAGGGCAAAGGGGGCCAAATACATGGTGATGGAAGATGATCTGACTGAGTGGTGGGCACACAGTGCAATGAGCAGATCATGCATCATAGAAATGCACACTTGAAACATATGTGATTCTAACCAATGCCACTCCAATAAATTAAATTTAAAAACTTACATATAATAAAATGCACCATTGTAAGTATACAGTTGAATTAGTTTTGACAAACCATCGTTCTACTCAAGGTATAAGACTTGTCCATCATCCAGAAAACTTCGCTCATGGCCTTTGAAGTTCACCTTCTTACCCCAGGCAACCATTGATCTATTGTCTGTTATGAATATTAGTCCTTCCAGGATTTGATATAGTACTGTGATTCTTCAGTTAGCATAATGTCTGTAAGATTCACCCATGCTGTTGCATTGATCAAAATTCATTATTTATTGATGAATATGTTGTATTATATGGATGTACTATAATTTGTGTGTTTTCCTGTTCATGGGCATTTGGATTGTTTCCAGATTGGGGCTAATTTGAATAATGCTATGAACATTCATGCACACATCTCTATGTGAATATATTTTCATGTCTCTTGGGTAAATACCAAGAATGCAATTGCTGTGTCACCATTGAAAAGAAACTGCCAAATTTTCAGTGTTTGTACCATTTTATACTCCCACCAACAGTGTATGTGGTTGTCTAAATCCTCAGCAACTCTTGGAATTGGCAGTAGTAGGTGATAGAATCTCATTGTAGTTTAAATCAACAATTCCCTGATGACTAATCATGTTGAGTGTCTTTCAAATCTTTTAAGGGCCTTTGTTTTTAAACATTGAAAATATATGGTACTTTGACCTAAAACAACAAAAAACCCTTTCATACATGATTAAATTTATTGGGCATCCATGTCCGGTTTTAAATAGTGGAAGAATAAGAGAGATCGCAGCAAAAAAATGAGATTTAATTATGTTTGAAGGACTGAGATTTTATTTTTTGAAAGTCCTGATGAACAGGATATTTAGAGAAATACATCGGATGTGTTTTGTTTCTTTTTATCTTTAAAAAGATTTTATTTATTTTTAGAGAGAGGGGAAGGGAAGGAGAAAGAGAGGGAGAGAAACATCAGTGTGTGAGAGATACATTGACTGGTTGCCTCTTGCACACTCTCAACTGGGGACCTGGCCGAAAACCCAGGCATGTGTCCTGGCTGGGAACTGAGCTGGAAACCTTTCAGCTCACAGGCTGGCACTCAATCCACTGAGCCACACCAGCCAGGGCTCCTTTGTATTTTTAATGAGTCTTGTGAAAAGCATGAAATATTTCTAAATAAGTACAGCAAAGCAGCTGTTTTGAAACAGCTGGTGGTGAAAGTCCCTCTTAACTGCACTCTGTGTGCTAAGCTGAGCATTTCAGGTGCCCTCCAGCCACCAGGTAGGCCACTGTCACCAGATAGGTGCCGACAATGCTCTTCAGACCAGGAAGGCTCAGTGATGATTTCTCTGCTTTCTCTGCTGGGCATTTTCACGTGGAGATGTTGTTTTCTTCCAGGAAGAAGGGCAGACAGTTAGCCCCAAGGCATCCAGGGTGGAGCCTTGCTGAGATGACTCTTTTTGTTTTTCTGTCCTAGAGGCAAGTTGATTTCAGTGTGTGTGTTCCTTCCTTGCTTTGTTCTTTCCTTGAACAAGTATTTATTGAGCACCAATTATGTCTCAGTTTCAGGTACTGGGAATGCAGTGATGATCCAAACAGATAAAAACTTCTGCCCCTGTGGAGCTCACATTCCTCTTAGGGCTGTCTAGAGTGGGTTTGGACTCCGGTGGGGGAAAATTTAGGGGGTGCCCTACCTCTTGAGAGGTATTCAAGAGAGGCTGGAGCCATCCTCCCATCCTCAGCTTCATGGGGCTCCCTCTTTTGCACCACCTTTCCCCTTTTAGTGGCGTGATTTGAAAAATGAGTAAGATACGGAGGAGTAAAATACAGAGGAGTGTGTTAGGGTGGTCGGTAATGGCGGCTGTGGAAGAATTCTCAAAGAGAAGAAAGTTCAGAGCATAAAGGTTTTTTTCCCAAGGGAGGGAAGGGGCTAGGTGCTGGGGAGAAAGGCACCAGCCCCGGCCCTGAGAGCTTAGGGCTTTGGGTTTTTGTCGGGCAGTGGGGTGGTTGTAGAGCAGGATGTTTCAGTTAGGTGGCAGCTTGTTTCGATATTATCTTTGGGTGCAGCGTCAGCGGGGTCCTCCTGTCGTTGTGGTCTGGTGTGTCCTGTTTCATGGGTTCCCAGAACCTCCAGAGCCTCTGTGCCTTCAGGGCAGTTCCAGGAATTTTCTAGTCCTGAGGATAAAGGCTCATAAAACAATTAGGGTCAGTCATGCTTGGGGGTCTAGCCAGCTCGGGAAAGAGGGCCTCAGAAAGTGGTTTTTGTCCTAACGGGGGAGTCCAACCTGTGGCCCGAGAGCCACATGCAGCCCAGGATGGCTGTGAATGAGGCCCAACATAAAATCATAAATGTACTTAAAACATTATGAGATTTGTGTGTGTGTGTGTGTGATTACGTGTTGCAGTGTATTTAATGTGTGGCCCAAGACAACTCTTCCAGTGTGGCGTAGAGATGTCGAAAGGTTGGACACCCCTGTTAGAAGGTGATAAGTGTGAAGGAGAAAGATAAAGCAGACAAGTGGGATTGCAAGGGTGGGGACGGGGGTTGCAATTTTAAATGGGGTGTCAGGAAAGGCCCCGCTGAGAAGGTAAGACTGAAGGAAAGGCCCACTGGAGCTGAGGAATCAGTTGTGCAACTGTGGGGGGTGGGGGAAAAAGAGCATTCATTCCCCTGGGGCAGGGCGGGCACAGACGCTGGGGCTGGAATGGCTGGCCTGGTTCAGAGCACCGCGGCGCCAGGGCAGTCAGCCTGAGGGGCTGGGGCAGGGGTGAGCATAGGGTATTTAACCCTAGAAAAGGCTTTGGTATTTGCTCTGGTTGCATTGCAAAATAGGTTTTGAACACAGATGCAATCTGATTTTAGAAAAGGGAGAGGTGGGGCACCTTGGTCCCTCCCACCTATCACTGTCCCAGATACAAAACCTTTCCTAACAGCATCTACACAGAAATAGCAAATGAGCCGAGTAGGGCTGTAGGAGAAATGGGAAGAGCCTGGAGCCCCTGAATTGGATAAAGGGCGGGGAAGGGACAGAGGCAGAGTGGTCTTGATCATTGGAAGTCTCGTTTTCCAGAGACTTTGCTGACTGAATCTTCTAGAGCTCTTAGGCTTGTGAAAACAGAACCCTTTCCTTTAGAAGCTTGTATATCAAGAATGTTGTTTCCTTAGCAAAGACTGATCTGTTTTATCCTGATCAGTAGATTACTGCAGTAAGTAAAAGCCTTTCCTGCTTCTTTACTATTCACTGCATCTTTGAAATAAACAGCTGAAATTTTTCTTACCTAAAACGTCCTGAAATGTTGAATTGTATTGCGCCTTGGCGCTGGCGCCTTTCTGGGACAGCCATGCCTGCAGAGCGCAAAGAGGAACTTTTCTTCCCTGGAAAAACCCACCTTTCTCACACTGACAGTGTTTTAACTACTCTTTTTTTCAACTACAGGTAACCGGTTTTCCCTTCTGGTCCAGGCGGCATCCGGCTGATGAGCAGGGTGGAGAGGCCACCGGGGCCGGAGGGGGCGCAGGCGCAGACCTGCGAATCAGAGGATGATGATATGGCCCAAGGCGATTTAGGGTATGGCCTCGGAAGAATGCCCGGCAGTGCTTATGAAGGGCAAATTTCACCTTTATTTACATCTAGAAAAAGATCAGATGAAAGGAACTTTAGCCCTCTCCCATTTCCAGGAAAGGGGGAAGAAAGAAGTGGCGCCATTTTTCAATATTCCAGGACTAAGATCTTGGAAGCTGCACGCCTTGAAGGGTCCAGAATCTCCCATCCCAGACAACTGAGCAGCCAGGGTGAGAATGCCTGGTGTCCTCTCTGTCCTCCTCCTCCTCCCCCACTGTGAATTTTGGTGCTTCCACCCTTCCAACACATCAAAATAGGTCACCAGAGTGGATTTTAGAAATTTATCTATCTTCACTTCTCAAGATTGGTGATGGTTCAAAAGTAATTAATTGATCAAATTAATTTTTTAATTACTTACTAAGTAATTCTTAGTAAAATTAATTACTAAGAATTGTTCAAATTGTGAAGTACACTAGTTATTCCGTATTCATACATAGTGATACCGGTACATAATTACCTACCGTGCTTTTTTGATGATGTAGTGGTATATTTCATTTATTCTTTTTTTTTTAAAGGTTTTATTTAATTTTAGAGAGGGGAAGGAAGGGAGAAAAAGAAACATCAATGTGCTATTGCTTCTCAAGCGCCCCCTACTGGGGACCTGGCCTGCAACCCAGACATCTGCCCTGCCTGGGAATTGAACCAGCAACCCTTTGGTTCACAGGTTGGCGCTCAATCCACTGAGCCACACCAGTGAGGGCTGTTCTTTGTTTCTTATTCAACAAATATATATTGGGTACCTATTAGGTGCGTGGGATAGCTCTAAGCTCTGGGAATAACATCATTGAAAAAAATAGTCAAAGGCCCTAATGTCACGGAGTTTACATCGTAGTATAGGAGACAGAAAATAAACCTACATATCGGCAGCTGTACAACATCAGTCAGTGGTAAGTGAAGGGATAGTGAGTGACTGGGGAAGCTGGGGCACCACTATATTAGGCAAGGGTCAGGGAAGCCTCTGGAAGGAGGTGACATTTGAGCACCCCACGCCTGGTGCTTTTCTGGGGAGGGAGTGTTAGTGGCAGAACACGCAGACTTCTGGTTATCTTGTGGGTGTTATGAAATTCTCAAAAATTATCAAAACAAAATTAATCTATTTATTATAACTAAAAACAAGTTTCCCATACATTAAGGGAAGAATACAATTCAGAAGCATACTGTGATAGAATGACACAGCTCCAGAGGGACTGGGAGGCGCGGCTGAGTGCAGGCTGTGCTGTGGCACAGCTCTGTGTGGCTGAGTCTTTTGTAATCGACGTTGTAAAACATCCCCCACCAAAGCGGAACAAACACAAATTAGAACAACACAAAAATAATGTAAGAAACCTGGTTTCAGATTTATGGTTTCAAACAACATGTTCTAGCTGGGGATCTATTCCCATCCCTCAAAACTCCTTCTTGAAATTAGGGTGGGATTATTGAAACATTTTTCTTCCAAGTCCTTAGAGAATACACACTGTTTTGCAAGGAAGATGCTGAAAACTGAACATGATGCTAAAATGCCTTTGTAAAAACATGGGGAAACCACTGGGATGGAAATAAGATGTAATAGTGACAGAATGAGCTTTTGTTTTGTTGTGTTACGCACTTTTGTCTTTTTATCAAAGTTGACCTGATCCTAGGTAAGAATACTGTGCAAATTTCTTAATAGGTAATCTCTAAATTACCAGAAATGTAATGGTTTAAAACAACACAAATTATTATCCTACAGTTAGGTAGGTCAAAAGTCATAAGCAGGTTTCACGGGGCTGCAGTCCGGGTGCCAACGGGGCATTCCTCCTGGAGGCCGCGGGAGAGAACCCATTCCTTTGCCTGTCCAGCTGCTAGTGGCCGCCTGTGGCCCCCTCCCTCTGTCATTAACGCCAGCACTGGCTAGTTGGGTCTTCCTCATGCTGCGTCAATCTGACACTGACTCTTCTGCCTCCACTTTCATTTTAAGAACCCTGTGAATACCTTGGACCCACCTGGCTAATCCAGGATAATCTTCCATCTCCAAGAACTAATTTAATCCCATCTGTAAGGTCCTTGGTGCCACGTATTCACAGGTCATGGGGATTAAGATGTGGACGTCGTCGGGGGCCATTATTCTGCCTACCACAAGTATTAATAAAACAGAACTTGTTGTCAATACAAATGTCACTTTTGTCCCTCTTTGAAACCCTGTATCATTAGAGTAAACACATGATTTAGGTTTGCCTTCGATACTGTCATGCTGATGAAAGTTCAAAATAGCAAAGAAAAAAATTGTTTTGAGAAAATTTTAATATCCTTCAAAATATTCTAAGTTTTTTCTTCATTTACTTCTTTTCCTTTGCTTATAATATACCACTTTAATGTTTTTCTATTGCCACGGAGACCACAGTGAACATGAAGCTCCTAGAGAGCTCAGTTTAATGTCTCAGTTGATCACATTAAAGAGAAAATAACTGAAGTTACAGGAGATTTCTAGTCATTCTCTTTGGGAAAAAATTAAATTCAGGTTATTTCTTAGCTATTCATATCACTATATTGATTACACTTAAGCCAAACACCAAAACTTATTTATTCCACTCACCAACATTCATGTTTGTGTGTGTGTGTGTGTGTGTGTTTGTATGTAACTAACCAATTTATTAACAAGTTTTATTTTAGAGTCCTTTTTAAAAGTCTTTTTATTCAAAGTGTGTGTATCTTCATTTGTGAAATATTTTAAACTACCTATTTTTGTCATTATTTGGATTATTACAATTCTTTTCTCTTTGCAATTTGGGGGAAATTTATATTTGATAATTTGTAAACATGTCTTTATTTAAAGAAAATATGTGGTTTTTTTCCTAATAGATCCTAATTCAGAATTATCAAGTGTAGAATTAAAGCAACGTCTTGATGAAACATTAGAGGTAGGTACTCTAGCTAATATAAAAGTTCTCTTGTGAATAGAAGTCCACTGGTAGATATTTTGTTTAAGTAATACTAAAATTGTATGGAAGGCAAATGTTGGCTTTACCGGTATTCCGGATGAGCAACAGGGTAAACAAATGGGCTGCCCACCTCAGTTTGTATCCTCGGCATGTCTCAAAAAGGTGTTTATGTAAACATGCCCCCCAGTTCTCCTTTTGCCCCTAATCCTTACTTCTCTAAAATCCCGGGGAAATAGTTACCACTTCCTTCCATCTGTTTCCCCTGTAAATATGTCTCCCCTATAAACAAGTCAAGAAAGAACCTGACTTAATTTAACCTCTTTGAGGTCAGAAGGCCAGAAAGTAGCCCAGGTGGTCCAGCCTGTTGGGAGTATGTGTTTCTGTGAGGGGTGCCCCTCCAGTGGGAAACAGGAAGCCCATCTTAGTGTACGTCTGTGACTCTTTGGAAGCTGCTGTAATGAAGTACCACACATTGTGGGTTTAAAACAACAGAGATTTATTCTCTCTGTTCTGGAGGCTAGAAGTCTGAAATCGAGGTGTCGGTGGGCCGTATTCCCTGAGAGGTCTTGAGGAGAGTTCTTTGCCTCTCCCAGCCTCTGGTAGTTGTTCCCGACAGCCCTAGTCCTTGGCATCCCTTGGCTTGTGGCTGCATCACTGCAGTCTCTGTTGTCATATGGCCTTCTCTGTGTGTCTGTGTCCAAGTTTTTCTCCTTTTAATAAGAACACCAGTCATTGAATTGGGGTTTACCTTAATCCAGTCTGATCTCATTTTAATTTGATTACATCTGCAAAGACCCTGTTGCCAAATAAGATCACATTCACAGTACCAGGAGGTAGAACTTGAGCATTTCTTTTGGGGGGACACAGTTTAACCCGTAACTACTGGAGCTGTGTGAATGATTATGTGGCCTAAGAGTTTTTTGTTTTTGTTTTTGTTTTTTTCAAATCCTTAGCTGTGTGGCCTAGGTGGGTAAAAGCAAAAGATTTGGGCTTTGAGTTACAAATAGCACCTGATAGTAAGGCTCTCAATTTTGGCCTGTCTGGCCACTTACAGAGTCTGTAGGACTTTCCAACCACATTTATAAGGTCAAAGTGCTTTGAGTCAAACTGTATTTTGAGCTTAAATGTAGACTCTTCATCAAATTGATCATTTGGGGTTGCACATCTTGCAGATAAAAAGACTAATTTCATTTCTTTCCTCAGGAGGTAGAAATTTTAAAAACTGAGCTTGAGGCATCCCAAAGACAACTTGAAGCTAAAGAGGAAGCACTGAAAATTCTTCAAAGCATGGTAAGAAGTTGTTTTAAAACTTCCATCACTTTCGCATTCCAATACTAAGTGGTATGGTTTTAGCTTTTAAAACAAAAGCAGCAATGCTTGATATAATTCAGTTTCTTTTTGAGGTTTAAATTTTCTAACAGCTTTACTGAGGTATAATTTGCATGCTATAAAATTCACTCATTTTAAGCATGCAGTTCACTTTTACTAAACTTAAGAGTTGCGCAACCATCACCCCAATAATTTTAGAATATTTTCAGCACCCCAAAAGGAACCTCATACACCTTAGCAGTCACTCCCCAATGTCATCCCTAATCTACTTACTTTCTTATAGATTTGCCTTTTCTATTTAGTATAGATAGAATCATACAATATGTGTCAGGATTCTTTTAGTTAGCATGTTTCTGAGGTTCAAGCATGGTGTTGCATGTGGCAGTACTTCCTTCCTTTTAATTGCCAACTCATATTCCATTATATAGATACAGCACATTTTGTTTAACTACTTACCAGTGGATGGGCATTTAGGTTTCCACTTTTTGGCCATTATGAATAATGGTACTGTGAATGTTTTTGTACAAGTCTTTGTATGGAAAATCCTTTCATGCATTCTCACCTTCATTGGGAAAGACCCAAACCAAGATCTTCTGACTTTTGAACGATCAAACACGCCACAAAATAATGGTCTCTGTGGAAATTCTCATCTCAAATTAATTTTCTATTGCTTTAATATAAAAATGTGAACTTCAGCACTGTCCAGTGTAGCTCAGTGGGTTATTGTCATCTTGTGCACCGAAAGGTAACAGTTTTAAAAAAATACATGTATTTATTAATTTGAGAGAGAGCGAAACATCATTTGGTTGCCTCTCCTTTGGGCCCGACCAGAAATTGAACCTGCAACCTTTTGATGTACAGGAGGACAATCCAAGTAACCGAGCCACCTGGCCAGGGCTCGAAGGTTTGATTCCCGGTCAGGACATATACCCAGGTTGCTGGTTTGGTCCCCAGGGGTGCATGAGGGAGGCAACCTATAGATGTTTTTCTCTCACATTGATTTCTCTTCTCTTTTCTCTTCCCTTCCCTTCCCTCTCCCTTCCCCTTCCTCCCTTCCTTCTTCTCTCTCTCTCATTAATAAATGTACCCTCGAGTGAGGATAAAAAAAAAAAGTGAACGTTTTGTGCATATAGGAGTAATTGGAAATTTAATTTATACTGATATGATTTTTATTTTTCTTAGGCAATATTTGGCAAAGCCACAAGTCATACCCAGGTGCTACTTCAAAAAACTGTGGAACAAAAGAGATCCTTGGAGAAGGTATTTGCATTTTTAGCTTAGACTTGTTTAATCCAAAAAGCTTTCAAACAGAATTTCCTTAAAGGCCACCTCACTAACGGATATGTCATTTGCACATACCTCTGCTAGGTGTGCTTCAACTTTATACGGTTCCTTCCCTTTTGGAGCTTGTACTCCAAAACAGGTTGTCAAATGGGCAAAGAGTTACGGTTTCCTTTATTTCCCCATTTTAAGGTAGGGGAGGCCTGCCAAGTTGATACCTCCTATTTTTCTTCTCTTCTTCCTCTGCTTCCAGAGCCTCCCCTTTCAGACCACCTCATCTTCACTGAAAAGGTAGTTAGGAATTGCCTTCAAAGGTCACGTGCCTCCTGTGCCTGTTGTGCCCTCCCTTGGTGGGACAGCCCTGGCTCAGACTTCCAGTGTATTTTGCTTGTGGAGCCTGCACAGGTTGAGGGTAGGGATAATGAGACACGTAGGTTTGGACCAGCACACTTTTAAGTTAAACAACTTGTAATTTCTCTTACAATAAGGAAGTTTAGGCAAAGCTCTTTTGAGTGCTTAAGCGGCATGTTATATGGGTTTACAAATGTCATAGACTCTTTCTGAGCAATGATTAGTGTTTTTTTCCTCTTTAACCTATTTCTATGAAATGATTAGATGATTTATTTCAGCTATTCCCAATGTCCTGAAGTGATTTTGTAAAGTTTTCCATGAAAGTGCTATTTTCTTCCTATAGGAAATAAATGCCTTGCAGTGGAAAATAGAATTTGACCAGAATAGATTTAAAAATATAGAGGAATCTTGGACCCAAAAGTTTGACAGGTTTGTATATTATTATTCCATAGTTTTTCTTTGGAAATCTTTCAGGTGTGTGTAATTGAAATGTAGCTTAGGCTTCCTCTGTCTTTGAGCTAACAGTAAATATTATAAAACTCTTATTGCTTATCCACTTGCCAGCTCCATATCTTTGTTGGTTCTAATTTTATTTTTAAAAATATATAATATAAACTGGATTTTCTTTAAGTTCATTGATTATCCTGCTACAGTTGTCCCATTTTTTCCTCCCCTTTAGCCCCCTCCACCGTGCCCCCCCCCCCCAGCATTCCCCACTTAGTCCGTGGGTCGTACATAGAAGTTCTTTGGCGTCTCCATTTCCTATACTATTCTTAACCTTCCCCTGTCTATTTTGTACCTGCCATTTATGCTTCTTATTCCTTGTACCTTTTCTCCCATTCTCCTCCCTCCTTCTCGCCACTGATAACCCTCTACATGATCTCCATTTCTGTGATTCTTTTCCTGTCTTAGTTGTTTGCTTAGTTTTTGGTTTTGTTTTTTATGCTCACTTGTTGATAGTTGTGAGTTTGTTGTCATGTATTTTCAAATACAGTGTAAGAGTCATTGTTTTCCAAGTTATTTTAGCATTGATGCTGTTTTTTCAAACAAAATCTTTTGAGCAACTCTTTCATTAGTGTGATTTTTAATAACTTTAATTTTAACAAATACTTTTTATAAGATCAGTCATTGAGAAATTTATTTGATACCTTGGTTATAGATGGCTTTATTACTTAAATTTTTAATTTATTATTTCTTAACTTCTAATTTGAGATAACTGTTTTACAAAAAACTTTTAAGAACAATACAATGAAATTCTCACATAACTTTCACTAAGATTGTTGAAATTTTTGTCCTTTATCATTCTTTCTCTTTGTAGTTGAATATGTAGATAAAGATAGAATTTTTTCTGAACCATAAGAGTAAGTCACAGGGACATTCTCTTTAAAAACCATAACATAATTATAAAAACCAACACTGTTTATTAATCTGTAGGCCTTATTTATATTTGCCAATTATCCTAATAATGCCCTATAGCAAAAGAGAGGAAAAAAATGTCGCCTGTTTAGGATCCAATACAGAATCACTCATTGCATGTGGTTGTCAAGTCTAAACTTTAGTGTCCTTTTATATGAAACAATTCCTCAGTGTTTCTTTGTCTTTTATCACCTTGATAGTTTTTGAGAGGATAGGCCAGGTATTTCTGTAGAGTGACCCACAGTGGGCATGTCTTGTTTCTGGATCAAATTCAGGCCATGCATTTTGGGCAGGATAACCCCTGAAGCAAGGTTGTATTCTCAGCGCAAAATATCAGGAGGCATGAGATGTTGCTTTGTCCCATTCCCAGGATGTGAATCTTGATCACTTGGTGTAGGTGTGGCATCTGTCCTCATTCTACACTGCAGTCACAATTTCCCCCTTGTAAATAATGAGCATTTTGTGGGGAGATACTTTGAAATTATGTAAATCTATTGTTACTCATCAGACTTTCACCCACTAGTTTTTACATCCACTGATTATTCTGCCTGAAGAAATTATTACTGCGATGGTTGCCAAATGGCAATTTTTGAATTCCATCATTCCTTCTACAAGTATTGACATCTTACTGTAAGAAAGAAATTTTCTTTTTCTCATTTGGTTTTTTGTTTGTTTATATGAATATGAGCTCATGGATTCTTGTATTATTCAGCGTGTTAGAACTATTACTATCATAATTTCTTTTGATGCCTAAAATTTTACAACTGTAGTCAATGGGAGTGCCATCAAACTTGCTTCAGTGGCTTTTTGACACTTTCCTATCATTCCTTTAGCACTTTCTTGCTTTCTGGTACAAGATATTCAAGTTCGGAATACCCACAGTATTAGGCATTGCTTTGATCCTTTTAGTGGGGAATGGTGTTTGGAAATCAAGATCTGAGCACTGGGTAAGCTCATTGCTACTGGGGAGTCAGTGATTGAACGTCCTCTCAAGGAACGGAGCTGGAAAATACACACACACACACACACACACACTCTCTCTCTCTCTCTCTCTTTCTCTCTCTCTCTCTCTCTGTCATCTCTCTGTCATCTATCTAGCATCTGTCTATCTGCCTATCATCATCTATCTATCTAGTATCTCTCATCTGTCAATCTATTAAAAACCTTGAGTTCATACCCATATTTCCAATTCTAGGCTACCACCAAGGAGATCTTTTTAGCTTTGTCCTTTCCACATTTATAACTCCCACAGTGAGAAACCTGGCTCCTATTACTCAATATATTTACTTATTTTTCCCACATAGACAATAGAAAGTAGCCTTAGAATTTCTGTACATGCCATTGCAAAATCAAACCTACCAACCAGAGTTCAATACTTGTATATAGTTTTCTTTTCAGCCTGAGGGTGTTAAAAATCCTGTGTTCAAAAGTTACTTGATAGTTTCTTCTTTTTTCTCTGTAATATTGTTAATGCTATTCATTTAAGATCAATTTGTTACAGTTTGTATGCTGTTTTAGAGTTGTTTTCACCATGCTGTTGATTTACTTATTTTTTTTGTTAATCCTTACCTGAGAAAATGGTTATGATTTTAGAGAGAGAGGAAGGGGGAGGGGAGGGAGTGAGAGAAGGAAAGAGAGATAAACATTGATGTGAGAGAGAAACATCTATCAGTTGCCTCCTGTACATGCCCCAACTGGGCATCGAACCTGCCACCTAGGTATATGCCCTGACCAGGAATCAAACCCACAACCTTTTGGTGTATGAGATGATGTTCCAGCCAACTGAGCCACCTGGCTAGGGATATTTTATTTATTTTTGACTTTGTAAAACAATAACATGCTTTCAAAAGTCAGAGTCGTCAGAAGGGTATATTCAGAGAGGTGCCATTCTCTCCCCCATTCCCACCCCCTGGTCCTTCATTCCCCTCCCCATCTGCAGATGACCAGTCTTAGTATTCTCTGATTTATCCTTCCTGTGTTTCTGTTTGCACAAACGGGCAGATATTTATGTTTTCTTATTTTCCCTTCTTTCTTGCACAAAAGACAATTTACTGTAAATATTCTTTTGCACTTTGGTTTTCCTATTTAATAATATATCCTGGAAATCACTCCCTTGTGTGGATGTGCCATACACTCTGCAATCAACCATTCTCCTATATATCGGCACTTAGATTGTTTCCGGTATTTTGCGAGTATATACAATATGGTAATAAATAACCTTGATGTATATACATTGTGTTGTTGGAGATGTATTTTTTAAGGGTGAATTCTTAGAAGTAGAATTGCTGCGTCAGAAGGTGAATGCATACATTGATGTATTAGATGTTGCCAAATTCCTCTCTGTAAGTCTTCTAGCACTTTGCATTCCTACCAGCAGCACAAGTGCCTGTTTCCATACAGTCTCCTCAAGAGAATATATTATATGTTTTAATGTTTGATAGTGTTCTTTACCTAATTTGTTGATAGATTGCCTTTTCAGGTACTTGTCAATTAAGCAGAGGAGGCAGGGGATACTTATTATGAGGTCTGCACAAAAATAGTTAACCAGATAGCGAAGTTAATGCATTTGACTGAGTAGTTATTTTTTTAAATTACAGTTTATATAGTAATTTATAAAGTAATTTAAGTGAATCTAATAAAATGTTTGTGAGCATTTGAAGAATGTCCTCATAACCTTAGAGGTCATCAGAATTCATTTTGAAACTCATCTGAAGTTCTTAAAAAGTGGTTGTACTTACAAAGGTGCCTTCTTCCTCAGGAGCTACACATCTTGTGTTAGAACTGGATTTCATGTTGTATTAATTTGTTAATCGTGGAAACAGAATGCCTGAGATTTACGTTTAGTTTTAATTGGGAAGCATTAACTTCATGACCACTGTTTTAATGATCTGCTCACAGTCCTGAGCACAGCATATAACATTTTGCCCAAACATCGCTACAAAATGTCTTGACAAATATTTTATATAGTCACAGAATGACCAGAAGGTCTGTCTGCTGGTTTTAATTACAAAAAAATTTTGCATCTTGGCTGGTGTGACTCAGTGGATTGAGCCGCTGGACTGGAACTGAAAGGTCGCCACTCTGAATCCCAGTCAGGGCACATGCCTGGGTTGTGGCCAGTCCCCAGTTTGGGGTGTGTGAGAGGCAACCAATCCATGTTTCTCTTGCGCAACAATGTTTCTCTCCCTCTCTTTCTCCCTCCCTTCCTCCCTCTTAAAAAAATAAATAAATAAAAATCTTTAAATTAAAAAATTATATTTAAGATTTTGTGCTCTAATTATGGGGTTAAAATATTCGTAGTTAAGTACAAAGTGCTTATGTTTGGTTATTTGGAGGGTACTTTTTTCCAGGCTAAACTGTGAAAATGCAGTCCTCAAAGAAACTTTGAAACTAAAAACAGAAGAAATTAAAATGCTGAAGTCTGAAAATGCACGTAAGTAAAGAATGGTATTTTGATGATTCTTTAAAAATATTACATTGAAAGATTCATTTTATATAGAGTGTCATATGCTTAGAACACATACCGATAGAGACAAAGTGCTAGTATTTCCAAGTAATATATTTTAAGGATAATAGAAGAAATGTATCATTTAGGTTTTTTTAAATTTAAAATCTATTTTAGGTGAAATTCACACAACAAAATTACCATTTAAAAATGAACAATTCAGCCCTGCCTAGGTAGCAGTTGATTAGAGCATAGTCCCAATACACCAAGGTTATGGGTTTGATCCCCAGTCAGGGCACATACAAAAATCAACCAATGAATGCATGACTGAGTGGAATGACAAATTGATATTTCCCTCTCCCCCTCTCCTCTGTCCTCTATCTCTCTAAATCAGTAAATTTTAAAAAGTAAACAATTCAATTGGTAGTTATAAAATAGTCACAGGAAAGTAAGTAAAGCATAGGAAATATAGTCAATAGCATTGTAATAACTATGTATGGTACTAGTTGGGATATTGGAAATATCATGGGGGACATTATATAGGGTATGATTGTCTAACCACTAAGCTACACACCCAAAACCAATATATAATTTTAAAAAAACTTTAAAAAAATGAACAACTCATACCATTCACAATGTTGTGCAACCATCTAGTTCTATAACATTTCCATTAGTCCAAAACAAAACTTGAGACCTATTCCTCCTTTATCATTTAGTTTTCATACTCAATGTGAAACAAAATGGTACAGTACCTGATATTTGAGGAACCTGAATATAGATATATAGTTTATTGAGACACTAGTAGGAAAAGTTTATAATTGTGTATTTAACATTATTTTCCTTAAAAGTGTCTTCTGTGACTTTATTCCTAATACAATTATTCTTAATTTTTCAAGATATTATTTGACTCATTAGGAATTTGAAATGTGAAATTTTTTACACATGCAGTTGACCCTTGAACAACACCAGCGTGTTGGGGCATCGACCCCTGTGCAGTCAAAAAATCTGCATAAAACTTTGGACCCCCTAACACTTAAATCGCCCCTCTGTGTCTATGGGAGATCGGTCCCAGACCCCACCGCTAGGGACACCAAGTACATGAATGCTCAGATCCCCCATATACAATGGCATAGAATAATGCATACAATCAGCCCTCTGCCTCCACGGCTTCCCAGCCATGGGTTGAAAACTGTATTTCATTCCAAGTTTGGTTGAATCAGCACATGGGAAATCTGGGAAAAAGGAGGGCCCACTGTATATTTATTGAAAAAAAAATCACATATAAGTGGACCTGTGCAGTTCAAACCCGTGTTGTTAAAGGGTCAGGGGTATACATGTGTATACACCCCCCCCCCATATATAATAAACCACTTTATGACAAAAATTAATAAAAGAATATTATTTGATCCTATTAACCAATGCCACCCCATTAAATTTAATAAAAACTTTAAGCCCCGGCTGGTGTGACTCAGTGGACTGAGTGCCGGCCTGTGAATCAAAAGGTCACCGGCCTGATTCCCGGTCAGGGCACATGCCTGGGCTGCAGGCCAGGTGCCCAGTTGGGGGCATCCAATTGATGTTTCTCTCTTTCTTCCTCCCTTCCCCTCTCTCTAAAAATAAATAAAAATAAAATCTTTTAAAAACTTCAAAACATATTTAAAAAATTGAAAAGAATACTAAAGTATTTAAGGATGATAAAGTGATACCAACTTTTAATGAGATTTGGAGATGTTGATTTTCCCTTCTGAGCAAAAACTATTTTAAAGTGGTGGTTTGAAAGGGACAAAATGAGCTCTAAATCCGGTCATGGGCCTGAGGGAGGCACCATACAGAGTGTGGCTGAGTGAGTTGCGGCAATGTCCCGTGTGAGAATTGCACACGCATGGTGCTTCTTGATACCGGTGATTTGAGCAGATGGAAGTTTCTCCTCTATGAGGTTAGTTCTCCAGACAGAAGCTGCTCATAACCACAACCCCTCCCCTTCCTCCCTACCACTCCACCCTGCAAGAAGAAGGAAAAGGTTATTGTTTCCTGCTCTCCAGTAGATAGCTGAGCCCTTGTTCTAAATGGTTTGAGAAAACTGTCAATAGAAAACTCTTACAGAGTTTGGATTGCTGGTACATTGGACATAATACAACATATGAGATCCCATCTTCTGGTTGTCTCACTAGCTACAAAGTCTCTGAATAATTTGCCTTTGTATGTTTTCTCTTTGAAAATGATAAAAATTTTCCAAGAGCAAATGAAGACCAGACTTTCACTGCAAAGTTATTTCCAGTTAGAAGTAATAACATTTTAGATACCCACTATTCTATCAGATTTTCTGAATGGGGCCAAATTTTGTGGGCAATGCATGTTGTATATGCATTGCTTATAAGAAATGAGTATAGACACTGATGTAACAAGATTAGGTGAGGCTAGAGTTAGCCCTCAAAACTAATGCTTTCTTGTATGGCCCTTCCTAGGTTTGAATCAACAGTATCTGGAAGCCCTTGCGATGCTTGATGTCAAACAGCAGAAGATGGTTCAGGAAACCACATGCAATGATAAAAGTGACTTTGCAGAGGTTTCAGGTCTTGAGGTAGGTAAGCGGGTATGAAAGCTTAGCAGGATGGAAATTTTCTACTTTCCTTTCCACCATCACCATCTGTTACATGTTCTAGGACAGCCCCATACTTAGCAATTTGAGACTGAGAGGCCCATGGATTGCCCAGGTCAGTTCCTGTCCTACTGGTACCGTACCTCTCCAGCTTGACATTCTTGGACATTAAGGGATATACTAGTCACCTCCTTCCTTTTATTCTTTGTTTCTATAGTTTTAGCAGAAGTTATGTTAGTAAGGTCTCGCATTACATAATCATAGACTTTTTTTTTTTAATGAGTGGACAGATGATTGTTTTTCTCACTGACATTAAAATTCAGTGATTTCTGAAAGGCAACTCTCCTTGACAGGAGCAGGCCGGGATGAGTGCTGGCCAGGGGCCAGGTGCAGAGTCACAGGAAGTCCACGCCGTGCATGTTAGTACTTGCTTCACTAGGTCACGGTCCTCCTGCCCAGGACTCAGAACTATGCGAAACTCGTGCCAGGTTAAAGGTGAAGGTGGAGAGTGAAAAGAAAGAAGATGGAATTCCATTAATTTTTTGTTCCAAGTAACAACATTCTTTCCTCATTTGCATGTAATTAATCTTCACTTGGATCCTGAGACCCTGGCCTCAGCTTTCTTGCATTTCTGTTTTCCTCTCCAGTTTCTTTGAATCAGATGCTGGACTAGAAATGTGCATGGGTATGTGTGGGTGTGCCCCTGCATTTGTGTCCAGCCAAGCTGTGCAACACTTAGTAACGGACAGTGCTTTTGGATTTAAAGCTCACAGTCCTTGGAGCCTGCCTTTGTCTTGGTCCTGGAGGGAGCCCCTGTTCCTGCGCCCAAATGGCAGCGTCTGCTCAGAAGATGCTTCTCCAGCTCAAACAAGAGGTAAGAGGAAATGCTTCTCCAGCTCAAACAAAACTTTGGTTTTGTTTCTCTATTAATAGTAGAATAAATGGAATTATCTGCAATGACTAGCTTCATTTTAGTAGCCATTGGTGATGGAACTTACACTTAATTTTATATAATAGCATTAACTTATAAACTGTGTTTTATTTATTTCATGATTCCGGAATACAAATAGTACTTGACACAACATTGTAGACACACAACGTTGTTTGCCTAAGATTATAGTTAATATTTCCTAAATTCTATTTCTTTTGTTTGTACAGGGCTGTAAAATCACTATATATTAGAGTAGTGATTTCCAACCAGTGTGCTGCAAGAATTTTTAAATTTAGTCAGGGACACTGACCTCTTTTCCCTTAGATTGTCAAATAAAAAATGACAACAGCCAACACAACAATAGCCATCCAGTGTGAAAGAATTAAAATCATACCTATTTTTGTTAGGTTTGCAAAAAATTATTTTTTGCTGTGTCACAGAATTTGAGTAATTAGTTTGTATGTGCCATGAAATCAAAAAGGTTGAAAATTGCTGTATTAGAGGAAAATGTGCACTTATGCTTAAAATTACTAGGATCCTCAATACTGATTAATGGGTCATTAAACATGAAGCTTATTAGAAAAGCAGCAAGGTACCGTGGAAGGAATTTTTGTACTAGCAAGACTTAGGTTTGAATGTTAGATCCATCGCTTTCAATAACTAGTTTGGAGGGTTGTAAAAAATGGAGGAAGCAGACATATGTTTAGCAATGCCCAGCATTTAATCAAATGATAGCTGCCATTGTAATTAGGCTTTAATAACAAATACAGTGCATGGACCATAATTTTAAAAATGCTTTACCTTTACTGAAGGTATGGTATTTAAAGTCTTCAGACTATATAGAAAAGCTAACAGCTAAACATTAACAATTCACTAGGAATAGCATAAAATTATATAGATCAGAGTCAGGGTCAACTATATATAGGGGGTATTGGAAAGATGATATTCAAAATTATTTTCAGTGTTATTGTCTGCAATAGCCAACCCAAGGCAGTACTAAAATGCAGGCTCTGGTATCCCCCCTTCTTCCTAGTTGGGAAGAACACACACAGGGCCTGTCTAGGAGAATGGGGTCCAAGAGTTGAATTAACAGAGAATTGAGGGCACTACAAAGGAAATGTCTGGTATTCTAGTTCAGAGTGGGCCATTGCTGCAAAGGAGAACTGGCAAGGATTAAGGCAGATAAAATAGACCAAAGACAGACCGCAGACCCGTGCTAGGCAGGGAGATTGCATTTGCTAATCTGATTTAGCATTCAGGCAAGAATTATTCTGATTTTCCTCTGACATCCCTCAAACTTTCTTTCAAAACCAGCTGGATCTTTTGCAGAAGAGTAAAGAAGAAGCATACATAATGGCAGATGCATTCAGAATTGCATTTGAGCAACAATTAATGAGGAAAAATGACCAGGCACTAAGATTGACACAAATGGATAAAATGTGTAAAAAAGAAACAAAATGGATAAACTGGAAGCAAGTTAAAGAGGATGGTAAATATGAACTATTATGGCAATAAATCACGTGTAATTTCAGTTATTTTTGGTTATAATTTGATTAAGCACATTTAATACAATGGGTAACATAATTGAAATTTTGCATAGGGTTGTGATTTATTTTAAAATTTAGTCTCCATAGGAAGAAAGGTGTCATTGGATGTTACACATGCAGATAAGCTATTAGGAGCAACAAAACCATAAAATAACAGGAGAATCCTTTTTAGAACTCTCCTAGTTCATTGAAGCAAGACCATATTTAGTGGAGGAAAGAGTAAGTGCACTAGATGATTATGGGAAAACTACCAGGAGGGAAGAAATACTGAAAATGACAGTGAAACTCCACATTAAATATATCTATCTAATTAAACTTTCTTGACATGTGTGACTTTGGAGGAGACATTTTGGGGTAGAGGAAATAAGTTGGACAAATTAATAAAATATTCTTCTAATAAATAAAACAGAAGTTAAGGCTTAGGTTCACAAGCCTATCAAAGTTCATGGCCATATTTAAGTATTACTGTATTAGAGTAAACAGAATATATGAAAATGACATGAGAGAATTAAATTACAATTGAAGTAGGTGATCCAATATCTACAAATTAGCTGTTTTAAAAGAAAATTTAGTTTCTCTAAAAGGTCAGCATCAGTTTTCATTTATCGATATTGTTCAGAATTCATATTGCTTCTGTTTAAAATTTTAATTTGAAACCATTTATCAGTCAAGAAAGATTAAAGTGAAGTTTATAAGAAATTTGAATGTTTTAGTACTGAAATTCTGATGACTGATTTCCAAATATTTTCTAATATGTTAATATCCATAATCCTCAGTCCAATATATCTCATTTTAAGATGAACTTGAGGACTAGTAAGCACCTTGTAATATTAAGTATGAAACCTTAAATAGTAGATAACAATTTTGTTTGAAATTTTTCTTTTCAAATAGTACTTATTAGCAATAGTATATGGTCTAGTGTTGCAAATTTTAGATTAACTAAACTTTATTCATCCCTTTGCTGAAATGGTGAGAAGGGACAATAAGAATAGTAGTAAATAAGAACTATGAACATAGGTTAAAAAAAGATTATACAAGCTATATACTTAGAGTGTTCATCAGGTGGAAGTCCAGGCAAAAAAGGGAAATCTGTTCTTCAACTCTCACTCTTAAAGAGGCATTCCCCATCGTCCTGAAATTCTAAAAGTTTTTGTGACATGAGACTTACAGAGGCCATTAAGCTAATATGATGGCTAAGTCCTCAACAGTAATTTATGGTAAATACAAAATCAATATTTATATGACTGTCTTCTATAATAATTCCTTGACAAAAACTTAAGGTGTAACTTCAATGTCCAACTCAAGGAAGGTGATCTTGCCAGGGAAATAGTCCATGCATTTAGCCTTTCAGGAATCAGTAGGAAACATTTAAGAATATCTAGTTCCACATGGATAACAAATGTGTAGGTGATCTTCCTGAGGCATCTCTTCTGTCAGCTGCACCCTTGATAGCAGCCAGAGTGCAAATGTTTCAAAGGCGAACCCTTTGCCAACAACCTCGGTGTTCTGTGTTGTTAACAGAAGGCAAATCCATTTGGACATCTATCTATCTTGTTTTGATGGAATGTAGGGAAAAGAGTGATGAGAGAAAGAAAAGGAGGGAAAAGACATGATTAAAGTAATCTGATGAAAGCTTATCACATTCTGTCGCCTTCATAGGGGGCCCCCAGGTATGCGTGAAGGCTGGCCAGAAGGATAGTACTATGCAGGTGCAAACGGGGTTTTTAAGAGGTACATTTGTATTCATTTGAACGTTTGAGTTTGTACTCATTTTATTTCCCAGAATTCCTGCCTTTCTTGGCTAGGGATAAAACTCAGGGACTTTTCCATAGAAAATGATTTGAGAGGTATAGCTCCCAATCTTGGTTTTCTGTTAAGGTACTGAGAAACTTAGAAGAGAATTTAAAGAATTGATTCATTCTGAAAAGCCTTTACAAGTCCTTAAAAGCTTCAGTAACTCTTGACTGTGAGCTTCTTAGTGACAAGATTTTGATTCATTTTACTAGTATATTCCCAATAATCTGAACCAGTACAGGATGATTATTACAGTTCATTTTCTTATGTGTGATTAACACTTAAGCCATCCACTTTTCTTCTTGAATGGCATCTTAGACAAGTTCTGAGTTATAGTTTATGAGCCTAGTTTCTTTTTAAAACTGAAAATAGAGGCAGTTTGTCCACTTCTCAGAGTTGCCAAGCGCATCTCTTGCCTGGTGTTTGTTTCCGTTTTGCCACAGTTGCTTGCGGAAGAGGTCAGATGTGAACCCGAGTCACTGCGTTTTATCTGCTCTCTGTTCTCCGTTTACAAAGCATTTCAAAAGTAATCTTGAAATTTTCATTGTATAAATCTACAAATTTTGTACCTTGTATTACAAATTGTTTCCTTTCTATGGAAGAAGCAGAGCATTAGTGTACACTTTTCAGGATGTGGACTTTCAACATTGTCAGTACCTGGGCTAGATGCTTTCATGGATTTTTGGGGGTACAGGGGGGGTAGTCATTACTACTTTAACCATTTTTAAGTAACATTAAGCACATTCACATTGTTGTGTAACCATCACCACTATCCATTTCCAGAACTCTTTCATCTCAAACAGAAACTCTGTACCCAGTAACCGCTAACTGCCTGCTCTTCTCCAGCGGCAGATGCTCTGTGGTTTAATGGCACAGCGACCCTGAGGCAGAAGCACTGATGCTCTAATTCTAGAGCTTAGGAAATGAAGCTCAGAGCGCTCGTCCAAGGGCATGCAATTAGTTAAGTGACTAAATGAGGATTCAAGTCCAGGTCTTTCTGACTCTGAAGCAGAGTTTGCATGGTTCAGGGGCCACTGGCTTGTAGACATTTTGTTGGGTCTTCACAGTATTCTCCAATAATGTGGGCAAGTGGCTGACATTTAAAATTGGACAATATCAAATACAAATCTGGATTGCTGGCTCCTCTGGAAGACTTAGATGATCTGGTCGCATGGGCTGCATTCCCTTCCGGGGGCAGCCATTGTGAGCTGAGCAGCAGCAACAGACAGGATGTGACAGAAGGGCAGGGCGTTGCTCTGGCTTCTTGCCGCGACCCTGGCCTTGCGTTTATCATCCTGGCTCTAAAGACTGTGCTCTTCCCGCCCCACTGTGCCACCTGACTCAGCTGTGCTCACGGTTACTTGAGAAGGACAGCCTCCTGACTGAGGAATGTAGTAGCCCTGGTTCATACCTCTTTTCACAGGGAAGTTCTACACCCGTGAGTGTCCTTTTTATGTCTCAGCTGGCTTTTCACATTCTATTTTAGGATTGCTATCACAAAGGACTAAGAAGACCTTAGGGCAGAAACTGATGCGGATGCTCCCTTCAGAAAACAGTTCTAAGAGGACTGAAGACCAGGACAATCCTCGGGAAGTCTTTAAGATGCTAATAGATTTGGTTGGTATCTTCACTTTCTTTTTGATTGTGGTTAAGCGAATGTTTGCTTCCTATTAATTCTACTCTGCCACTCTACACTTGCCTTTTATGCCCTTTCCCCAGACCCTCCGCCAGAGTTACAGCCTTCAACTCCTTAAACTCTCAGCGTGCTCTTTCCACTTCCCCATCCCTGTTCTTCCTGCGCAAGTTTAAAGCTCCACCTCTGAAAAATGGCCGCTTCCCATAATTAACTCCAGGCATCTATGTCTTCTGCACTTAAATACATAGTTCAAGACAGGGCCTTCTCTTTACTCAGGAATTTTTAAGGTGTTCATCCACTTCCTCTCACAATATATCCTTTAAGCATTACCACAAGCTTGAAATCAGCCCTTTTATCCTCATTTCACAGATGACTGGGGTAAGAGACTCACATTATATGAACATACTTATCTATACGAGAGTGTTAAAGTTATTTATTTGCATATAAATATATAAAAACAATTTTATATATAAGTAACTTCAACATTCTTTTACAGAGATAAGTACAGGTTGATTTTATATATTTATATATATACACACACACATATATATATTTCTGCCACCCCTTTGGATGACAAAATTTTCAGTAGTAGTTTTCTATTCTTTAAAAAATATCCTAAATAACATAGAGCATAATGCTTGGGAATTGGTGGACACCTAATTAATTTATTCATATTGATTGACCTGATAGATTAGAGAATGAACATTTTGATAAAATACTTCTCACTATAGCTCTGTATTATTATTTACTGACTAACTGGCATTTTTAAAAAATTTATGTGCATGCAGCTGAATGATAAAGAAGAAGCTTTGGCTCATCAAAGAAAAGTTAGTTACATGCTTGCTCGGGCGTTGGAAGATAAAGCCACTGGCTCAAAAGGGAATAAAGGAAAAAATCCCACAAAAGACAGTTTTCCATTAAAACTCCCCCAGCAGAAAACTACAGAATTCTCTGTTTTGCGTGATTCTGTACCTTCAAGTGTTCGAATTTTGAATTCTGTGGGCTGTATCTGTTCAATCCAGCATCTTCATACAGGTCAAAATCGCACAAGAACTCTGAAAAGATCCCATTCTTTGCCATCAAATATCATGTTTTGAAGACAACCCAGTTGAAATTAGAACCGAGAACTGTTTGTATCAAGAGACTTTGAAAAAAGATTGCGTAAACATTGCTACATCTTCAGAAGCTGTATGTTTTCTGGTTATTTCTAGATTTTAGAAGGCAGCTTAAATACTCAAATGTTTTCTACAAGAATTTATTAGTACTCTGTGTAGACTATTTTATTTATAAAATACATTACTATATTTTATAAAATTTTCAGTATTTACCAACAATTTAAAAACAAAAATATTATTGTATTGGGTTGGCCAAAAAGTTTTTTTTCCCTGTTAGATGGCTCTAGTAGTGCTTAGTTGTTTTTAACTTCATTTGAAACAATTTTGTTAGATTGTATTGTGACAGCTGTCATATCAGTGTGCATTAAAAAAAACCTATCAAAATTGGTGAATTTTTATGTAGCCATTTTAATATTGAAGATGGAAGAAAATCCATCACATTTTTGACATATTATGCTTTATTATTTCAAGAAAGGTAAAATTGCAACAGAAATGCAGAACAAGATTTGTACAGTGTATGTAGGAGGTACTGTGACTGATGGTTAAAAGTGGTTTGTGACGTTTCCTGCAGGAGATTTGTAACTGGACAATACTCCACAGTCTGTTAGACCAGTTGAAATTGATAGTGAGCAAACTGAGACATAAATTGAAAACAATCATGCTATATAACACGGGAGATAGCAGACATACTCAAAATAGCCAAATCAATAAAGTTATTAGTGAAAGTGAAAAATTTGTCTTTTTATTTTATGGAGAAAAACCAAATGAACTTTTGGCCAACCCAATATTTTGAGAAAAACAAAAATTATTTAACTATTTAGATTGACTGTGGGGATCTTTGGCTCAAGCACCAATACAATGTAAATGAATGCTCTAAGAAATAACAATGCCTAGGAGTGAATGTAATTTTTTAAATACACTTATCTTGTTTTATTTGTTTTTCAGGATTTTTCATTTGTCACATAAAGTTTAAAATATTTTCCTTAAGTTAATCTTAATTAAAAGATACTACGGCCCTAGCTGGTGTCGCTTAGTGGATTGAGCACTGGCCTGTGAAACAAAGGGTCACTGGTTCGATTCCCAGTGTAGGGCACATGCAGGCCAGTTGCAGGCCAGGTCCCCAGCCAGGGGGCTCATGAAATGCAACCACACATTGATGTTTCTCTCCCTCTCTTTCTCCCTCACTTCCCCTCTCTAAAAATAAATAAATAAAATGTTTTAAAAAAAAAGTTACTATGGTGGTACTTTGGTAGAAGTATATTCAAAGTCATAGCTAGTTCTCTTCATAGTTTTCTCTTTTCTTACAAAGTGTTGACATTGTGTAGCCAGATCTACACAGAATTGTGATACTAAGACCAGTTTGAATTAACTTCTTGGTTTTGATGCTAAATTTTAGACCATTTAATTTGTTTTCATAAATATTACATCATAATAATATCTTAATACCTTTTGGGAATATTGCTAAATTTGTATCACTACAATTATGTTGAAAGAAATGTATTACATTGTCAGCAATTATAATAAAACTTATCTAATTATGATCTGTGATGAAAAGCTATATGGCTACACTAAATACTACTTACATAGGTAATAGTAGAGTATACAGTTACTATATAAACAAATTACAGTTGTGTTAAACGGAGAGCATTTAATTGGCATTACTAAATAATAAAAGCTGAAAACTGGGCAAATATATTTTTAAAAAAGGGGGAATGATGAAGAGCTATTGTTATCAGACATTAAAATGTATTGCCCTATCCTGGCTGGCATGGCTCAGTGGATTGAGTGCCGGCCTGCAGACCAAAAGGTTGCTGGTTTGATTCCTGGTCAGGGCACATGCCTAGGTTGTAGGCCAGGTCCCTAGTTGGGGGTGTGCAAGAGGCAAATGATCAGTGTATCTTCTGCACAGTTTTTCTCTCTCTTCTTCCCTCCCTTCCCCTCTCTCTAAAAAGAAGTAAAATTTATTTTTTAAAAAATTGTCCTGATAATTTAAAGGTCCATTATTTAAAGCAGTGTGGTACCAGCAGGTCAATGGAATAGGAAAAAAAGGCCATACACAGATCTTGTATATATGAGAATTTCCTATAAAATAAAAGGTAAGGGCCCTGGCCAGATCGTCAGTTGGTTGCAGCATTGTTCTGATACACCAAGGTTGTGGGTTTGATCCTTGGTCAGGGCACATAGAAGAAACCACCAATGTAGGTATAAAGTGGGACAACAAATTAATGTTTCTTTCTCCCTCTAAAATCAATAAAAAATAGAAGGCACGGAAAGGAAGGATCTGGGATTAGGATTATCTAATATTAAAATTAGAAGTGTAAAAATATTTCAAATTACAAAAACTAGAAAGGTTCTTTTTAAATGTGTGTATATGTATGTATCTATATAAAACAAATTCATGTAACACTCCAATTGGTAGGTGGACAAAGATAGATTATGTGAGTGGTAGAGATGATGAGGTAAACCAGCTACTTTAATGCAGTGTTGATGAGTGTGTATTTGAAACCCTGTATTCAGTTTTTGGGGGTCTCTACTCAGAAGTGAAATTGCTAGATTATATGGTAATTCCATTTTTAATTTTTTGAAGAAACACCAGTTTTCCATAGCAACTGCAACTGCACTGTTTACATTCCCACCAACAGTGCATAAGGGTCCCAATTTCTCCACATCCTCACCAACACTTGTTAATTTCAGGGTTTTTTAAATAGTAGCCATCCTAATAGGTATGAGGCAGTATCTCATTGTGGTTTTTTGTATTTTTTATTTTTAGTCAATTATTTTTATTCTCACCTGGGGACATGTTTGTTCATTGATTCCGGAGAGAGGATGGGAGAGAGAAACATTGATCAGTTGCCTCCTGCACGCGTCCTGACCAGGGATCAAACCACAACCTGTGTATGTGCCCAGACTGGGAATTGAACCCGCACCATTTTGGTGTATGGGAATGACACCTGACCAGAGGTCACTGTGGTTCTGAATTGCATTTTCCTAGTGATTAGTGATGTTGGGCATTTTTCCCCACATTTATTTGCCATTTCCATATCACCTTGGTGAAATGTCTATTCAACTCCTTTGACCAAATTTTAATTGGATTTTTTATTGTTGAGCTATGAGTTCTTTATATATTCTAGATATTAACTCTTTACCTGATAAATTCTCTCCTGTTCCATATTCACCATTGATTATATCCTTTGATGCATACAAGTTCTTAATTATTATATAGTCCAATTTGTTTACTTTTACTTTTGTTGCCTGTTCTTTTGGGGTCATAGCCAGGAAGTCATTGTCAAATCTAAGGTCATGAAGCTTTCCCCCTGTTTCCTTTGAAGAGTTTTTATAGTTTTAAGTCTTATGTTTAGGTCTTTGATCCATTTTGAGTTAATTTTTGTATATGGTGTAAGGTTAGAGGCTTCATTTTTAAGAATTACTGAATGGCTACTGGGAATGTAAACTGATACACTACTTTGGAGAAATATAGTAGTAACAACACTAATTAAACATGCATATAAATGTTCTAGTTTTTTAATAATTGTGAAAAACTGAAAGTAACCCAAATGTCCATGTGGCAATATTCTAAAGATGACCCTTCTCACGATTCCCATCTAGGGATGGACTACATAACTTCTGTGAAAAGATTTTTAAGATGTATTTAAAATCCAAGTGAGTTGACCTTAGTAAGTATGGATGACCCAATCACATGCACGCCCCCCGCCATTTTTTAAAGAGCAGAGTGCGCTCTCTTGGTAGCAGATGAGGAAGGCTGATGAACGGAGGCACTGCTGCTGGCTTGCAGATGGAGGGTGTCATGTGACAACACATGTGTTACTGCCCTGGTTGGCCCCTGGCTGACAGCTACGGACAGGTGGCACATGCATTAAAACCGCATGAATTAAATGCACTTGGAAGCAGATTCCTCCCTAAGGCCTCAGGAGATAGGACCCCAGTCCGACTGACACCTTGATTTGGGCCTATGCAAAAAACAGTTGAGCCGTGCCAGAGAGCTATCTGACCTTAGAACTGTGAGCTAATACATTTGTTTTAATTTAAGATGCTACATTTATGGTAATTTTTATTCAGCAAAAGAAAAGTAACAGTCCATAATAGAGCACGGGTAAACAGATTTACATATACATATATTAACATGGAGGGAATTTGAAATTTAAGTTTTCAGTAAAAAAAATTGCAGTATGAGATGTACAATTTATCATTCATATAAAATTCTGAGAGTGAAAACAATGCTGTGTATTACTATATGCATTATAAAACAGCAGTATAAAATCATGGGAGGACACATTCATTTCCTGGGAGTCATCTGCCTTTGGGTAGGGCGAAAAGGAAGAAACAGAATGGAATGACATATGAAAGGGACCTCGATTTTATCTGTAATATTTTTTCTTTTTTTCCTATTTAGTATATTAACATTTGTTAAGTCTGGGAGTATATTTTGCTGTATTACTACTCCTACTTTTTGGTTTTTAAATACTACCCTTGCTACTACAAATTTGTGATGCTATACTGGCCAGATCATCAAAATAACAGATAATTATTTTTAGTAAGATTTCCTTAATGCATTTTTTATTTTTATTCTACATTTCAGAAAACTGAACTTATCTTTCTTTTGCATTCTAATCAGAAAAATCAAAAATAAGTTTTAAAATACATTTAATAAAAATAACTCAGTTTTACATATTTTACATGTGTAGAATATTTACAAATTCCTTCTACAGCATTTATTTAATGTTTATTATTTTTTCATTATTTGCCTTTTTGACTATTTTCTTCAGTAGTAAAATACTATCCAGTGTTGTCCGTAACTAAAAAATTAGCTTCTTGGGTAATCCTCCTAAGTGGGGGGAAAAAAAGAAAAGGTTGTTCACATTTAATCTTATGTTTATGCAATTTTGTTTGTGAAATTTTAACCAATCATTGCATTCCCATTACATTTACTTTACTTGCTTTGATTTTTCCAATAGCATTTGTTAAACATTAAGCATACAGTGTACCAGTAAGGGTTTATGAAGAGAGTAAGATACACGTTAATAGTTCTCATAGCTTTGAGGTATACTCAAAAGCACCCTTGTCCTTTTAAAGAGCATGATGCCGCTAAAATTAAAATACCACATCCTACTTACTTTATATAATTTAAGTTTATAAAACATAAATAGCTCACAATTTACATTTCTTAGCTTTCCTCCATCACTAGCTACACATTACTCATTTGGAGTTTTCTGAATCCATTGCATTTCTTATAAAAATGAGTCTTACCTTGTTCTAAGGCCTCTGTCCTCTTTCGTTTTGTTGCCAAAGATGGATTAGTTTGCTCCTTCAATGCCTCCACTGGACAGTTTGGTCTTGGCAGATGACATCCAGGTGTTGGCCCTGGCCGATTACTGAAATACTTAGTTTTCAGTGCCTTTTAAAAGAAAAGGTACCACAGAAAGTAAACTTTTAAGTGAGTATCTGAACTGTGTTTAAGGAAAATCTGACCTCCAAAATCGTTGGGAATGTTAAAAATACTAAATGAATACTCCCGCTCCCAAAACAAAATTAATTTCAAGTATTTGGACAAGCAAATTACTATGAATAAACAAACATCCAGCAGCCTAAGATTGGCCGATAACTCCATTACTGTAAGAAAGACATTACCTTCTTTTTTTCCTACAATTAACCAGTCTATACTAAATATGAAATATCCTTAGTAAGATAACAAGGGGAGACCCCGCCCCCCAAAATGGAATTAATATCTGTAAGGTGGGCCCCTTGTAGTACAGGCTTCCCCTACTAGTGAGTGAGTGAGGAACCCATCTGTATCAGTGTACCAGCTGGCACTGTTGTGAGAGGCTGCATTTGGCTTCAGTGAATTTTTTTTTAAGACTCTGTCAGCACATTTGCCCATTTCATAATGGGTGAGTTATGAGCACATCTGCCCACACAATGCTTGAGAGTTGAGTTTTTGACCGAAAATGGCACAACCTCGTGCCCCACCCTCCCTATTCACCCAGTCTCACTCCCAAGCAACTTGTTTTTGTTACCCCAGATGAGAAAAGTCCTCAAAGGGAAACATTTTGCTGATGTGGAAGAAGTGAAACAAAAAATGGCAGAAGCACTAAAAGGCATCAAAATCAATGAGTTATGCAACTGTTTGGAAGAGTGGAAAAAACGTCTTGATAGGTGTATGGCATCAAATGCAGAGTACCTTGAAGGTGACCTAAGTTTAAGCACGTAAGAATACACACTTTTTTATAAATAAATTCCACTTGGTTTCTTTTTGCACCCCTGCCCCGCCCTGTATTGTGTAATTCAGCTCTCTACACATTATGGGCCCTATAGTTCAAAACACAAAGAGAGAAATTTGCTTAAAAAGAAAATCTAAGTGTACAGCGTGGGGCAAAAGTAAGTTTACAGTTGTTCGTATGCAAAATAACACAACAATAAATAATTCAAGAATAAATTCAGGGGGAGTGGGGTGAATAGAGGTGGAAGAAGGTATGGGGGGATAAATGGTAATGGAAAAGTTAAAGTTAAAATTAAAAACTAAAAAATATTCTGTGTTTTACATACTCGCAACTGTAAACCTACTTTTGTCCCACCTTGTATTCAAATTCCAATCCATGTAAATATAAATTCTTAAAAGCTTTTAAAAAGATGCAGTAGGTTGGCTACAAGGGATTAAAACCCAACAAGCCCCCGCAAACTGACAGAAACATTGCTTGAAAGGACTTGCCCACGGTTATTTCTATTTTCTGCCAGTCTAGTGCTCTATGATAAGATATTTCACGTCAGGCCAAAATTTCAATGAAAATACTTTTTTCTAAATGACATATTTGTCAAGTTAATGCTTTATTTGCATCATAGTACTGTTTAACATCCACAATAATTTAAGATATTTCCTTTTGGATAATCCTTTTAGGATTAAAAAGAGATCCATATAAACTCTTCAATCATTCCCCCACCAACATTACATTATTTTGAAGTAACGATTCAGAGATTCCTTACTTCCAAAGAGTTGCATTTCTAAAGTGCTACTTCCAAATCGAAGCAGTTCCCTAGGTAAATAAAGCTAATTCTGAGCTACATGGGATCTAAAAAAAGGGAGTTCCTCGTTCCAACTTGAAGACAGAGCCAAAACCCATCTTTTTTCTCATGAAAATCTGTTATTTAGTATCTTTTTAAAAAAAATTAATCTTTATTAAATTTTTTCCCATTACCATTTAGTCCCCTTATACCTCCCTCCCCCAGCAATCACCACACTGTCGTCCATGTCCGTGAGGGGGCGAAGGGATGGAGCAAAAGGGAAAAAGGATTGGGCAAGAACACAAAGCCCATTTTAAAGAATTCGTTCTGTCAAAATACAACCCAAATCAGTTATCATGACCACTATTTTTCTGTAAGTTTTGAGTTTTACTATTAAGGAAAACTTTCTAGATAATTGGACCTGGTCTCAAGTTTCTTATGACAGAGTTTCTTATTCATGTAAAGGTGAAAAGATAATGAGTTACTTGTTTGAAATTAGAAGAGTGATTCTAATGGTAAAATATCTAGCCGGTATGTATTAATGTAGCATTTACATAAAAAGAGAAGGCTTATAGAAGTAAATGCATTAAACAATGATTTGGTAGGATATAATAAAAAAAGGACAAAAACTCACTTTGTATCCTTGATATATTGTGCATTAACATGTTTTGTTAGACTGGAAGACTTCCTATTTCATTTTAATCAGTCTCTTTCTTTATGAAGCTAAAGCACTGCATGTGTTGCATATTGTATATCCCCAAACCAGTTTTAAGTGTTTGTGAGTCTACCCTTTTTGGTTCATGTGCTTATTTAAAAAAAAATTTTTTTTTAAATGTTCTGATCTTAAGGAGAGAAAAGGAGTGAGGAGAGAGGAACTTCAAGGAATTGTTCCACTTACATCTGTGTTTATTGGTGAATTCTGGTATGTGCCCAGAACAGAGATCGAACCCACAACCTGGGTGTTTTAGAACAATGCCCTAACCAACTGAGCTACTCAGCCAGGTCCTGTGTGCTTGTTTTTTAAAAAAAAAGAAAATTTTTATTTTGAATCTATAGCTCTTACATTTTTGTGTTGGATGACATTTCTCTCTTCTTTTATAAGAGCAGACATACTTGGTATTTCAAATTTTTCTTGAGTTGATACTTATTTCCCTTGAACAATGGTCAGTTTCACTGTTTGTTCTATTTGGGCTATCATTCAATCTCCTGTCAGCATACAGTTGTACCAGACTAAACCATTTCCTCCCCATATCACTTTTGGACTGCAACAAGGTCCAGTGTGCATATCTGGAGTGTATTTTATAGGAAACAACAAAAGACTTTAGGCATTAGGCTTGGCACAAGATATAAATTAATACCTAATATTTAATTGAAATATATTGGTGTCTTAACTAATACAAACTTTATTTTTTTCCCCTTTAAGTAGGCCACTTGAAAGCCAATTAATTATGTAATTGAGCCCTAGCTGATGTAGCTCAGTGGACTGAGTGCCAGCCTATGAACCAAAAGGTTGGTGGTTCAATTCCTTGTCAGGACAATGCCTGGGTTGTGGGCCATGTTCTTGGTTGCGGTGATTATGAGAGGCAACTGATGGATGTTTCTCTCTCACATCAATGTTTCTCTCCCTCTCTTTCCCTCTCTCTAAAAATAAATAAGGAAAATCTTTCAAAAAAAAAAAAATTGGTATGTATTTATGTTCCCAATAAACTTTCCTGTAGTGGTGCATGCATGATGTAATTTAATACCAGTCTAAACAGTGCTTATAGCTTGAAGATAAAATTTGTTATTCCTTAAAACAAAAACGCATCTTTCCAGTATCTAAAGAATGTCAGAAAATCTTACAAAATTCCATTTTTATCTTATCAATGCTACAGTTAAGATTATCCTCATATTTCTTAATGTAAGAAAGATATGCTAAAATACCTGTGTGGCTGTAATTCGAGTACACGGATTAAATAAGAATAAGCCTTGTATGAGAGCTAGCAAGTCGTCTCCTGCTGCAATGAAGATGTGTTGTAATGGGATTCCAGGGAAACTCTTAAATGTCACGAAATCTGGAAGACTACACATATCCTGTAAAAATATTTTTATAATTCAAACTTAAGTAAAGGGTTAAAAGGCATATAGATCTCAAACAAAGAAATAAAACTCATATTTATTTCATGTTCATATTTATTCATATTCATGTCATATGAATAGTATGTAGAAAATGCCAAGAATCTATTTAAAAACTAGAATTAATGCGTAGAGCAAAGTTGACCATATAAACTACACAAAAATCAATTGTAGTTCTATATGCTACCAATGAACATGTGGACACTGAAATTTTAAAAATGCCATTTAGAATCACTGAAAAAGAACAATAAAATACTTAGGTAAAAATCTAACAAAGCATGTGTAGAACTCCTGCACTGAAGGCTACACAACACAGGTTAAATAAATCAATGCTCTAAATACATGGTGAGACCTATCATGTTCATGGATTGGAACTTTCATCATCATAAAGATGTTAATTCTCCTCTAACTTATATATAGATTTAATGCAATTCGTACCAAAATTCTGGAAAATTATGTAAGATTATTCTAAAATTTATATGGAAGCCAAAGGAACCAAAATAGCTAAAAAAAAAAAAACTTTGAAAAAAAGAGGAATTGGTCTACCTACTTTCAAGACTTAAGAATTCTTACCTTGACCAAAGTCTCACATCTAACACAAAAATTAACTCAAAAAGGACCACAGTTATAAACAAATATCAGTAAATAATCGCTATTAGGACATGTTTTACAATTAGAACATAGAGCAAACTTTTAATTAGAAAGTTGAGGAGGTAATAGCACAAAAGAAGTTCCTTAGGCTTAATTTCAGTTTCAGATAATTTTACTGCAGTTTTAACCATAAGGTGGTCTAATTAAAATTTCTCTTTTCTAATACTTACTTATTCCCCAGGAGATGGAGCTAGAATAGGAAGAAAAACCAAAAGGTCTATAATTTTAATTTAAGAATAAACAAGGGAGTATATTTTACTGAACTGTATACATAAAATTTAGCAACATAAATTACTAGTAAATTAAGACAATGAATACATTTCTTCAAGCAATATTTACATGACAGCACTATGTATAGAAAATATATTAAGGCTTACAGGCCACTGTTCCTCAGTTGGTGTGCCCAAAGTTTCAAATATTCTTGTTAGCTGATCAAGGTCTGAATCTCCTGGCAAAAAAGGAACCTGAATGAAAGTGAGAGGTAGATATTTCAAGGTGGTTTGTAATAGTTGTTATGCTGGTGAAACTATAAATTTAATAAGAAAAACTAAAGTGTAACAAAAATTAAACACCACACTGCCCATTTTATTCACTCCACAAATCTTTAATAAATACTTATCACTGGTATAAATATTTCTATGCCTTTTCATTTAACAATAAAATAGGAGGTTTAGAATGCAGATCAATTTTCTTCTAAAATGATTTGAACTGTATTGACTACTTTGGTTGGACATGGGCTTACTTATTATTGCTCCTGTTTTCTAGTTTAAGTAGCTTTTTAATCCTACTTTTTAAAAACAGTATTTATTTATTCAATTTTTATTTATTGAAATTTGAGAGAGAGGAAGGGGAGAGAAAGAGAGATCGATTTGTTGTTCCATTTATTTATGCATTCACTGGTTGATTCTTGTATGTGACCTGACTAGGAATCAAACTGGCAACATTGACATTATCTGGATGACCTTCTAACTAACTGAGCTATACAGCCAAGGCCTAATCCTACTTTTATAAAATTTATATAAAAGAAAAACAACATTATAGAAAAGGGATGAATGCTCCTAATAGCAAATCTTTCTATTAACTATCTTGCTTTCAATATTATATGATATTAGGACATTATATAGTTTATAATTGTAATTATATAAGGTAATTACAATTCTTCACCAATTAGGGCTACCTATCCATTTCTTCATAATCTTAATGATGATTCCAGCAAGAATGCCAACGGATATGATGCCAACTACGATTTCAATCAGGTCCACAATTTCTAAACTGTCTATTCCAACTGCTCTCTCCTCTTACTTTCTCAGTGGAGTGATTAGTCATAACATTAGGGACAAGGAGTTGTTTTTCTCTTGGTCATGAATGTACCGTGCTTTTGGCTGCTGAGAGGTTGTCAAATGTGGCCTTGGGGTAAACTCTATGTTCTCATAGTAGCAGAGTTGCTCTGCCCGCTGATTCACAGGACCCAATACTAGCAACGGAGATTGTGTCATCTCCAAGTCTAAATGTGAGGGTTTTTTCTGTAAGCACCCAGAGGGATGAACTCGAAACAATTCACAGAACTTACACTAAACTGGAAAAAACAAACAAACCCCAAAAAGATGTTTAAGAAGGTAATTTTTCTCTCTGGTGTACAGAAGTTGCTTTCTGTGTTCAAGGAACTAAACAGCTATATTTTTATGTCTTGGATTCACATTTCTTTAAATGTGGCTTGAGGAAAGACAGAGTAGGGACTGGAATCTGGAATGTAGGGAGAAAAAAATCAGCTTCAGAAGGATTCCCTAATATTCCTTACTCATTGGACATCATTCAGAAGGGCTAACCTGAACTTTACAGTTAAAGAAAAGTTTCTGAGTCAGCATCTTTCTGTCCGATGAGGGCAGAGTGAGGATGCTTTACTGCAAAATGGTTTCAGTAGGACCACTGTGTCTGCTCTGCTTGAACAGAACTAAAATAATTCTCTCACACAAGGTTTAGCATTAGTTACAGAGAGTTGCGGGTGCAGTGGTTGGTATTACATAGCCTGCAGGGGTGTCCAACCTGCGGCCTGTGAGCCGCACGCAGCCCAGGATGGCTGTGAATGCGGCCCAACACAAAACCGTAAGTTTACTTAAAACATTATGAGTTTTTTTGTGATTACGTGTTGCAATATATTTAATGTGTGGCCCAAGACATTTTCTTTTTACAGTGTGGCACAGAAATGTCAAAAGGTTGGACACTCCTGCTTTAAATTTTACATTTAAACAGCCCCAAAGTCCCAGGAATGCAAAAGTTCATCCTAACACATTTAGTTACTGTAGAGCTATTACCATATTAAAACCCAATGAGGGTTTTATTATAGTTATATTTCAGAACATAGAAATGATCAACAATAAAACCTTTATTGTCCTAAATGGGAGGTTTTCTCATCTCACATTAGCATTAATAACAAGGTTGCCTTAGGGGTAAGGTTTTTTTTAAATTGGTTTGTTTGTTGGCTTTTTATTGTAAGGATGGTGCACCTCTCTCTGTGAAGATAATTCCTCCACAAATTTTAAGAACAGATACCTATAACAATATTGAAATGCACACAGCAATTCAAGACTTACCCGTAGAAGCAACTCTGCTAATATACAGCCAACAGCCCACATGTCCACACCTACACCATACATTCTTGCACCAAATAGTAACTCAGGGGCCCGATACCACCTGAAGAACAAAAAGAAACACAGTCATTTTACAACAAAATTATTAAAGTATTTCTTAGTGAAAACTCCTCAGCGAGACATCATATCATTGATGAAATTCACTGTTTTCTACAGACTCACCTACTAAGTCATTTGTACTCACACAATCTGCCTTCCTACCTGTAACTATCCTTGACTGTTTTTAAAGTCAATCCATCAATCTGAGCACTACATACCATGCTCTTTTGCCTATTTTCAAGGATATTGCTCCTGTAATTCTCTCCCCTTTCTCTTATGTCAACTTTTTGTTCTTTACTAAACTATTACTACCAATATACAAACACACCATTATTTCTATGGCCCTAAAAAATAAACTAAAACCCAAAGAAACAAACAACAAAAATGTCTTTAGACCCTACTTCCCCTAACAGCTACCTCCCCATTCTCTGGTTAGTCTGAAGAGTTGTCTGCTCTTACTGTGTCTAATTCCTCTTCTCTCATCCTCTTAAACTCTTTTCAGTCAGGCTTTCATTCCTAAAACGGCTCTTGTCAAGGTTAACAATGATATCTACATCATTAATCTGTCAATTTTCAGCCCTCATTTTAATTTGACCTATTACTAGCATTTGATTTGCATGAAAACATGAGAAACTGGTAGATGAAAAGCCTGTATACTGTGCTCTTGTATGTGGGTCCTTGTTTTCCTAAATTCCTGAATGACAGGCTTAATCTTTCCAGCAATTACATGAATAGCTATTTATACCCCTTATGTCTTACTAGGGGTTCAGGTGATTGATGCTCATTGAGATCCACTAGGAAGGAGTTGACAAAGTAATTTGAAGGAATAGATAGATAAAATGAAGATCTTCTCAGATTTTTAAAAAAGTCTTCGAAATTGAAAAATACCATTGCGGTATGAATGATAAAATCTGTTGTCCCTATCTATTTAATATGATTTTTAATTTGTATACATAAAAAATTACAAGTGTAGCCCTGGTTGGTGTGGCTCAGTTGGTTGGAGCATCATCCTGTAAACCAGAAGGTCGTGGGCTCAATTCCCAGTTACGGCACATATCAAGGTTGCAGATACAGTCTCTGGTTGGGCCTGTATGAGAGGCAACCGATCAACGTTCCTCTTGCACATTGATGTTTCTCTCCCTCTCTCTTTCCCTCCCTTTTCCTCTCTCTAAAATAAATAAATAAATATGTCCTTGGGTGAGGATAAAAACAAAAAGATAAAAAAACAAAACAAAACCCAAAAACCCGAGTGTAATAATATGAAAAACCCAAACATCAAAATAATTCTTTGTTTAGAGAATTTTTCATTCACACTGAATGATAAAATATGGAATCAGGACTGACTATAAATCCCTCCAAATCAGCCCTCCAAATCAGGTGATTACGTAAAATAATCACTAAAGTTATAACATACCTAACTAAAATGTAAAAGACGTATAAATTAGCCCTGACCAATATGACTCAGTTGGTGGGGCAGCATCCTATTAAGTGAAAGGTCAGTGGTTTGATTCCAGGTCAGGGTACAGGCCTAGGCTGCAGGTCCCATCCTGGTCCAGGTGCATATGAGAGGCAACTCATCAATGCTTCTCTCTCACATCAATGTTTCTCTCTTTTTCTTTCTCTCTACCTTCCCCCTTCCTTCTCTCTCAAAACAAACAAAGAAAAAAGCCAAAAAAAAAAAAAAAAAAAAAAAAGAAAGAAACCCCAAAGCAAAACGAAGACACTGTATGGTCTTCATTATTAAAAAAAGAACAAGTATAAATTACTCTCAAAAGTTACTATGTAAGTGTCTGAGGACAGATTTAATGCAACTCGTGTTTGAATGAAGGGCTATATTTTTTTCTCACTTTGGTACAATATACATAACATAAAAATGGCTGTATTTTCAACAAAACATACAATGATCCCTGAATTCTGCCAAGGAAGCAAATTATGCTCACTTGTGATTAATAGCCTGCACAATATAAACTTTCAGTTATTTAAGGATTCTTACCTGGTTACAACCTGATGTGTATAAGCTCTATTGGGGCTCCCAAATGATTTGGCCAGGCCAAAATCTGCCAGCTTTAGAACTCCATTTTCATCTAGCAACAGGTTGTTTGGTTTCAGATCCTATATTGCGGAGGTTTTAAATGAACAAGTAAGCAGGGCGGGTGAGACTACCATAACAAAACATTTAGCTGGTTTAACCTTAAACTTAGCAAAAACAGGGTAACACCCCAAATTAAACATCTATGTTTTTTTATTGATGTAAAATTCTATCAAAGCAAAACAAAACTGGTCACATTACCTAATGAGACCTTGGATCAGGGTACCTAATTTCACTGAACTTTAATTTGCCTACTTTACAGGGCTGCTATGAGAATTATATTTAATATTTTCGGTAAAGAGCCTAGTGTAATCACAGGCTCACAGTAACTAATCAATAAACGGCTGTTGCCACTAATTTAATAGCAGTAATATATGTAAATTTAGTAAATAAAAACATACATTTAGAAAGGATGAGGAACATAGTCTCAAAATCTATGCTAAGAAGACATAGCAATAACCTAAACGGGATTCCAAGGTTAAGGTATGAAAATTACCAACTATAAATTATATACTCTTAGCTACTTACATAAGCAGGGTGCCTAAGAATATCTACCTATCTCAATTATCAGTCTTATTCCAATAGTTGAATGTTCAGAACAATGACTGAACCATTTCAGAAATTTTACTTCATTACTTTGTAGAATTTTAGACTACTAGAAATATTATTTTTCTAAAGGAATTTTAGCATTGTATAATTCAATCCAGATTCTCACTCTATTTTTTCCCCCTGATAACCATGGTACAGCACATGGAATAGTAGACTTAAAGCCAAAGATCTAGGTTCTAAGACTGTCACTTACCAGCTCCTGGCCTTGAAAAATATATATAACCTTGCCCCAGTCACTAAGCAATTTAATTCTTCATTTTTGAAAACTATTAAGGGCTGGGTCTCTTCCATTTCTAAATTTCACAGTCATTTACAGTCCATACAGCACCACCTGGTGGAACGACTAGAGGGAACACACTGAGGAAGAAGGTGGGATAAAATAGTCCAGCTACATCTTTATTTAACAATGTACATATTCAGACCATTTACGTAACAAACTAGTTACATAAAACTTGACAACATAAAGAAGTTATCATAGCTGGTTAAAAACCTTACCCTATGAAGAATCCAATGTTGATGTAGATATTCTAACCCTTGAAGTGTCATCAACATGTAGGCTTTGATGTGTGATGGTGTCAGCACAAGACTATTATCCTTTATTATAACCTGTAAAGGGCAGGTATACAATGTACAGGTAACTTCATTATTACAAATAAATGCCACCATATGAAATCACATACAGACATAATGAATTTATTCATAGAGGTGAATCTCAAGAAAGGCTGCCTAACTCTCCTTAGGAAGTAGTGTCAGAATTTCCCATCACGTGATTAGGGAAAGTCTCTGGTTTGGAGAGAAAGCAGTGCTTTTTCCCCTACTGCTTTATTTTTTCAGCTGCCCCAGGATGTATAGACCCTTCTGATAAGAACATTCAACATACTTTTGGGAAACTACCTGCTCCTCACTCAATCCACATGGTGTTAAGTGGACTAACCACTGCCTGTGGCCTCTAGAAGTAGGGTCATGACCCAAGCAGTCAATGACTACTGCAGCCTGCTGTCCAGGGGGTTGGCTGGGGGGTGGGGGTGGGGGTAGACACATGATCCAAGTCAAGCCAATCAACCAGACCACATACTTGTACTATAATCAAAAGGAACAAAGAACTTTCCTTCCTCAGGGATTATTAAACTCTGAGGATATAAGCCTAGAAGTGTCTCAGCTACTATATTGAGAAATTATGCCCATGAATGAAGGTAATAGAAAAGAAAATAAAGCTAAAGTGCAAGACTGAGTTCTGATGGCATTATTTGTGAACTGTGCCTATAGCTAGTTTATCAATTACATGAGTTAAAAATTACCCTATTTTATTTTTAAAAAATCAAATTTAGGTAAAATATACCCTTGTAGAGTGCAGTTCTGAGTTTTAATGAACACACCCAGTTCTATAACCACCAGTACAATCAGGGAGTAGTTTTATAATCCCCCCAAATTCTCTCAGGTCCCTCTATACTCAATCCTTCCTTGTACCCCAGCAACCACTGATCTGGTTTCTGTTTCTTTACTTTTGCCTTTTTATATAGATGGAATCATACAACATATAGCCTTTTAGACCTGGCTTCTTTTATTTAGTATAATGTATCTGAGATTTGTCTATATTGTTGCATATATTAGTTCACTTCCTTTTATTCCCAAATAGCAGTCTATATTATGGATATACCACAGTTTGTTTATGCATTCACTGGATGAAAGATCTCTGGACTGTTTTCACTTTGGGCAATTATGACAAGCTAAACATCTGTGTACCAATTTATTTCTGTGTAGGTATGATTTTGTTTCTTTTGGATACAAACCTGATAGTAGTAGTATTGCTAGAGCATACCTTAAATGTGTATTTCACTATATAAGAAACTGCGAAACAAACAGAATAGAACCAGAGGCATGGAAACAAGGAACAGACTGATGGCAACAAGAGGAGAGGCAGGAAGGGGATAAGGGTGGAAAGGGGAAGGCACCAGTCAAAGAACATATATAAATGACCCATGGACAACAGGGTGGGGACTGACTGTGGGAGGGGGACTGGGGGTAGGTGGGGCAGATGAGAGCAAAAGAGGAAAACTTGGACAACTGTAATAGAACAACAATAAAATACTTAATAAAGAAAAAGAAACTGCCAACTATTTTCCAAAGTAGCTGTACCATTTAAAAACTTTCTTTAAAAACTTTATCAATTTTAGAGATAGAAGGAGGAAGGAAAAGAGAGAGAGAGAAACGTGATTTGTTGTTCCACTTATTTATGTGTTCATTGGTTGCTTCTCGTCTGTGCCCTGACAAGGGATCGAACTCACACCCTTGGTGTATTGGGATGATGCTCTAACCAACTGAGCTATCTGGCCAAGGCCAAAGTAGCTGCACCATTTTGTACTCTCACCAGCAATGCATGAGAAGTCCAGTTGTTCCATACCCCTGGACTGTCAGTTTTTGAGATTCAAGTAATATTAATGAAAAGCACGATCTTATTTTTCTCAAAAAGAAACGGCTTTCAAAAGGTTGATTGAATCTCTTAGGTCCTTAACCGTAGCTTTAATAAGCATGACATTATTTGATAAGTAAAAACATTTACATCATTTCAAAAAATACTGCCTTGACTGTGTTTTATGCATATTTTAGCTTGAAGTTTTGAAGCGTCTTTTCTTTTTTCCTATTTTGTATTGTTTTTGTTATTGATATTAAACAGTGTAATCTTTGCAGGCATATATTGAAGATTATTCTGGAGCATTTATTGCCTTACCAGAAATGTCAGTAAGAAATGTTCTTTAGAGTAGAAAGATAGACTTGAGTTTCTATACTTTAATAAGAGCTCTTTGTTCCTGGAGGGAAGAGTGGGAGGTGACTTTTACTTTCATCTCAATTTACTAAAAACCCACAACTGAAATATATTTTCTTTCAAAAATTAACAATTTTAGAATTTCAGATAGTAGTTGCTCAGGAGTACACGCTACTCAAGATATTAAGAGAATAACAAGCTATGTAGATCTACTGTTGATACAGAATCTATGTACTTGAACAAATGTGTGAATCTTAAATATCTCAAAGCAAAACAAAAGTGTTCTTCTAGAATGTTGCTTTTTTAAAAAGCACTAAAGTTAGACCAAGGCATAGAGTTTTGTTCTGACAGACATTTAGGTTATTTGTAAAGATAAGGAATGCATTATGCGTCAAAATCAAACATTCCTTTCATGTTATATATATTTTGTTCTTTGTTATATTGGCTTTATTTTCAAAATTGTAGTTTGTAGCATTAGTTTCTTTTTATTGGCATTGCATATACTATTCATTCAATAAGTGAGATAAGACTTTAAAAAAAAGGTTGACTGATATTCTGTGACAGTATGGAAAAACAGCACTGAATTTTCAAGGTCTAATACTCATTTCTCTAAAAATAATATCAATTAAAAACAAAAATAAAAATAATGTCAATAAGGTATAGGATAACTTGGAAGAAAAATGCTAAAAAAAATCCCAATCTTTGTATTTAACATTGAGAATATGGCTGAACAATTCAGAAGATCTTAGATTTAAGAGTATATCCAGATTTTAAAATTAAGCATTCTTTTGACTTCTGGTATCTTCATAAGTAGAAAATAAACATTTAGGTTCTCTTTTGAAAAACAGAACCCCCCCCCCACAACATTCCTCTAGGAATCTTAATCTTACCTCTAGATCAGTTTCCATAAAATCAAAGACAAGACTAATATTAGATTTATGTCCAAAAGCATCAAGGAGCTGCAAAACAAAAATTAAAAAAAAAAAAAAAAAGAAAGAAAGAAAATGTGATTTTTTAATTAAATACTTAGCAGTATTATATCAACTAAATAATTTTTTTAAAATTTAAACAAGCATTTGGACAGTTGATAATTCTCTGTAGAGTTTAATCAATTTTATTAAATTTGACATTTATCTCTTTTTTTTTTTTGCTAGGAATCAGTACTTGGAGGCACAAAAATATTAAACTTTATTATTTTTTTTTAAAAATCACTAAATAGTTAACCTCTTCCCCCAAATTTTGGGAGTTATAATTAAGAAATGAATTAATGAAAACCTCACCTCAGTCTCCAGTTCAGAAAAATTCCTACCTAAGAAAATCCTATAAATTGCAATAGCAGCTATCATTCACTGAAGGAGCACATTCTCTATGTCAGGCACTACTCCAGGTCCTGTACATGTAGTCAATTAGCTAGTCTCACAACAACCCCGTAAGGCAGGGGCTATGGCACGGAGTTGTGAGGGTGTGTGCTCAAAGCCTTACACGTGCAACAGCTCTCTAGGCTTCAAAATGATTTGACAAAATTAGCCTGTATGCCAGTATTTAATCTATTTCATCAGTTGTATAGTTTTAAAGACACAGCCTACAGGAACAATTAGGATAGAAAGTACATTTCAGCCTGATAAGCTTTTAAATCTTTTTTTCAAGGCTTGCTTAGGACAATTCATTTTGCTGAGTCTTCAGTCAACATACTAGAAAAGGCACGGTCCCAAATCCCAGAAACAACTTAGATCATACTCACACCAATTATATTTGGATGACTTAGCTCCTGTAATAATTTTATCTCTCTTAAGGCTGTTCTATTTATACCTATATAAAAAGGCAAAGCAAAAAGTCAAAAATAATTCTCCAATCTCCTTACAAATATTTTTTTGGAAAAGGTTAGTCTCTCAAGAAATAGCAGTGAATATTCTACAGAAAAATAAGGGCTATTTTGACAATTTTAATGACACCAGTTTTTCTTTTACATTCTTTTATTTTAAAAATCGCTTACACAGACCATGATAAATGATGAAAAATGTATTTGTTTTATTTGTGGCACATCAGTTCTAAAGACTGCTGGAATAACAACATGTCTATCACGTAGACACTAAGTTACAGCTTCCCTTTTCTTGTCCTAACAATATGAAGGGCAGATTCTTTATGCTTTATCAACAGCAGAGTAGTGATAACATAGTATCTTTCCCAATTCAATGGATAGAACTCAAAATAAAAAATAGGATCTGGTACTAGGTGTTGCATGGGCGATGGGTCCTTTTTTATGGGAACTATTTCTCGATGACTAAAGAGGACTTAGCACCCTAGCAAAGCTTTGGCAGAGGGATGAAGAGTTCAATAGTGAGCTTTGTGCACAGCCATGAAGGTATATCCTGAATCTTCAAATTCGGAGTTAAGAAAATGAAGAAATGATGGCTTGTAACAACACCTGAAACATGAAGACAGTAAGACAAGAGACTAATAACCTTGCTGTCTTCCAGTTACTATGGTGACTTGAATGTTCTTTTCTACATCCAAAGGGTAGGAGTCACAAATACCTGCCTCCCTCCTGAGTCTACCTCTTGTTGGGAAACACCCTGTCTGGTTTCAGGAACTGTAACCCTGCCAACAGGGTGGAGGGCCCCAAGACTGAAAAATAATCAGGGAGGCCTTGAAGAAACAGGCTTCTGAGGAGGCATAACCTGTCCCCCCTGGCAGGGGCATAGCTCCTGTCTCTCTGCTTGGCTCTGTGGTCAGTGATCCATGATGGGTAAGTTATCTCATGCAGAGATAGTAACCTAAGACATATATTGATTTGGTATGGGTAGCAGAAAAGAAATTGGGGGACATGGAGAAAGGGCAAAAAGGCCCACACCCCTCAGCTGGGCTTGGACATGGCTGGAGTCTTCGTTCTATCCGAAAGAAGTCTCCTTGTCTCTTGGTGGCTCCCTCCCCCCGCCTGGCTCAGGCTCCAAACAACACTGGAGTCAGTCCTAAACCAGATCTGGCAGTTCCTAGGGAAATCAGGCCTAAAAGTAAATTCTTTAAAGTATGCTTTGTTTTATCCACAGACCGAAACCCTATACCCTTAGGCACTCTTGTATTTACTATGCTCTCCTGTTTAGTCATCTCTCTTGCTTACTTGTCTCCTCTGGGACCCATGTAAATCAGTGTGTTCCTGCCATTTGTTTTCTTCAAAACATCACCTATTCTTGGTGGATGTTAACATACTGATGTAATGAGATAACCTGTGCATTCCTGTTACCTAGCCCCACTGATAACCTTTTCAATAAAAGCCTTTCAACAAGGGGACTCTGGGCCTTTCCCACTAGGGGGATGTGCCACGCATGTCTTCTCTTCTGGCAAACAGAGAAGTGTTTGCAATGACTGGTGTTTATTTCCCGCATCTGTGACAACCCCAGGACAGGCTCTGCAGGATCCAGAGTCCCTGGTCCCATCTCAGCTGGCCCCAGACGGTAACCCTCAGATCCTGGAGTGCTGTGCTCCCCATGACGCACTCAGTCCCCCTGACTGGCAGTTGCTGCCCAGACTGGGGATGAGGGATGACCCGCGGAGGCGCTCCCCTACGCGTCACGATGCGTCGCACCCTGCACTATGACCTTTATTCTTCTGGGACCCTGCAATAACTCAGTCCAAAACCATTGTTAACTCTAATTAATATTTCATTCATTTCCTCAGTAGAAATAAAAACCTTTCTTGTTCTGTCAAAGTACAAGAAATAACTTACCATCTTTAGCTTCTGATCTATGTCCAAGTTTAATCTGGTAGAGGAGAAAAAAAACAAACATTAAGAATACATTAAGTTATTTAGAATTAATGAATACACATACACTTCAAAAACTTATCTACAGCAAAAACAGGTAGCAACTCATATGTAGTTAGTGTTAGTAGGCAAGAAGGGAGTGGGAATAATGAATCAGAAAGGCAAAAGTAATATAAGAAAGGATCAAGCATCTACCTTTTCTTGCCCCTTAAGTATTTGAATTACATATTCAAAACCACTCAAGAAATAATGATATAAGCATATTCACTCAAGAAATAATGATATATGCATATTATTTAAAGAAATGGGGGAAGAAGTTATAGGAGTTGAAAGTTATGCTCCAAGGAGTGAAAAACTGGGGTGTAGGAGTCAGGTATGTTAAAAAGCCTTGACCTACTAATTAACTTTTCAAACCACAAAGATGTATTATGTGAAATAAAATAAACTGTAAGAGAAGATTCTACTGTTGTTATTGTGCAGAAAGTTTGTAGAGTCAGCACTAACAGAACCAAACATTAAACATTAAGAAATTCAGTGGAGAAAGATTGACTCTTTTATTATAAATGGCACCACCCAGGGGAATGGGAAGCTAATGCTCAAAAGCCTGAACTCCCCAGTGGCATGTAGCTTTCATATTATATAGGGCAAAACCACAAAACACCGTGGGTTAGAGGTTAAGGATTGTGCTGGGAACTGATTGGTCAGGGGTGAGGTAAGGGTTAAAAAACCATTTCTTCAGGTCTTGAGGTCAGCTCTGAGGTCTGCCCTGGCGTCACTCTGCCTGGTTCCATGGAAAAGTAGCCGGAGGGTTGTTCCAGCTCAGGGCGCAGGAGCTGAAGCAATTTAGGTCAAGGTGTTATCTTCAGCTTAACAGAAACCCATACCTTGTTACCCTTAGACAAGGTATGGCCATTGTTGCTGGCTGCTTCAGAGGGTTAGCAAGTATTGACTAGTTAGGGAAATGGCTAAGGCTTGCAGGGCCACTGGTTTCACCAAGTCACCTTCAAAAGGTAAAAGTTTATCACAGATAAACAGGATGGATTCTACCCTAATTTATGTTAAAAGCAAGCAAACAAAAAAATCTTAGGACTTCAGAAAACTACAGAACTCAATATGACAACAGTTTGAAGAGATTATATCAGTCAAGTGAATACATTTAAAAAAAATCATCTGAGGATATGTTTTATTGATTTTAGAGAGGAAGAGATGGAGGGATTGGGGGGGGGAGAGAGAAACATTTAGTGGTCACCCACCATACGTGCCCCAAGTGGGAGCAAACCTTAAACCTTTTGGTGTACAGGATGACACTGCAACAGAGAGCCATCCAGCCAGGGCAAGTGAATACATTTTTGATGAGTGTCTACAAATATACCAGTCATAGTTGTAAGTGGAATTTGAGTGGAAATAGACAATAAACTCATAGGTAAGAACATTTTAGATTTTAATAAATGCTACGAAGATAATAGAGACACATGGCAAAGAACAGTGGGGAAGGAGGGAGGCGTGCCTGTTTTAGTCAGAGTGACCATCAGGGGTGTCTAGGTGAAGAGACATTTGAGTGAGATCTAAATGGTAATGAACCTGTCAAGTTTTAGAAAAAAAATATATTAGCCAGAAGACAGAGCAAATAAAACAATCCTGGGACTGGAATGAATTTAATGTGTTCAAGGAACAGAATAGTTAGTGTGGCTTAGAGTAAAGAAAACCAGGAATAATATTGAAAAACAACTTTAGAAAAAGGAGAGTTAAGGGTTTTACAAAGGAGTAGCTAGAGTGCTAGATTATAGAATATAAACTGGAAAACAAGATTAGAAAAGTCAGAAAAAGTAAAAAAGAGCCCTGGCTGGGTGACTAAGTTGATTGGACCGTTGTCCATACACCAAAAAGGTTGCAGTTTCAGTCCCCTACGGGGTACATGCCTAGGTTGCGGGTTCCATCCCCAGTCAGGGTGCTTACCAGAGGCAACCAATTGATGCTTCCCTCTCTCTCAAAATCAATAAATGTATCTTTGGGCGAGGATTAAAAAAAATAAAAATAATAACAATGGAAAGGGAGTCAGGAGTTAAGTGAATGAAGAAAACATGCTTCAAAAGAGAAGCATATTTTGAAGGAGAAACAGATCCAATGTAGCAAAAAGCAGCAACAGGAACAATAGGAAGGTGGAGGTCACTTACCTCATCAAATAGGCCTTGAGATATGAGCAAAATAACCTCTCCTTGAGAAGGTTATTGACTGCAGTAGTATGGGAAAGAGCAATCAATGGGACAGCAGGACACCTGGACGTATATTCTAGCTTTAGCAATTACTATCTGTGTATCATCTTGAAAAGTCACCTAATCTCTCTTAACCTCAGGTACCTCAAGTGTAAAGTGTAAACACTTTACCTATTTCACAAAGCTGTTTTGTGGGTTAAATGAAAAAAATGTAGGTGAAAGTGCCTGGCATACAGACAGTTAGCTAAATATAACACATGCTTCTTGAATGAATGCATATAAAAAAGCTAATTAAATCATTTTTAAAAACGCATGCACATCAATGTTGTTAATGTTGGTGAAAGCCTTTCACAGTCAATCTGTACACAGAAAATACAGAAATGATGCACAGAGTGAATGCAGGTGAGGCAGAAATAGTGATCCGGAAGATCATAACATTAAATAGTTCTGAGAACCCAAAAGACTGGCAGTCTTTTATCCGCTTTGCTAACGTCTGAGTTTATAAAGCAAACATAGCTTCATCTTCATTTCAATTTCAACTAATGGAACAAAAAACTAGTTCAACTGACTTCCATCTTGGGACACAAGACACAAACTTCGCCTTCTTTAGAAACGGCGTAAGTCAGTCCTCATTAGCAAAGCACGGTCAAGATTAGTCAAACGGCCATCTACCAGCTCACACACACCCGAATCTTCAAAGAAATTCAAAGGAAAAAAAACCCTGTAACTCACTTTTTTAATAGCGACAATCTGGTTGGTGTTCTTGTCTCTGGCTTTGTAAACCGTGGCAAACTAGAGAGGAAAACAAAAATAACGTATGTCTGTGGGAAGTTTTTTGTGGTTGGCTTTTTATTTTAGATTTTGGGAAGCAAAGAATCAAGGGTTCTTGGAGCGGACTCGCGGCGGCTTGACACGTAGCGGGGCAGTCCACGTCCCGTTCCCGTCCGTAGTTCAGAGAGGGGAGGGTTGCTCAGGGTGGACACGGGGGCAGCAGCGGCATCTGGGCAGCCTCGGCAAAAGGCCAGTCCTCCAGCTTGCACGAGAAAACCTGTGAAGAGACGATGATACTCGGAGCCCTCCCCTCAACGATCCCCCGATTCCCCGAGAGCCTCACCTGTCCCTCCCCGAGGAAGTCCAGTTTTTCATAACGCTTTGCTCGCGACTTCACGTCCACAGCCATCCGCACGTGAAGCCAGACACCAGCTGAAAAGAGCTATCTCCCAATAGGTAGCAGGAATTTAAAGCTACCTTTAAGCCTCCAACAGCCACTTCCGTCCACTAGGCGCTGACGCTTTGTTAGCTCCGCCCACTTCCGGGATGGGCGTGGGTGCTCTTAAATAGGCCGGGCCCCCGGAAGTTACGCAAGGTACAGCACGTTGGCTTTTCCGTGGGGCCAACCGCCCTGTCAGGCGATCACGTGGTGCTGAAAGTCGTGTGTTTCCGTAGGTCCGCGTTTGTGTCCCCTAGTTACCGTTGTAACCTAGATATTAACTACCACCGACGATTTAGCGTTTATACTGTTCTGAGTTCCGGACTTAATAGGCGTGTATAAATGTGAAAGGCTTGGCCTTTGTCCCTGATGTCCCTTTGTGGTTTTTGGTAGCGGGTGTTCTGTCGCTACGGTTACTAGGGACGCCTGGCTTGGCAATCTCAGGTTACTCAGACGCATGACCACTTCTTAAAGCCTGGTCAAGAGGTATTCTTTCTTATTAGTCCAGTGCCTTCATGACGAAGCACGCCCAGGGACACAAGTCAACTGAAGAATTTTGTGTATGGCATCAGTTTTCTACTCTGTAAAGTGGAAATAGTAATAGACTACATCATAGGTGGTTGTGAGGATTAAATGAGACATGCAGGAAGGTTAACGTAAGGTTAGACATAGTAAATGCTCAATTAAGTGTTAACTGTGACCAATACCCAGCTTTCTCATAAATTCTCATACAAATCAACAAATTAAACATTAACTCATTTATTCAGTGAATATCTAATGAGGGCTTACTATGTGCCAGACTCTGTTGCAGGCTGGGAAGTCAACCGGAAAGAAAAAGATCCTTGCCTTCAAGTGGGAGTAGATAACAAGTAAAATATGTTATGATAAAAAGTATGTATTGATACGTAGTGATAAGTGCTATAGAGATAATTGAGCAGGGGAAGGGGGTAAAGATATTATGGTTTTCAATCTTCAATAGGGTGGGACAAGAGATCACTGAAAAGCCACTGCAGTTTTGAGCAAATGGTATGATCCAGCCATGTTTTAAAAGGTTCCTCTGGCTGTTCTGACAGGTCAAACTACAGACTTCTGGGGTCGAGGGCAAGGAAAAACAAGGCGGCCATTTAAAGAATTATTGCAGTAGTCCAGATGGCTGTATTAGGTTTTACCAGTCTGGCTTCTAGACAATAGGATTTGCTGACAGGAGGGTATGTGCTGGGGTGAGCTGGTCGGCAGGGCAAGGGAACTTCTAAGGTTTTGAATCGGATCACTTGATGTTTCTAAGAGTTGAGAATCTGATTTTCGGAGGTATATTTGAAGAAGGCAGCAGGATACCAAGGCTTGTAATTTAGTAAAGGGAATACAGTGGAGAGGCTGAGCTTTGCTCTGGATCTACACGCCTACATTGACTACTAGCAGAGAGAAACATCTATCAGTTGCCTCCCATACACGCAGTGACTTGGGATCAAAACTGCAAGCTATGTATGTGCACTGACCAGGGATTGAACCCACAACCTTTTGGTGTACATGACAATGCTCCAACCTCCTGAACCATCCAGCCAGGGCACTAGTGCTAGTTTTTTAGGAAAGTATTCCGAATGAATTTTAAAATAATAAAAAATCCCATGAATCATGTATTTCTCATGAGTCACCAGAACAGCTTATTGCTAATACCAAATCCCTACCACAGATTCGAATTGAGCAACATTTATACTAGGCCACAACACAGAATTTATAAGAGAAGCAGGTCAACTCTAGAATACCAAAAAAAAAAGTAAAGATTAACCCATTATCTTTGTTGACAAACTGGGCAATACTCAACAATTCTACTTATCTATTGCTTATAAACTACTATAGGGATTTAAAAAAATTTTTTTAAAATTAATTTTAGAGCGAGAAGGGGGGAAGGATGGGAGAGAGAAACATTAATTTGTTGTTCCACTTATTTATGCATTCATTAGTTGCATCTTATACATGCCCTGATTGGAGAAAGAATCTGCAACCTTGGTGTATTGGGGACGATGCTCTAACCGCCTAATGCTCTGACCAGGGCTATGGATGTCTTCTTTAAAGCATATTCTAGAAATCTGTAAAGGTATGGAAGAAAATTTATTTAGTTTTGTGAGACTTTATTTTCACAATCATATATACTCTTGGCACAGGAAGACCCTTTTAAAGTTTCATAAATTACGTTGACAAGGTAAATATTTAAGTTGATTTTATGAAGCTTTCAGACATTATGTTTGAGAAAGTTAATGGTTACCAGGATTTGCATACATTATTACAATTAAAAGAGTAAAATAAACCAAAGAACAACACTTTCTTAACCCTAAAAACATAAGAAATTGCAATTTCTAGTTAAACATTTATACCTATGCTATATTCATTTTGATCTGATTTTATACTGACATTTTTTTTTTCTAAAAATAGGTGACAAATAATCTTTTGTATTAACTTCCCAGAGTTAATACTACAAAGTCACTGGTTTTTGCTTTGGCTATATTTTTATCATTTAGAGTAGGATGTGCTTATTAAGCCAGTTATACTCCAGTAACTTTTTGAATGAAAAAAGAGAATTAAGAACAAATAGTGGAACCACTATTTCACTGATCATCATCCAGTTTCAGGAAAAGCACTTCCAAAAGGCAGCAATTCTGCCTAATAAATTCATTTCTAAACAGAAATTGAAAGAAGTGAAATTATGGGAAACCTATGATGGTTTACTAGATAAGACATTGTGTGCTTTTAATAGTTCAACACTGGTAATACTTGATAATCAAGAATAAGTTAATAGGCTAACATTTTCAGATGTGTACTTTAATAAGTATAAAGTATATAAACAATCAGGTAAGCTTGTGGAGGAGCTGACCAAGATACATAAATTATGAGATATAATTGTCCATCTAAATTTTCTATGTAGGGTTTTTTTTGTTTACAGAATATTTATTAAAGTTGTTTAATGTACAATTTCTCATTTGTCATTTTGGAAGTCCTTTATTGTAAAGACTATTCTTTTGTCTGATGACAAACAGCAGCCAGTATCAGTGATTATTCTGGACCTCCACGCTGAAATGGAAAAAAAATAAAACAGTAAGATTAGGTATTAAATTTACAGAAAAAATGTTTTCATGGCCACTATACAAATTTACATTATTTTTAAGCAAATGATCTTTAAAAACAATTTTGGGATTTTTCCATTGCTTGTGGGCACTCACAGAAATGTCCTAAGTAATTTCAGATCTGGAAGGGACTTAAGGTTCACCTAGATCAGTGGTCCTTAATTTGGTGGTCTCAGAAGCCCTTTACACTATGAAAAATTACTGAGAACCCTAAAGAGTTTTTTCATGTGGTTATATATATTACTTCCAAACATCATATTTGTACACAGATTTTTTTTATGCACATTAACTGAGAGCTTGGATATGATTTATTTCTCATAATCCTGGCCTATCAGACCGTCTGTGTCTTAGCTATGGACACACCGTGACAAGACAATGGGAGAAGCGTATAATTCAGCATATGAAATTCCAACAGCCAAAAGTGTGTTAAGGTGTTTTGCACAATATTGTGATAAAGACCAACAACATACTTGGATAAATTCAATTTCTTCTTGAGACATAGGTTTCCTTCTATATTTCTGAGGTAATGTTTTTATTATTTCTGCAGTGTCTGGTGGACCCTGATGCATCAGCCAATCTGGCGATTTACTTCCTTTAAAATGCTGTGAAATTGAAGAAGAGTGAGATGGTAGTCCTGATGATCTCAAAATTTCTGATACTGAAATTAAAAAAATGTAATTAGAAAAATTGTTCAGAGGTCTTAAAATACTATTTTGCACAATCTATTATTGAATAATTTAGTCATTCTTGAAATAAGTATTATAATTCTGAGAGGTAAGTTTTGGAGAGTAACTTAATTGGGTAGCTATATAAAATTTCATAAAGGCTGTGACCAGTGTGGCTCAGTTAGTTGGGTATCATCCTGCAAAGCTAAAGTCACCGATTCGATTCCCAGCCAGGGCACATGGCTGGGTTGCCGGTTCGGCCCCTGGTCATATGGAAGGCGCCCACTGACGTTTCTCTCCCTCCCCAACCCTCTATCTAAAAATAAATAAAATCTTTAAAAAAAATTTCATATTCTTAAAACAAATATGGAGGTAGTGTTAAGTTAGTGAATTACTAAATTGAACAAGTTTATAAACTGAAATTTCTAGGTAGTGGAGTTCAACCCATATAACCTATGTTACTGAAGTTTCGTCATGCAGTGAAGTTTATAGGTAATAATATATCTTAAAATAGGGAATAAGAATTCTGGTAAACATAAATGAGATTTGTTTTCTCAATACCTTTATACTTGTTTGTCAACTCTATCTTAATTCTTCAAGAGTTACAGTGAGTTAAAAATATCTGTATAAAATTTGTTAAAATTTTCCCTGAATTAAGGATCAAATATCTTATAATGAAGATAGGGACAGAGGATCTGGTGAAAAGGGAGGGGTCAGAGAAAAAGAGGACTTTTGTTCAGAATCTTCAGTTACTTTCTAGGCAATGATTGCTAACGTCTACAGCAATCTAAGAAATATTTATTGACTGAATAAACAGATAAATGAATAAATGAAAAAAAGGTTAGCTGGAGGGAAATATAGAAATGGTTATTATTCCTCACAGTATCTGTAAATGTAAGCATGGGGCATTATTCTAAAGGATAGAAGGAAAGAAAGGTAGAATATAAATTCCCCTAAATAAACTCGGTATCGTCAAAAATTCAGACATCTATTGTTGAGTCATTTCCTTTTTAAATGGAGGTAATAAGTTAATTTTTAATTGCATGCTACTTAAGGTACCACTTTCTTCTAAGCTACAAAGTCTACCTGATTTTAAATTGAAAAATATTGCCTATAATAGGATATTCAAGTAGAAATATACATGTGCACCATAAAAAAAATCTAAAGTACAACTTACCATTGGGTTTAGGATGGTCTCTTCTGTTAGGGAACCTTATTAATGGAGTATGTGGCTTGACTACCTAAAGGAAAAATAAAATGCATTAAAAAAAGATGAAACACTAAAATAAAGTCATTAGCTATATATACAAGAAAACCTACTGAACCTTCATTAAAGTAAAATAACTTATTATTTGACAGCAATTTTAAATTTTACTCCTTTACTCTTCCCTGAACAGGAAAGCTGGTCTATGAATTATTAACTTATCTTACTTGCTAATCCCAATAACTTTGTACTTTATACATTATAAGACATTTTACTGCACTGCCAACTGACCTCAAAGACAACCCTATGAAAAAGATGACATCGATTTTATGTTGTGTGACTTATATATTGTCCTGCTAATTGGTAAGAATTGGAAGTTTCCTGACTTGAATATTGTTTCCCTAATCTGTTAATATCTAGCAGTTTAGAATAGGATAAAAAATGTACTGAAAATTACATAATTAAAAGGTTTGTTTTCTGACTACAAAAGCAGTATGTGTTCTGTGTAAAAAGTCTGGGGGGAAAAAAATGCACAAAAGCACGAAGGGGAAACACTATCTTGATCCCAAAACCCATATAAAATAGGTTTAAACATTTAATAGCCCTTTTAAGGCTTGTTCCTACACCCACAGAAATACATACTTTCCATTGTCCTAATTCATCATGCCATTTCCATCCCAGTTCAATCTAGAGCTTTTGTCTTCTACCAGGAAATCTTTCCCCAATCCCACCCATTTCCATGCCTCTGCTTTTACCTGACTGCTTATCTTTTAAAGCAGCTCAAATATCACTCCTAAGAAACTTCCCCTGAATCCAAAATCTGATGCTTCTCTTTTGTGCTGCCCCAGTCTCCTGAACAACTTAAGAATATTGTGTAGCGGACAGATAAATGAGCCAATGATTTACAGGACAGCTAGGTCCCTCGAAAGGCAAAGTCAGAAAATTAAGCATTTCTGCAGCAGTGCCTGGTGCACAGTAAATGTTCAGAAAACATCTGCCAAATGAGTGAACAGGCTATTTGTATGCTAAGACTAAGTATATAAGCATGTGAATATGTATACACACACAGTGCACATACACTGGAAAGAATCCATTTCAACATTGCTTTTGTACACTTAAAACTATGCTATAATATGCCCTTACAGATGAAATTCCCACACTACTTGGGATCCCCCCTTTTTTTAACAAAATTTTGAAAATTATGTAAAAGTAGAGAAAGTAGTATAAGCCCTGATAATCACATTACACAACTTCAACAGTAATGTAGTCAATCTTATTTTATCAACCATACCCCTATAAGGGGAAAAAACCTGATAATCTGGACTATGCTAAAAAGAAAAAAATAGACCCCCCCCCCCCCCGCAACATATCCAACTAGGTAAAAAAATTTTGCAATAGACCAAAGGTTAATAGCCATACTATATATAGAACCTGTAAGCATAGAAAAATGGGTAAGATATTTTCCACAGGTGAAGAAATGGAAATAGGTCTTCAACCACATTAAAAGATAGTCAGCCTTATGTATATTAAGAGAAAATAAAACTGCATGGAGATTAATATTTTTCATTAATTAGGTTTTAGCGTACAAGCTGGATAACAGCCGTCTGTTGGGAAGATGATAGGGAAGCAGGCACTTATTCATTGCTATAAGGAATGCAAAATAGTATAACCTCTATGAGGGGAAAATAAGCCTAGAACCCACAGGTCATTCAATGTTCTCTTTTCCAGCACTCTCAACTTTCTTGCTGGAGGCTTATTTTCACCTGTAAATCTCAGTCCCTGAATTAATCCAACCACCCATCTTCTTCCCTTGTGCCTCATGCAGCCAAATGAATTCCTATATGACAAACTCACCTTTCTGCTCTTACGTCAGCCCAAGCATATCAAATATACACTGCCTGGCATTCAGCAGTCATTTAATTAATACCTATAACTTACTCTTTTAAAATTACTTCTAAATCCCCTGTAGTCCAGCCAAATTTCTCTACTTAATGTTGATACTATGCTTTGTGAATTTCCATGAGCTTGTGCCAGTGAGTCTGTTGAAATACTACCCTTTCTTCAAGGTATGGATCAACAGCTGAATTTGAAGCTCTATGCAGGCCCCAGGTCTGTTTTGCTGGCACTATAGGCCCCAGCACTGAACGCAGGCTTGGAACAGAAGTACTCAATAAAATTTGCTAATATAATATGTAATTATTTCATGTTAGCACATTCTGCTTTGTATTTTGAATATCTTAGTCAAAGTCGTTGCAGCTCTGTTAGGAGACAAACCATTCCTTATTGTATACCTCACAGTATCTTTTTTTCTTTTTTGTGCCAATATCAGTAGTTAGTTCTTTATTAATACTGTGTACTATTCCATTTTAACAAATCTACCACAATTTGTTTATCTCGCTAATGACCATTTGTATTTTCTCTGGTTTGGGGTTTATTATGGATAAAGTTCCTATGAACACTTTTATACGAGTCTTTTCTATATAGTGTATGCACTCATTTCTCTTGGGTGTAAACGTATGAGTAGAATCGCTGGGTCAAAGGGAAGGTATGTTTAACTATTAGAGACTGACAGTTTCCCAAAGCAGCTGTACCTGTTCATCCTCCCACCGGCAATATATGGGGGTTTCGGGCGCTTTGCATTCTCGTCATCACTTGGTACCATCAACATTTTAATTTTAATCATTAGGTGGGTGTAGTAGTACTTTCTGGTTTTCACTTGTATTTTCCTTGCAAGTAATGATATTGAGCCTCTTTTCACAGGCTTACTGCTCATTTGGATATCTTCTTTTGTGCAATATCATTTTTTAAAATCGCGCTATATATTATGGATACCAGTTCTTTGTTAGATGTTTGCTTTATCCTCACAGAATCTTTAATTAGTTAATGCTCAATAAATATCCAATGAATGAGTAAGCGAAGGTCATTCATTACAATGAGACCAAGACTAAGATCTACGATTATATTTCAGACTGACACAATTTTAAGAGAAGGTCTTTATGTGTCCCCGACGGGCACAGGAGATATACTTGTGCAGAAGGAAATCCACTTCTCATATCAAAATTAATACAATACACTTTCAGAGTTGAAAAGGACCATTTAAACCAACCACAAAAGTGGAGTTTGAGTTAGTTCCTTTATATCCAATTTTACCACTGCTCTTCAAGCTCGAGACCACAGCTGGAGAAGCAATACAAATGCTATTAGGAGTTAGTAACTAACACGTGGATTAACTAAGTTCCTATAGCTGCCAACCTAAATTTAGGAAAAAAAGCTTGGGAAACCAACACTAAAACATGTATTATAGTTAAACCTAAATAATCTTTTTTTTTTTTTTTTTAATTCCCTCCCGTCCGGCCTGTAAGCAGACACCTGAATTGGTGGGGCGAAGGTGCAGCCAGTTCTCCGGCCATTCCCAAGTCCTTGAAGGGACACACTGGGTCAGCGAAGGGTTTGCTTGCTTTCCCCCGCCGCTACCGCCTCCCTTCTGATTGGCTGATCGGGGTGTACTGGCCGGGATATCACAGACTATACTGGACGCCGATTGGTCAGGATTTGGCCAGGGCAGCCTAGCCCGCCGACTTCTAGGAGAGCTAACAAGATCCTCGCGGAGGGCAGTCCAGGGACCCCCCAAAGCAGCTATATGCCTACCTGCTAAGTTGCGACACGCCCGCGGCCTGGTTCGAACCCTCAGCTCCGGTCACCGGCTTACTACCCGACCCAACGGGCTCAAGGTCCAAATCTCACACACCCCCAAGTGGTTCCGCTGGCCCTACTCAGGGCTGCGGGCACCGCGCAGTCTCCGCCACCGCCTTTCCTCCCCAGCGCTTTTAGCTATAGTCAGCACCATCCCTACCGCCCTTGGTGCGGAAAGGCGACCGAATCTCTTTACCTGAACGACCCTGCTAGCAGACGCCATCTTACTGCCCATCATGACCCCTGAGAAGGGGCAGCTTCCGGGGCGCTAGCGAGCTGCCTCGGTCACTGGAGTCTTGGGCAGCTGGGGGCGGGCTCTGTCTATGACGTCAGGGAGGAGGGGCGAGTGGGCTTGATCCTCCACTGTGGCGCTAGCACCACCCCTCTTTGCGTGACCCCACCCCCTCATGTCTCCTAGAACGCATGTGTTTCCCATTGTTCCCTTTGCAGATGAAGGTTTCTGATGTTGGGTTTGTTTTGCTCGTTAGCCAGGAGTGATCTAGGACCATTTCCTCTCCAGAAAACCAGTTTCTAATTTCAGTATAGTCCAAATTTAATCTGAAGTCAAATACAATCTCGTGGTTTTCTAAAACGAACAATTATGTTAAAACTTCGGAGTTAATGGCAAATTCCGGAAGAGTGGTCAATTCCGGGTCTATACAAAGCCATTTCATATGTCCTTCCTCATTGGCATTGATTAATTTGGTCTTCTGTTTCTGTATTTTTTTTCCACTATTTGTCTTGATACTATACTGCTGCCTGCTTCAAATTTGAGGGAACGCAAAAGTTCACGTTTTTCCTTGAAACATAAGCCATCTATTGTATATCATTCCCCCAAAGTGATATTAAATTCTATAGTAAAAATGAATGTTTACATTGTTATAACTTTTAATATACAATATATTGTGGTTACTCAATGTAACTTTATGGGTAATGTAGCCTTAAGCCACTGTAATTATTTAAAGTGACAAATTTGTTTTGATGATCTAGGTCAGTGATTTATAGCTTTTTAGAAATGGAATTTGCCCTGGCCCGGTGTCAGTTGGTTAAAGCATCATCCCAGGGTTGCAGTTCTGTCTCAAGTCAAGGCACAGGCAAGAAGCAACCAATGAGTACATAAAAATGCAGGAAGAAATCGACGTTTCCCTCTTCTGTCTCCCCCTCCTCTTTCTCTGTAAAATCATTAAAAAAATTTAAAAAAAAAAGTAAGTTACTGAGCCCAAATGTGGGCCCTTCTGATTTAATATGTCTGTGGAGGAGACCAGAATCTATTTTTTAAAAAGCTTTCAACCCTGGCTGGTGTGGTTCAGTGGATTGAGCACCAGCCTGCAAAACAAAGGGTCGCAGGTTCGATTCCCAATCAGGGCACATGCCTGGGTTGCTGGGCCAGGTCACCCGCAGAGAGCGCAAGAGCCAACCACACAGATATTTCTCTCCCTCCCTTCTCTCTAAAAATAAATAAAACCTTTTTTAAAGAAAGATTTCAAAGCTTGTTTTAGCAGCATATGTTCTAAAAATCAGATTGATAAATGATTAGATGGGCAAAGGACATTTTTCTTTTTCTTTTTTTAATAGCTCATATTTAAAAAAAAGATTTATTTCTGGAGAGAGGGGAAGGAGGAGAGGGAGACATCAATGTGTATTTGCCTCTCACGCGCCCCCAACTGGGGACCTGGCCTGCAACCCAGGCATGTGCCCTGACTGGGAATCAAACAGCAACCCTTTGGCTTGCAGGCTGGCACTCAATCCACTGAGCCACACCAACCAGGGATAATAGCTCATTTTTTGTTGTATTTTTTTTCATTACCATTTACCTCTGCTATACCCTTTTCCACCTCCACCTATTTCCCTCCCCAAGACATTTTAAAAAGGGAATCTATATAGATATATCAAGTCATCCTGTTGTATAATTTAAACATCTTATGATTTTGTCAATGATCTCAATAATGCTGGGGGAAGAGCTCAAAAGCAACAGCAGCTTGGATTCCCAGCACACAGATTTTCATTTACATACAGAGAAACAGCAAGTTTCTCTATGAAAATCTACAATATTAAATTCTTATTCTGAAATCATTTAAACAACACAGACTTCCTTGGCAATTTATTAAAATAAAATATTTTCCATTTTTCTTTATGACTATACCTGAGAAAGAGATGAAAATGGGCAGAGAGGAACCATGATTTAGAGCTTTTATTAAAAACTTTCCAAGTCCTCTAATAACAAGAAACCTCCTGATATTACTTGAAGACAAATTCAGAAAATGCCAAATGCAGTGCAAATTTGGTATTTGCATACTGGTCATACTGGTAAGATTTTGTGTTGGCAAGTCTGCCAAGAAAACGCTTTGACTTTTCTCTAACTGTGGGCTTATTTCTAAGAATTGGCATTCTTATTTCTTTACAGAATTCTCATCCAGGCTCCTTTGGGATTATTTCCCTCTAGGATGAAGATGATAAAAGTAACTGAAGATGCCCTGGCCAGGTAGCTCCGTTGGTTCAAGTACTGTCCTGACACACCAAGGCGGTGGGTTGGATCCTGTCAGTACACATCCAAGAAGCAACCAGTGAATGCATGTGTGAACGGAACATCAAGTTGATGTTTCTCTCTCTCCCGCTTCCTCTGTCTCTGAAATCAATAAATTAAAAAAAGAGAAAACTTCCAAAAAGGTAGCTGAAGCTGAACCAATACCTAAATGCTACCTTCTCTTCCTGTTGCTCAATTAGCCTCCTGTCATCAAATCATTTGATTACACACCCCACTGAAGTCCCCTGATTTTTATGTATATTCTCAAGGCTATTTATTTTTTAGCTATTTTCATGGACCTGAAGCACACCATCTGATTTTACCTCTTGCATTGTGTCTTCTTAAAGCCCCTATGTCACCGAGCCTTTGACTCCTTTCTTGTCCCATGCACCCTGTCGCTGACATTGGCTGTAGATCTGTTAGGCAGCACTCAGCACGCGCCATAGCCTCCTGATGTGATGCAATATGAAGTACCCAGAAAAAAAAAAGTTAGTCTGATTGATGGGGCCCAGCTGGTTGGGTGTTGTCCCGCAAAGAAAAGGGTAGCCAGTTCAACTCCCAGTCAAGGCACAAGCCTTGGTTGTGGGCCCAGTCCTGGGCTGGGGTGCGTTTGAAAGGCAACCAATTGATGTTTCTCTCCCTTTCTCCCTCCCTTATGCTCTCTCTCTCAAAATGAATAAATAAATTTTCTTTTTAAAAAAGTTAGATTTAACTTCTAGTTTATAGGAATACAGAGGTGAAACAAGGTACTCAAAACTTGTAAATAAATCAGAATGGAGAACTTCCTACAGGACAAGTGTTTCTTCAAGCCAATAACTAAGAAAAATGTCGTGGAGGGGCTTTATCATCTCTGTTAGAGCTATTCAATCCAACTCAACTATGCTATTGTGAAGGGAAAGCAGCTACAGATACTTTGTAAATGTATGGGTGTGGCTTGGTTCCAATAAAATTTTATTTGTAAAAACAGGCAGCTGATAAGCCATAGTTTGCTGACTCTGATATTGATGAAATGAGCAACCAAAGCAACCATCACCACCACCACTACCATTTTTGAGAAAAGTAAATTAACCAAAGCACCATTAGCTTGAATGTTTTATTTTGTTAAATGTATAATCTTTATTATATTTTTTCCATTACCATCTGTCCCCTTACACCTCCATCCCTAGCTTGAATTTAAAGGCTGAGATACAAAATATCTTAGGGTCCCTAAACTAGAAAGCTGTGCGCAAGGGCATACTCTCTAATGCCCTCTTCAGATATGGCCGTGGTAGTGGTAGGGGAGAACCTCCGAAACTGCAGAATAAGATACCACGGATGAAGAACTGCTTCCAGAGAGCACGAGAGCCAAATCCAAGTGTTCCCTAGTCCTAGGAAGGGGCACTTCCTATCACTTACCAACTTATATTTCAGAATTGCTACAGGCCTTGTCCACTATTGTCTGAAATAACATAACTTGTCTTCTCAGTTCTCAGGTCTCCAGATCAAGAAGAGCCACATCTGGATCTGAGATCCTGAACTTTGAAACTGTTATTGCATGACATTGTTAGGTTATCTTCCTTGGGAAGGGGTGTGTCTTTTACACAGAGAAGGGAGGTTAATATTTAAGACCAAGATGCAGACTGGGAAACTGAAATCTTTTCAACAAATACCCATTTTCTGTCGACCATTCTGGAACTCAGAATGTCCCTGCTGTGGAAGAATTATACTTTACCGCCCCATTGATGTTGGGCTGGTCAATGAAACCTGGGTGGAAAAAATGTACACCTCTCCCAGACAGAAACTTTAAATGTGCTTGTGTGTGTAATTTGACTTGGCCTCATAAACCATGAGAACATGTTTCAAATAGTGGCTGTTCCTTCAAGCCTGGGTCCTAGAAAGATCAGCCAAACCAGGGATCCAAGACAGGAACAACTGTTATAAGCCACTGAGGTTTGGGGTTGTTACCCAGCAGGATTTCAGGCAAAGCAAACTAACAATTTCTGAGTTGGACTCTAAGAGGGAACACACAGTATAACAGAGTCCCAGGAAAATGCAAAAAGTTTTTCAGATGATACTGATAACCCATCGAGCTGGGATTCACTAATACACGGTGCACCTATGATTTATTTAATGCCGTATCTTTGGATCAGAAAGGCATTTTACCAATTGATTTCCTAGAAGAAAAATATAACTAGTTTTACAATTTATGCAGAGAATTTCCAGGAATTCACCGTGGCAAAATAAATAAAATTACAAGTGAATTATGATTTATCAAAACAAATGAAGTAAAACTAAATCTTCCAAAGAAAATTGTTCAGCATACAAATTTAGGCAAGTCTCAATATTTTTATTATTGATCTAAAGAGCATATTTCAAATGTTATTAACAACTGCCATGCATCTTACCAAGTTGTTTAAAGTCTTAAAGAACGCTAAAAACACCATGCTGTCTATAAAAATGATCAACAGCTCCAAATTAATAAACAGCTCAAGTCAGAGTTTTCAAAAGATTGGATGGGATGTATAAAAAGTGGCGTTCTATTTTTTAATTACAAGAGCAACATTTATTGTTTTAATTTTTTAGCTTATGAAAGGGATGCCTGATAAATATTTTATTTCCAATAATTTTGTAAGAATTTCTTACGGTGATACATACAAGAGAAAAAAATCACAATTCCTCTACAATAACCACAACTATTAACCCATTGGATATCTTTTTCTTTTTTCCAAGGCTAAGGCGCTTTATTTGGGTCTCTGTTTACAGATGTGGGTGTAAGTTGGGGGAAATGAGGAGATGTTGGTCAAAGGGTACAAGCTTACAGTTAGAAGATGATTAGCCCTGGCTGGTGTGGCTCAGTGAATTGCGTGCTGGCCTGTGAATCAAAGGGTTGCTGGTTTGATTCCCAGTTGAGGGCGCATGGCTGGGTTGTTTCTCTCTCTCTCTTCCCCTCTCTAAAAATAAATAAATAAAATCTTAAAAAAAAAAAAGATGATTAAGTTTTGGAGATTTAACACACAGCATTGTGATTATAGTAACAATACTGTATTATATACTTCAAAGTTGCTGAGAGACTAGGTCTCAAATGTTTTCACCATAAAAAAGAAAGAATTATGACATAACAGAGACATTAGCTAATGTCATGGTGGTCAATTCAAAACGTACACCTTAAACTTATACAACATTATATATCAATTACATCTCAATAAAAGAAGAATCTATAATGAGATAAATCTAAAATAAGATTTATTTGAATAAAATACAACCAACTGTTAAAAAAATAAAAGCGTGAATACGCTTTTCTAATTTTTCTAGCATTTTGGTTGACGAAGAAATGCAGAGACATATTCCAAACGAGAGTTGGGCCTCCAGGACCATTGTAGAAAAAATGTTCACATAGAGTGGAAAGCGGACTAGATGATGTCTTTCTGAACCCTTGCAAGGCCAATATTTTCAGATTCTTTTTAGAGTATGCCAGTCACTTTAATTATAATATTTAAAACAGTAGATTCCATGTTATAATATTAAGGTAAAAAAAAAATTTTGCAGTATAAGAATACTTCCAAAAACACTGAAAAACATATTTCACCTAAAATTGGTTATTTAAATGATATATCAAAGACAAAAACAAATAATGCCGACATAGAATTCTTCTTAGATCATGGTGAGATTCTTCTCAAGCTGCAGAACAGTTTCCTTAAGAGCAGAATCCTCTGCCCAATTGACTTTACTCCCCAAAATGAGGTTCTGTAATACAAAAAAATTTTTTTCAAATTAAAGTTATAGACATTTTAAAAACTTAACAAGCTTTCAAAACACCCTCTTTCGCTGATCTTATGAAATAATTACCAAACTAAATGTGAACATTTACTCTGTGATTGTGAAAAAAAAAGCGATACATTATTATATATGCTCATTTCCACTTTCAGTAAGGCTTCAGGCTTGATCCCCATAATTCTAGGGAAGGGTTACAATGCTAACGCTTTTCTATGCTTCATCAGTTTTTGTGGGTGGTTTTTCCCATGAAAGGTGCTTTTAGTGGTATCCTAGATTAAAGAAAAAAGATTGCAGTTGGTTCAGAGTTCACTTTGTACCTCCATAGTGAACAATTTGAGCCTAAGTAATATGTCTTATTTTTAAAAAGAGGTAAAACAAGAGCTTAATTCTCAGCTCTTGCCAAGTCTCAAGACCCTGAAAAAAGATGAAGAGCATTTCTGTGGTAGACATTGGAGGAATAATTAGGGTCATAATTAATGAAAATTCTGGTCATTATGCACTGAAAAACGATAGCTGAATGATACTGAGTTATTAATTGAAATATTGTTAAAACCCATTTTGGAATATAATGATATATTATTACACATAAAAAATAAAACTTTGGCCTAAATAAGACTCATTCTTGTTATAAGTTAATAAAAAGGCCAGTGTATACAAATTCAGTCCAATTTGAAAAGGCAGATGAAAGTAAGTATTCACACATGACTGAACCCCTGAAGACTGATCCTCCATTAGGAACAAAGAGAGCTCCCAACTTAGCCAAACCTATATTCTGTTTAACAAAGTAATGAGTTCATTAATTCAATGTTAACACTAGTTTAGAGAATGTAAATAAAAATTTAAAAATGTAGAATAATGCCGTCTCCCCCTTATTTCCCCAGCTGCACTTGCTCTGGAGCATTCCCAGCACCTGCCCCTTCCCCCTCTTTTCCCTACCAGGTGCATGACCTTTGTCTTTTCTCTCCTAAGCTCCAGCTCCTCTTTTGCTTCTGTAACTTATTTCTTGAGCCCATGCACCCCAGTTGGCTCACCTTTTCTACCCCTGTGACTTTCTAAATAAACTCTCTTATAATAATAATAATAAAAAAAGAAATGCAGACTAACAGAAGTCTCAAAGTGGTAGAAAGGAGTATGTGCCAAAGCAAATGAAAATGATTCTTTACTCATCACGCAATCCTCTTCTTAAGGTTAGCCTAGGGGATTTGACGACTTCTAACTGAAAAACCCACTCCTACTAAAAAGTAGGTGTAAGACCTGTAGAAGAATTTCTTATGGTGATACAGAAGGCCTCATATTCTACAAGGATATGCTTTACACATAATAGGCATTTCTTTTACATATAATAGTTTTTTAACTGTGCATCTTCATAATTGGAAACTGGCAATTTAAATATTTCAACAGTTCCAGAGACATTTTATAATTCACAAAGCGCTTTTAAAAAAACTCCAGAATAAAGAAAAGGACACTTAAAATTTAAAAATTTAAAACTTGATTATAACTACCAACATTTATTGAGAATTTACTTGGACCAGACACTATGCTAAGGAGATTAACATGAATTTTCTTTGATAGTTGTCGCAACCACTCTTTTTAAACAAGGACACGGACACTTAGGAAAGTTAATAATTTGCTCAAGGTCAGCAACTTTTAAGTAGCAGCCAGGATCTTAACTCTAGATTCCCATCATTCCCATCAATGTTTTCACCAAACTCCCAGCTTGGAATCTAATGCTCTCCGCCATTGTACCATTCTGCCTCCACAGGGCTGCTAAAAGTCATTCCATTTATAAATGCCATAATGAAAAATCAATACCATAAACATTAAATATACATGAATTCCAGATATATATAAACAGACCAATTTTCAGCACTGGATTATTTTGTCAAGATCAAAGACTAACTGTAATTCTGAAAGTAATAAAATCAACCATTTTTAGTAATAAAAAAAGTTCTTTACCTCCCTTCCTTATTTATATACACATTACCTGGAACACGTGTTGAATAACTGTAGTAATTTGTATCTCCATCTGTAGCCTTTGTTTCAAGGCCTTTATCTTGTCTGAATTTTCCATACTGTCCAAATCATCTTTCTGTTTGTTCTTTTCAGTCTGTATTTCTGAAAACTTATGTTCTGAAGATCGTTTTAATTCTGTAAGGTTAAAAATAAAACAATATACTATATATATAGCAATTCCTACATACAAGAATCTTAAAAAAGTATGGTTATTTCAGTCAAGAGAAAATATTTTTAAAGATTTTATTTATTTATTTTTAGAGAGAAGGGAAGGGAGGGAGAAAGAGAGGGAGAGAAACATCAATGTGTGGTTGCCTCTCACGTAACCCCTGCTGGGGACCTGGCCCTCAACTCAGGCGTGTGCTCTGACTAGGAATCCAACCTGCGACCTTTTGGTTTGCAGGATGACACTCCGCCCACTAAGCCATACGAATCAGGGAAAGAGAAAATTTTTAACAAGGAGTATTTCAGGTTGCAGTTCTATTTTTATCTAAATATGACTTCCCTGGTACAAAATACCAATATCTGAATTTTACACTTAGCTATGCAAATGTTCATGGTTTGTATATATGACAATGATAACTGTTCACAAATGTTTGAAGTGACATAGTGTCAAAGAGGACCTACTCTGGGCACCAAAATAGGCAGGAGTTATATGTAAGCAAACAGTTTTACCTTTTTATTTATAAAATGACATATTACCAAGATGAATATTCAGCAAAAAGTAAGGTTCCCTTCTCAGGATATAAACATCAACCATTTTTTACAGTTCCTGTAATGTTCTAAGAATTACACTATTTGAACACATAAATGGGTATGTCATAGGAGCTTGGTTCGTTGACATTAATGTATCAAAAGTAAGTTAGAATGCAATGAAAAATATTATATATTCAAAGGATAATTATATCAGACAATCACGACTATTTCTGACCCTGACATGACTTACAATGAGTTAAATCTGTATATTTAAAAATAGTAATTCATGCTGTTAAATGAAAAAAGCAATTTACAACACAATAAAATGATGCCAATTTTATTATAAAAAACAGGCATTGAAGATTATCTCTTGATGGTAAAATAGAAATTTCAACTTTTCCTACATATACTTTTCTCTTTCCAAATTTTCTACAGAGAATGTGTACTACTTTTGAAATAAACATTTCAATAATTTCAATGCAAAAAGCCACCTCATGTTCATTAAGTTAAAAGGCTGTAGGGCCATTTGTATTAACTGATCATATAAAAATTATGTATATATAAATATGTCTAACTGTGGTCACACAGAAAGGACGCATGCCTTTCACATTACACTTTTCTGTATTATTTGATTTCCCCTCACTGAGAATGTACTCATTTCGTGATTTAATGTTCTAAAACAACAAAAATGTATCAAGCAAAATACATTTTATATACTACTTTTTAAATTGTCATGCCTAAAATTGTAAGAAAATTTGAAAATCAAGAAATTTCTCAGTAGCTGAGAGATGTGGCCCTATCAATCTCCATATGAACTGAAAATATACTATACAAAACCCCTCCCAAAACTGTTCTACATACCAAATCTCTTCTTTTTAATATCAAGCAGTTTTTCCTCCAAATCCCAAGATTCCTGTTATTAGAAATAAAAAGATTAAGGCACATCACCTAAGCATAAACATGTAATACTTAAATAACTGAATTTCATCTTAGTTCATATTTTCTTAAACTCCAGGTTTTAATTACTTCCTTTCTATACAACATGAGAGGAGAGAGTAGCATAAATTACAAGTAGATACTTAGCAACATTAATGAAAAATAAGAGTTATGAAAAAGAGAGAAAAGCCCTGGCCAGATGGCTCAATTGGTTGGAGCATCATCCCATACATCAAAAGGTTGTAGGTTTGATCCCTGGTCAGGGCACACACCTACATTACGGGTTCAGTCCTAGGGCACATGCAGGAGGAGGCAACCAACGGATGTTTCCCTCTCTCTGTCTCCCCTCTCTCTAAAATCAGTAAATATATCCTCGGATGAAGATTTAAAAAGAGAGAGAGAAAGCTTAAGGATAGTGAATTCCAACCATACCAATCCCTTTGGACAATCCCATTTAATCATATATAATATAGTTACCAGCAAGAAGGTGTTACTGAAATCATTGAGAATGCATAAGCAGCCTAATGTGCAAAGTTACCTGCTGTGATTTCATTATTATTTTATTTAGCTTTAATATGTGTTTCATGTTATCCATGAGCTCACTGAAAAGGAATAAAAAATGTTAACCTTAGTTAAAAGTAATGCCTCATTAATGAAGGAATCAATTAGTAATATATACTTTCATTAAATTAACTGTACACTTCAATAGAAAATCATCATTTAACAAAACAAATCTTTAAAAGTTTGATGTAAATTAAATTTCTGTTTAAAAGTAGAGATGTTATTTCCCTAGAGAAATTTTTGGTCATGGACAATGAAAAATATCCAATTCAAGCATGTAAGAACATTTTTTAAAAAATCTCATATTTAGAGAGAAAAAACTCTAACAATTTGCTAATAAGTTGCTTTTTTAAAAAATACTTTATTTTTTATGGCAATTTTAGGTTCACAGCAAAATTAAGCAGAATGTAAGTCAATGTACCCTCTGCCCCTACACACACACAGACCCCCGGCTATCAACATCCGCTACCAGAGGTCCATATGTTATAAATGATAAATCTTTATTTAACACATCGTAATCACCCAAAGTCCATAGTTTATGTTAGAATTCACCCTTGTTGTTGCACTTTCTATGGGTGTGACAAATGTATAATGACATGAATCCCCTACTACAGTATCATATAGAGTAGTTTCACTGAATAAGCTGCTTTTTATCTCCACTCCTCTGAAAAATATTTGAGTGCCTACCACATACCAAGAACTGTGCTAGGCATAGTACCTGTTTTCAAAGAGGAAAGAAGTTAGTGAGGGAAAAAAGTAAATCCACAACCATAGTGTTGTTTCATTACAACCAGTATTGGACATGAACCATTCTAAAAGTTGTGCCAAGTGGAGCAAGGGACACCCTTGAACCTTAAAAGACATGAAGTAACGACCTAAGTCAAGTAGTCTGCAATGGCTGGAGCCAAAGGGTGTGAAACAGGACTGGGCAAAAACAGTGCTCCTATTTCAAAGTGCCACAGTCCCTTGGGAGGGCTGCTAAAGCGGGCTGCCAGCTGCCCTCTCCGCCACCCTCCTCCCCCATACCTTGGTTTTTAGATTCAGAGTCAGTAGGTTTGGGATGGGACCAGCAATGTGGTCACTGTGATAATACGAATTATTCTGATATTGTAGAAGGAGAATAGTGGGGAGGCCGAAGAGGGGGCATCTATACAGACATGGAAGAGCTGAACTCATTTTCCACTGGTTACAGTTGTAAAGTTTATGATGAACCTGTCCCATACCTCTTTGACTCAGGAATGTTTTAAACTCTCATTTGGTGGAGGAGCAATAATGGTAAGCTCAAATTCAGATTTCAGGATTTATGTAACTCTGGATTTATATGGAATATGGGGAGAATGTGTATGACTCTGAACCACCATATAGGAGACGCGCCCAGCTCCGTCTTAGCATTTTTCTACTGCTCATGGGAGGGGATTTTTATATCACAAGACTTTTAGAGCCGTGGGAGATGAAACCACAGGTAAGTCTCCTGAGGCCAGACATTTAGAACCAGATTGTAGGGGACCTTGACTGCCAGAGTCTTTATTTTATATTCCTTGACAGATTGTTTAATGTATACAAGCTCATTTCTGCCAATGAAAAATAGTTTACTTTCTATCATTGGGTTGTTGTTGATTAAATGAAATAGCAACTGTTCCTGGTTTTCAGTGAATAACCTCCAAAATTAACTTTCAAACCTTCCTTCAAAATTTTCAGACTATCTGGTTAAAACCTAAATTGCTTCTTAGTATTGCAATATAAACAAAATGCCAGTGGGACTATAAAGTTGGGATGTTGAGCAAGGCCCACAAAACTTCCATCCCTTTTCTTATTCCCCTGATAAAAGTGATTGGCGGGGACAGTTAATTTTTTTTTTAAAAAAATCAAGAAACTAAAGTCATTGTGCATATCCCCCTTCTTATTCCCATCCTTAAACAAATCGAGAAAAAAAAAAAAGTACCTATTCTGAACGTTACTTTCCTCCAAGTATTTTCTAAGGGCTGACGAAAGTTGCATCCTATCAGAGGAAAAAAGCTGGTGTTATAAAACACGGATAACATTTACGGTACACTGAAAAGAAAATTTTAAAATATGACAAGTGAAAGATTGATTTCTGTTTAAATATAACATAAGCATGGCATAAGTAGGTTTTAAAGCAGTATTGTATGGGAAATATTTGATAAGTCAGTCACAGAAATATGAACTAACACCAAGATGGACGGCGCTGTTGCACATGGTCGTGCACGGCCAGGGTGAGACTCAGCCCGAGCTCTGTTTTCCAAGCCATCCAGCTCGGTGCCTGCAGGAAGCAACAAGCATGAAGACGCGACGATCAACAAGGCCTGAAAGGGAAAGAATGAGGGAATACAAACCCACACTTAACTGTAAACTTTGAAATAAGTCTATTACAAATAAGCTCCATAAATCACTGTTAAATTCACATAGCTAATAAATAAGTAATAATAAAAAGTCAATCAATTCAGGAATATCAGAGCCCTTCCTTTTGGTCACATACAAGAAAATTCCAGTTTTAGAAATTTAGAAAATTTAGAAGTTTTAGAAAATTTAGAAGTTTTTAATACCCCTGAAATCACCTTAAAAAATATGATCTATATAATGGGCCAGTATATGACCTGAGGGGAAAGGCTCACTGTTAGAAGCAATTAAAAGCACTTTAGCTCTGCCTAATCTGGCTTAGTTGGTTGGGTGGGTGTTCTGCAAAGCAAAAGGTGGCCAGTTTGGTTCCCAGTCAGGGCACAAGACTAGGCTGCCAGTTCGGTGGCCCAGTTGGGGTGAGTATAAGAGGCAACTGATCAATGTTTGTCTCTCACATTGATGTTTCTCCGCTCCTTTTTCCTCCACTCTAAAAATAAATAAATAAAATCTTTAAAAAAAGATAGTAAAAAGCTCTTTAACTATTTTTCATTTAAATGTATGAAGAAATTCATCTGGGAAGGCCAGGAATACAGGAAAGCAGTTTTTAAAACTCAGTAACTGAATTGAGATAATTAATTCAGATCACAAAGTCTATAAGAGACTATCTTTATCTTATTAATAACTGTATACCAACACCTACCATGAAGCTTAAAACATAGCAAGCATTTGAATATTTGTTGAATAAATTTTAAACTACAGATGCAAAATCCAATATAAAATATACTTTAAACTCGATGACAATTCTTTTACACAATTAACAGTTACTGGAATATACAAATCCACACAATCCTTTCAATGAATGGGGTTTAACTTCATATTTCTATTGTCTTGATTGACACTTCCTTATGAACCCTATATCATGTAGCTTCTTTAAGTGACTGAGGTAACTTTTTTCTCAGGATTCAAAATTTGTGTGACTATTTTGCTTGATTCATTTAGACTAAAATATTTTTTCTACCTCGAGCCATACCCATTTTGCATTCCATTCACAATGCTTACTCATGAAATGTAATAATTACCTGTCTAATGCAAGCTTTTTCATTTCAAAAGCCATTTTCACGTCTTCAATTTCATTTTCCAGGTCTTCAATTTTACTATCAAAGAAGTATGAATAAAAGATTTTCAGCAATATCAGGACAAGTCACTATTGGAATAAATGTATAAAGTAAACCTATTGGAATAAATGTGTAAAGTAAACCTTTGAAAAAAGTAAAATGCATCTATCTAAATAGAGTATTCTATAGGCTCACCACACCAATGTACTTACAGATTTGGTAAACTGATGCCACCTGAGATACTTTGATAAATACCTTATTAAGGGCGAATGCCAAAAGTGCTAATAGGATAATGTACATTTAACTCTATATCCCATATCAACAAGTTCTCAATACATGCATGACAAATTACTTGGGAAATCAAAAGGAAAAACAAGAAGGACAATGTTATAAGACAGATATTGTTATTAAATCTTAGTAAAAATCACAAATAAAATTTAAAATATGACATACGTTTCAATTTGTTTTTCTGGAATGATTTCTTCTGGAGTTTTTTCTTCATCTGCAAAAAATACATTTGTTATTTAATTTTTTTATTTATTGATTTTAGAGAGAGAGAGATAGACAAACATTGATTTGTTGTTCCACTTTTTTATGCACTCACTGGTTTATTCTTGTATGTACTCTGGCTGGGGATTGAACCCACAACCTTGATATATAAGGAGGATGCTCCAACCAACTGAGCTAGCTGGCCGGGGTAATTTTTTGAAGCTAGCAATGTTTTAGAACAGTGCTATCCAGAAATATAATGTAAGCCACAAATATAAACCAAATATGTAATTTTATTTTGTAGTTTCCACATTACTAAAGAAACAAGTCAAAATATTTTTAATATAGCTTATTTAACCCAATAGGTCCAAAACAGTATCATTTCAACATGAAATCAATTTAAAGTTACTAATGAAATATTTCACAATCTTTTCTTCTGTGTGTATTTTAGATTTATAGCCCTTCTCAATGAAGACTAATCACATAACAAATGTTTAACAGTCAGAGCTAGCGGCTACTATATTGGAGAGAATAGCTTTAGAATTATATATATAAAAAAAGAAGGGAGGAAAAGATGAACAAGATCAACATAAAAAATTGACTGTATGTTTATAAAAACTGGACATTAAAATTTAATACCATGTACATGTGCATTAAAAACATACTTAAGAATCAATTTAACAAAATATGTGTATGACCTCTACATTGAACGCTACCAAATATTTTAATGGAAAGACATATCATGTACATGTATTGAGAGTGCCAGCATTGCTAATGTAAAAATTCCCCTATATTGATCTGAAGATCCTAATCAAATCCCATTTAGAATTCTATCAATTTATACAAATTGTTTTACAGAAAAAAAAAGAGCTGATTTTAAAATGCATATAGAAATGCAAGGACCTCGAATAGTCAAAACCACTTTTTAAAAAGATTTTATTTATTTGTAGAGAGAGGGGAAGGGAGGGAGAAAGAAGGGGAGAGAAACATCATTGTGTGGTTGCTTCTCACATTCGCCCCACACTGGGGACCTGGCTGGAAAGCCAGGCATATGCTCTGATTGAGAATTGAACCAGCAACCCTTTGGTTTGCAGGCTGGTACTCAATCCACGGAGCCACACCAGCCAGGGCTCAAAACCATCTGGACAAAGAACAAAATCAGGGGACTTACAGTAGCTGATATCAAGATTTACTGTATAGCTACAGTAATCAAGAGAGTGTGGTACTATTGTAAGCACAGGCAAATGCCTCAAGGGAATACAGGAAAGCGTCCAGAAAGAGACCCACACATAAACAATGGAGACAAGAAAGTCTGCTCAGCAAATAGTGGGGAAAAATTGGATTTCCATATGGAAAAAAATGAAACTTGATCCTTAGCTCACACCATACAGAAAAATTAACTTGAAAATCAGACTTGAATGTAAAACCTAAAACCACAAAACTTCTGGAACAAAACAGTTAGGAGAAAATCTTTGTGACCATGAGGTAGTCACAGATTTCTTAGATAAAAACTCAAACTCAGAGGGTCTAACAATCTAATGAAAAAATGGGCCAAGATTTGAACGGACACGTCATAAAAGGAGATTCATATATACATTGCCAATAAGCACATGAAAAGATAGTTAGCATGATTAGTTAGTAGGTAAATATAAATTAAAGCCACATGAGATACCACTATGTACTTATTAGAACGGCTAAAATTGAAAAAGGTTGTCAGTACCAAGTTTTGAAGAGGATATGGAGTAACTGGAAATCTCATACGCTGCTGAGGGGAATGTACCATAACACTATAATTGCCTTAGCTGTTTGGCAGTTTCTTAAGAAGTTAAACATGTGACCTGCTACTTCACTTTCAGGTATTTAATCAAGAGAAATGAAAACAAATGTCCACAAAAAACAGAAGTACAAATGACAAATGTCCATAGCAGGTTTACTCAAAATGAGAGAAACTGCAAACAACTGAACTGTCCATCAGCAGGTGAATGGATAAACAAATAGTGGTACAGTCATCATGGGACATGCTCCATAATAAAAAGAAATGAATGACTGAAACAAACAACATGGATGAATCATAAAAATACTATGCTGTGTAAAAGTAGCCAGACACATTGGGAATGACTACTAACAGGTCCTAGGTTTCTTTTTAGGGAGGTAGGAATTAGTAGTAATACATTGTTTATATATATGTAGTATTTTTAAAAAAGATTTTATTTATTTATTTTTAGAGAGGGGTAGGGCGGGAGAATAAGAGAAACATCAATGTGTGGTTGCCTCTCACATGCCCCCTACTGGGGACCTGGCCCATAACCCAGACACGTTCCCTAGACTGGGGACTGGCACTCAATCCACTGAGCCGCACCAGCCAGTGCAACATTGTGAACATATTAAAAACTACCGAAATATACATTTTAAAATGAATTTTATGTTATGTGCATTCTCAGTGAAAAGAAAGGTTTCTGACACAAAAAATACATACCATACAATTCCATTTACATCAAATTCTAGAAAAATGCTATTCAATACCACTTTCTGTGATGATGGAAATGTTAAATATCTGTGCTGTCTAATATGGTAGCCACTAGACTTGTTACTACAGCAACTAAAGAACTGGATTTTAAATTGTATTTGATTTTAATTAATTTAATTTGAAAATGCCACACGTAACTAGTACCTACTGAATCGGACAGCACAACTCTTGAAGACAAACCTGCAGTAACAGAAATCAAATTGGTGGTTGCTGGGGGTTAGTGTAGGAAGTGCTGCAAAATGGCTCAAATGAGGTATAACAAATATTCTATATTTTGATATACATTTGTCAAAATTCATCAAATTGTACCCTTAAAATGGATGCACTTATTAAAAAATGCTTCAAGCAATAAAACCTCAGTAATATATTTTTAAATGGTAAAATAATCCCTTTTAGATAAATATCTTCTTTCAAAGACTACAACCTAACTTCTCATGGTCTGCTTTAAATCTGACTTCTCCTTTACTTGTAGAAATTCAACAGTGCAACTACTAAATCTACTCAAGTTTTCAGATGTCACAATGCCTTAAAAATGAAATTATTATAGGGAAAACCAGGACTGACCGTATGAGAAGGGACACTCTCTTATCACTTGATTTGAGCTCTTACATCTTCCTCTCAGAGGAGCCGTCTCGATCACCCTACCCAAAATCGCCCCCGCTGTCACGGCACCATTATTCCTTCCTCACACTCACCGCACTTCATGGCTATCTTGCATGTTTCTTTGCTTACCTGTTTGGCTACAGAGAATTTAAGATTCATGAGGGCCAAGTCTGTCTGGTTCAAAACTGTATCTCCATGCCTCACTCGGCAGCAGGGACACAACGGACACTTAAAAGGAGTGAAATGAATGCAGGGATACCTACAGAGATACTCAGTGGTCCAAACTTTGAATAGTTTTTTTTCTCTACACCCTGTCCTCTAAGATAGATTATCCTTTCCGATTAGGTGGGCTCTCATGCAAAAGCATTAGTATGTTTCTAAGGTAAACACCATAGGTATAATTCAAAAAGCATGAGGTCTGGAAATAAGGGGACCATTAGCTCTGTAAGGGGATGGATAGTGACCTATGGGCCATCTTTGAGGTAAGTGTTATTGCTATAATGGAAGGGTCATGGCTTTGGAGGCAAGAAGGCCTGGTTTATATCCTAGTTCTGTAATTTATTAGTTGTAGTAAGAAGAAAAAAAGTTAGGGGCCCATGTTTTTAGATAAGGTTTCTTCGTTGTTATTTGTTTTTTGCATAAAAAGACTTTAGAAACCTCAGAATATCCAAAGGAAAACATAGCAGAATTGCTGCAGATCTATGGCCTTGAAATAAAACTTCAGCAAAATCTGAAAATTACCTAAGTTCAAACACAGATTCAGCTGAAATGACTCAGATGTCTATGATCTTTATTTCAATAGTATTGAATCACAGTTCTTGATTCAACCTAACATATTATTTGATTTTATTCTTTAAACCTATTTCATAGAGAAAAAATGGTTCACCAAACCTACCTTCATGACCCAAGGAGTTATGAGTCAGGTGGCAATAGGTGGTTACAACTTTAGGAGGACTAAACCCATTATTTTACTACTCTCTCGGTCCCAGAGACTTCTGGATTAACAGTTTTAAAAGATACATGAAAACTTTTTGTGTTTAGAATAAAAAATTGTCACTCATGTCTTGAGGCTAATCTCCCTTTTGCCTCTCATTCCTATTATCCAGCACTTCTCAAAGTGTAGTTCTCAGGTCACCTGCTTCATAATTATGTGATCTGCTAATTCAGCCTTCGAGTTGATGATAGCAAGTTCTATGATTCCTTAAGTCCTCTGGGGTTTCTCAACTCTCTGACCAATAGAACTTAATTGCCTTGCATTGTTATTTGGTTGTTTTATATACATTTCCTGAATCCCTAACTAGTTCCGGAGGGCCCAGGCAAGCCTGCTTTTAGCCTTCTTACATAGTATATAAGATAGCATTATGCTGCCACTCCTATTCCCTAAGTACGTAACTTTTTTGTAAAGTGACTTTTTTTGTAAAGTTGACTTTCTTTTCCCTAGAGTACTGTTACTCATCAAACTCACAAAACTTTATTTGAAAATACAAATATGCCCTGACCAGTGTGGCTGAGTTGGTTGGGGGTCATCCCACAGAGCCAAAGGTCCTTGGTTCAATTCCCAGGGCGGGGCACATGCCTGGTTTACTGGTTTTGTCCCGGGTCAGGGCTTCAACAGAAGCAGCCGATGTTTCTCTCCCTCTCTTTCTCCCTACCTTTCCCTCTCTAAAAATAAATAAGTAAAATCTTTAAACGCCCCCCCGAAAACCCGCAAATACTTACTTGCATCAACCATTGATTTATATTCCAAGAGTTGTTGTTTTGTCTGTGCTCTCAGCCTGAAAACGGATAAAAAGAGAAAGTAATATATTTATTGAGGTTTTACTAATTAGTGTAAGATAAATAACTCATTTTTTGGAAGCTAACACAACAAAATAAGTATAAAGAAACTCAGCATTAAAGTCTTCTGATTTTGCCTCATTTTATTTAAAATGGGCATAAGCAACTTTAAGGCCTCAGAGGAAGACAAACAAATAGAATACAGTAGAAAACAGGATTTAGAAGGAAGAGTTAAAAATTTGATTTTTGAATGTATTCTTTTTGCTTTAGTTTTTTATTGAATTATTGAGTTGATATCGGTTAATAAAATTAAACAGGTTTCAGGCATACAATTCTATAATACATCACCTGTATATTTAAATTTTTTCTTTTTAATTGAACTTATTGGGGTGGCATTGGTTAATAATTATACATATTTAAATTTATTCATAATGGGCCACAGTGAAGTGGGGTTTAATGAGAAATGCTCCGCAAAAAACTACATCAGAATGGGAAAGTCTGCAAACACTGATGAGTTACAACCAGACTGTAAAATGCTCAGGAGATCCAGAAAAATAACAAAGATATTAATTCCTGGATAGATTAGTAATTCATAGTTTCTTAGCTGTCCTATGATTCTACTTAATTCAAAATCATACATAAGTAGAAAAGCTATGGCTAAATGATAATTAGTTAAGTTGTACTTGTGTTTAACACTGACATGGTAGTTTCATAAAATTGAAACTGTTGCTTTGTGACTTTGAGACCTTTTTAAGAAGCTAAGAAGCTAAGAGTCCTGGTTAGCACGGCTCAGTGGATTGAGCGCTGGCCTACAAAATGAAAGGTTGCTGGTTGGATTCCCTGTCAGGGCACATACCTGGGTTGAGGTCCAGATCCCCAGTTGGGGTGTGCAAGAGGCAACTGAATCACTGTATCTCTCACACATTATACTTCTCTCCCTCTTTCTCTCTCCTTTCCCATCTCTCTAAAAATAAATAAAATTTAAAAAAAAAAAAAAAAAGCTAAGACACATTAGACAAATTTCTAAAGTTCCATGGCACAGTTTCTTGTTTCAAAATTCCAAATGAAGAGAACAATTTGTTAGATGTTAATTATGCTAGCATTTTATAAGACATACTGAAAGTTTAGTTCCCTTATATCTTTAATGTTTTAGTATTTTATATTGCAAGTAGGAGGGAACTTTTATTTATTTATATGTTAATTTATTTATTATTTTTTAATTCTTACCAGAGGACATTCTTATTGATTTTTGAGAGACAGGAAGGGAGCGAGAAAAACATTGGAGAAACATTGATGAGTTGCTCTTCTATGTGCCCCAACCAGAGACCTAACCGCCACCTGGGCATGCCCTGACCAGAATCCAACCGACGGCCTTTCAGTTTACGAGCTCAGCTCCAACCGACTGATCCACACCGGCCAGGTCACGAGGGAATTTTTAAAGGGAGCTTGTGAGCTTTATTAGCCAAAGCCCTTCAAAGCAGTGGTGAACTTGGAAAACATTTACAGTGCTTATTTTTTAAAAATCCCCTTGTTATGATTTAGAACAATCTGCAAACTTTTTTTGTAAAGGACCAAAGAGCAAATATTTTAGGCTTTGTGAGTCATATGGTCTGTGTTGCAATTAATCAATTCATTCCTTGTAGCAGGAAAGCTGTATTAAGTAAAATAAGATTTTACTTAAGGACAATGAAATTTGAATTTCATATAATTTTCACGTGTTATTAAATATTCTTCTTGTAAATTTCCCCCCAACCCTTAAAGAAATAAAAACTATTCTTAGGTTGAGGGGTTCACACAGAAACAGGCAGTAATGTGGACTTGATCGTGGTTTGCCCACTGTTTTTTTGAAGATTTATGTCCCTTCTCATCAAATCTTCCCCTAGTAACTGCTTAGTGGAAAGGTATGAAAATCACCCTGTTGGTAGAAAATATAACATAAAAATATACAAAAAACTTCTGGATTGAAAAGGGCTGTAGCTCTAAAACAAAGGGGCGGGGCAACCTCTTCCAGTAGCTCAGGGCTTGGCTGCACTCCACAGCCCGCTCGAAAATCGCGGCCCCAAGCGGGTAAAGGGATAAGAAAGGGAAGGGTAAATTAACAGCTGCGAAGGCTCTAAGGGCACTACGCTGAACGCTTGCCCCAATAAAGTGGTCTCTATTAACCACTTTAGCAACCTTGATAGGAGGGTGTCATTTTTCCCTCCTCTTCTTTTCGAAGACAAAGAACGGGGCTTAAGGAGCTTAATCGAATGGTGCAGTGACACAGCCATTCAGGGACCGAATCTGAATTAGAAACATTCTGGCCATTCAGCGCGAAAGGCGGAGCTCTTTGGACACAGAGCACAGCGGGATGGAGGGAACAACCTGAGCAGCAGGGTCAGTTGGTCCTCGGGATGAGCCTGGGCGCGGGCGCCAGGCTGCGGTCCGCCTTCCTCTCTGGAGTCTGCGGGCGCAGCGGCAGCTTGCTTTTCCAGTTGTTTTTCCATCCTGGTTCCCACAAAGAGCTACTGCGTAGGACCGAAGGATGCTCTCAGAATAGGACGCCTTTCCCGCCACCAAATTGAAGTCCAAAAGGCGCCAGAGAGCCGGCGCGTCCGGTCCTGCCTCTTCCTCCCTGCGGGCCCGCCCCTTCCGTCTTGATCTTGGGTGGCCACAGTTGCCGTTGCTCCTTTTATCCTGGCTCTGCTAGTTTGAAATCGATACAAATCACTAGTACAAGAAGTTTGAAGGACTTTAATTAAGCCCCAGCTCTTCCGAGTGCTGCGCTAGAGGCTGGGCTATAGAGGTTTGGGACACTCCCCGGCGCTGTCGGGAACCGCAGCCTGGATGGTAAAACCCCGACAAAATGCTTATTCAGCCATGGGGTTGGGACATGGAACCTGCGGGACAACCGGGGGTGAGGGGGGTGGGGGGGGTGAGGGTGTGTGTGTGTGTCCGTCCTTTGGCACTCCCTTTCCGTGTGCGTGTGTTTTCATCTGCGTTGGCACTGCCTTTCTGCGGCCTTGGAAAACCGTAGACTGGGAAAGAGAAATATTACAGGGTTAAGAAGACTTTGATCTGAGCTCATAAGGTCCAGACACCGCGTTTGGCTGAGAAACAAGTGGCCCAAGTTCAAAGACACCACGCCCCGGCGAGGAAGGACAGATACTTGAACTTGACATCCAGCGCGAAACTCTCGTATCAGTAAAATTCGAACTCGTAACAGAAGAATTAGGTGCCCCCAAGTGTCAGGTTGGTGATTCGACAGCTTACAATTAAGCTTTCCTAGCTGGCCAGTGAGCGGGTAATAGAGGAAACGCAGGACCTATACCTGCCTGGTTGAGCTATAGTTTTTTCATTAGGGACGGCGGTGTAAGGGACACTGTCCTTGTGGCACAAGCCCAGCAGCACGGATCTCTTTTAACCTTTCCATAGCTATTTCCCAAGTTATACTTGCTCACATGGCTCCCCTTTCTTCTTTTTTTTTTTTTAAAGATTCCATCCACTCATGTTTAGACAAAGGGAGGAGAGGGAAAGAAACATCAATGTGTGATTGCCTCACATGCGTCCCCAAATGGGGACCTGACCCACAACCCAGGCATGACTGGGAATGGAACCCTGACCCTTCGATTAGGAGGTCTGCATTCAATCCACTGAGCCATACCAGCCAGGGCGCTTTCTCTCCTTTATTAAATACAGCTCCAGGTAAGATTCAAAAGTCACTATAGGATGTAAATAATGACGTTAGGTTCGAAGCTCTTATCTCCAAATTCCTGAAAGAACATTTTGTTTCCTTTTATTTTTTGTTTTATACAAAGTGATCCTGCTCTTTTTCTACTTTAGCCAAGATGTCTTACAAAATCAGTCTCATCCTTTTAAGCAATTGGCTATCATGTCCACTGGCCAAATTTGGGACAAAGACAATGTAGTAGTTCACCAGTCTGAGCATTCATCAAAATCACTGGTTAAAACAGATTAGGTGCCTAAGTCACTGAGTTGCATTTCTAACAAGTTCCAGGTGATACAGATATTGCTGGTTGGGGACAGTACTTTTAAGAACCACTGCATTAATGGGTTTTAACAATTTCTTTTAAGAAAATTTCAGGTTAAACAGAAGTGCACTTCAGTCTTCTCTGGCTTAGGAACACCAGAAAGCACTTCAATAATACATTTGGGGGCCGCTTTAGATGGCAAAATTACAAAAATAAGATAAAAATTTAAAAAAAGTTACAAACCTAATCTCCAATGCAATTAAAAATCACCAACAAAAAGATCTCTGACCAAAAAAATAGTATTTTTTAATCCTCTCCTGAGGACATGTTTATTGATTTTAGAGATGAAGGGAGGGGTGCAGGAGGGGAGGAGGAGGGAAGAGAGACATACATAGATCTTTTACCTCCCATACTTACCCCAACCAGGGATTGAACCCCCAACCTAAATATGTGCCTTGGAGGATGCTCACCAAGGTTGTATGAGAATCCTCCCATACAAACTTGGTGTATCGGAAGATTCTCCAACCAAGCCACCTGGCCAGGGCCTGACACATTCTAAAAAGAAACTACTCAGAAAATGAGCACTTAACTAACCCCCAGACCAAAAAGGACCACAAAAGAAATGATAACCAGAAACTGATGAAAAGGAGTACTTCAGAAACAAGCTTTCTCAGAGGAAAAAGTAAAGGCTTTTATTATTAAAATACATTAAGTATTTAGGTTAAATTAGAAAATAGCCAATAGAAAAACAGATGGTGAGAATTAACATCAAAACTAAAACTATAAAACAAAGATGGTAGAAATGATAACACCAAACATTGATTCTTTCAAAACACCAATAAAGAACAACGTCCTGGCCAAGTCTGATTAGAAAACCAAAGCATTTAATATCAGGAATGAGAAAGAAAACACAAAACCATAATATAGAAAAGATTAATTTTATCATGCACTTCTATGGTTGTAAAAATCTAGGATGGATAATAAAAATGGAAAAAAGATCCATAATAGACCAAAATACCATGGTCAAATAACTTTTAGTTTTCAATGAACAAATAAGGACTTCAAATTATAAAGACCTGAAGGTGAAAATCTCTTTAATCTACCTTTGAGCTGGTAAAGTAAAACCCCAAAGTTGGCAGCAACAAAAATGGAACCAATTACCCAAGTGAGATGCCAAATTTTTTAAATGAAACAGCTTAAATCTATATATCATGAGCAAGAATTCATTCCACTTTTGGAAATCTCTAACATGGATTATTACATCAAATAGAGAAAAACCCTAATGATACAAGTCGAAAAAGTAAATGAAATTCTATAGCTTTGCCTATAATTCTAAGAGAATAAAAAATTCTACCTATTATCAGTGATTATTTTGGAGATTATTATACAATAAATACCATAAACACTGAGAAATAAATTTTTTGGATTTAAGGCCTAGAAAATGCCACTAAGAACAAATCAAGAAAATTGATATCAGCTGGGTAAGAAAATACACTTAGCAATAAAAAATAAAGTAGAAATTAGGTTCCACTCATAATAGTGGCAGAAAACTTAAACGCAGTAATACATTTGAGTTGGAGGGGTGGCAAAAGGGGAAAAACTGGGACAACTGTAATAGCCAAAACAATAATTTAAATCCCCCCCCAAATAATTTGGCAACCCGTCATGCAACACATGTTCATGGGGAACCTGGTGCTAAGCCATTTGTAGTCGAACAAATCCCCCAAAACTTGACAGGGAAAGTGTAGCAATTATGTAATTAAATCCTAACATTGTATTTAAGGATATGCAAGAAGACTTGATAAAAACACTTCTGAGTAGGAACAATGTCAGTCCGTTTCAACATAGGACATAATGTACCATAATGTACAAAACAATTTTAAAGTTCCTACGTGTTTGAAAATTGCCCCCACATATTTGAAAAATAGTGGTGGGCTCATCTTACCAGAGAATGTAGTTTTACATTGTTAGCCCAGAAAAAAACAAGTAGACCAGGGAGCAATAGACGGACATTGGTATTTCAGTTCAGCTGGACAAGGTGATTTTAATCATATGGTACTGCCACAAATAGGCACCCATCTGGAAGAATCTGACCTTATGCCACAGCAATTAGAAGTCTAATAAGACAAATTTTTAGTTTTTAAAGATATTTATGGTTTTGGGATACCTTACCAATGAAAATCCAAAAGCAACTGCAGAAAAAAAAAAAGATTTGATAATATAAAAACTGTGTCTGCATGGCAAAAAAACAGCATTAACAGTCCAAGGGTAAATAACAAACCAGGAAAGCCTTGCATAGTGTTAAGTTAGTAGACAACAACAATTTATTCAAGTAGCCATTGGAAGTATAAATTAAAACAACGAAGTAGAATTTTTTTTTTTGCCAAATCACAGAAATTGAAGACAATGATTATCTTTAGTTCTGGCAAGAGTGCAGAGAAAACAAGCGTTTTTGCACATTGCTGATGACATTAAGAAAGTCATCTGGCAGCACCCCCTAGAAGTGAGAACACACATACCCTTTGGAGAACCCAGTGTGCATTAATAAAAAAGAGATGGTATATAATATTTAAACAGCATAGGAGCAAATAAGCAATCTGAATGTCAACAGAATGATTGAATATATTATGGTATACCATGCAATGTATACCAAAATCCAGGTAAGGCCTTTACATGTTAAAAGGAAATGCTGATAGAACAATCAAATTTTTTAAAACCTCCACAACAATTTACATGCATGTCTATATTTATAGAAGTCAGGAAAGGATATATCCCAAACTGCTGATACTGTTCAGGTGGATGGGACTGAGATGTAGGAAAGTTTGGGGAGAGGTAAAATAAACTTTTAAAGATACTTTTGTATGTTTAATAATGAGCCTCTTTCATTTTCTCAACCAATAAAACAAAAAGTCAAGTAGGTTTAGAATACAGATTGGCGTTCTTATTTTTCCAAGTTAAAAGTTGATACTAAATTTGGTAACTTAAGAAATAGTGGTAAAGTTAGGTTATTAGAATTATGGTAGCAACCACCAGAAGAAACAAAACAGGGGGACTAGGGATGAGGTAGACTTTTACTTAAGTAGAACAAGGCAGCAAATTCTCCAAGATAACTGGGCTTACATGCAGTATGCCCTGTGGAAATAAGAGTTTTGAATGCGTTCATGACCTCAGTAATTGCTATTAATAAAGTAAAAGTCAGGTTCATAAAACAAGAATTACATAAGCAACAATTTTATATATATATATGTATATATATATATTAGTTGGGTTCTCAGGTTAACTGAAAGCACTTTCATATCCAACATTCCCCACCATATCTATAAGACACCTTTTAAGGTACCCTATAATAGGAAATAGCCACATTCAAATGAACTAAAGTATAATAAGTAAAAAGGACCATAGCTTTATTAAAAGTAAGTAAATGTAACATATAATATATACAGATAGCACATGGTGCCAATTGTATTTGCAGATATTACAGTATTCCAACTCAAGTTCGCAAGTTACACCTTTGCCACAGCCTTGGCTAAATCTTGAACTAGTGCAGAATTCAGCTGTGCTATAGTGCTGATCTTAGCATGCTTAGACGCGGCATACTTGTTCTTGATAGTCTGCAAAAGAAAAGTACAGAAATTAATGGAGGAAAGCCAGGTATTCAGGTTCTTAGAAATAAGCTATGCATTTGCAGGCATGAAGTCTTAATTATTTTCACTTTTCCCACACAACATCCTGAAATGTCACTGATGGACTTACCATGTGCTTTGTAAGCCCACGATTCACCATGACTATATTCTTAGCAAGGTGTTGCATAACAGCAAGAAGGGATTCTTCAGTGTATGACAGGTAATGCTGTAGAACTGGTGTCTAAGACAATAATAAATAATGTTAAATGAGTTAACGTTAAAAATGTTCATCAACAATGGTTTTCATAAAATTTATAGATGTTATTCAAGAATAAGGTAGGGAGATAGATACTGTGTGACTGATTATAACTGAAGTTTAAGACAAGCTTAAGACCCCCTCTTCCCTACTCTTCTTTCATGCTTCTCTAGTATCCTGTGCTCAAACCAATATACTTTTGTACTGCTGACTTGTCTACCCCAAACCTAGATCCAAATTCCTTAAGGCCCACTTTCTCATTCATAGTTCTATTCCTAGGCCTAGAGTAGCACATGGCATACAGAAATTCTTGTTGAATCAATGAATATGAATGAACTTGCAGGATGCCATTTGACCTGCTTGAACTTTTCCACCTGTAAGGAGTAGCAGGTACTCTGCCTTTCTCAAAGGGATAGAGAAAGATGAAATCAGGTAATGAAATGAAAGCATTCTGTGAAGACATCACAAACAGGATATCATCTTTAATCACTCCCTCCACAGATGCCAGATTTAGGAACCATTTGAATTGTCCTTTAATGAAAACAGTTCTGTACTCAGGCAAATACTATTTACAATTTACAAGCTTAGGGCAACCTAGGTCTGTGAGACAAAGCTTACCCATTCACCATTATCGAGAATTTTCAGTGCTAAACAAAAAGCTCCTGCTGCAATCTGAGAAGGAGGAAAGTGCACCATGTCGTAGTCTAACATACTTAGTTCCATCAGGTATTTGGCCAACGTATGTTGTTCCACATCAACCTGGAACAAAATCCACACACAGGTCACTGAGCTGTCAGGAAATTTTGCCTTGGCAATAACCAGTATGCCCATAACTGTAACCACAAATGTTTATCTATAAACTCTCAAGTGCAATTGCCCATGGAAGGCCTTAATAATATTAACATACAGCCAGACTGGAAATAATTATGTTTATCCCTTCCCCATGTAGTTAGGTGTGTCAGTTGAATTGTAGCTGCTTGGTCAGCAGCATTCTCTAAAGTTCCACACCAGAGGTTTCTCAAGGGATCTATACCTCTCCAATCTTAGATGCTCTCCGAAGGAAATGCAGGGGTAGAGGGCGACCCAGACTAAAGTTTAAAGCTCTCAGAATCTTCATTTCCATCTGTCTGATTTGGAGCTTAGTGTAAGTATTGTCAGTCACAAAGGCAAAGTCACCAATTTCTGGAGGGTACATTTCTTCATATTTGCTTGCAATAAACATGGCAGTGACACCAACCAGCTGCAGCATCTTCTTGGGCACCAAATTATTCTGCAATGGGAATTTCAACTGGATGAATAATAGGTCCTTGAAAAAGGAGACACAGCTATGAAAGAGGAGGGAAAGACATATTCCCAGAGCAAATTCTCTGACACCCTATCCCCCAAAATAGATTTCAGCTGAAAAGGTCTGTTTTTTATAACTCGGTTAGGACCCTGGAAGGGAGACCCCTTGATTACTGAACTGTGCTTACCTGCATAAACCGATCAATGATGGAAACAGTCATATACATGGTCTCCTGCAGTAATCTGAATTTCATTTGAACCTGTACCAGCCAGTCGATTAGGATGGCTCTCATGTTTCCAGTGACTTCACGACCCAGAAGGTATTTTGGTCTGACTGCTTGCTCTTCCTACAAAAGAAATGCTGCTTTTTTATCAGAAGACGACTCCATGTGACATTTCTAATCAGAAATATTAGTTACCACAGAATAGCTTTGGGAACATTTGGAACCTCCAACAGCCCTTAACTTAATTATTCTTAGAGTCACTACAAAAAACACACAAACATTAAGTACGACAGTGGGGCAGGTTTTTTATATTGACAAATCTTGTGTTCAGCTCACCATCGCCCCCTTCTGGCCCACAGTCTGCACCTACTTCCTCCCAAATGAAGATACACTACCATTATCTCCAATCTTTTCACCTACAACTGTAAACCCAGATTCTGAGCTTTATGGAGAGAAAAATAGCAGCAGATCACAGATTAGCTCAAATCCGTGTGCTACCCTTCTCCTGCCCCGGGGTTTAAATCCCCAAAACACCATACAGAAGGAGAGTGAACGGTCAAGAACCAGTACGTCCATCTGCTAAATCTGCTCCTCCAAAATTAGTAAACAAACTAAAAAGGGAGAAGAAACCCAGATGGTCCTGGCAAGGAAGTCATCTTATAGGACAACGGTGTAGAAAATAGAGATGCCCTGAAGAAACAAGCAAGAGGCTGAAGATGTTAATGATGCCAGGGGAAGAGCATGCATTATAAAAAATTGGGTAAATCTGGTAACTGTATAGCTTACGTTGTTAGCATACAGAATGCTTCCTTTTTGCGGGCAAGAGGACAAATGCTGCTAATGGGAAGTTTCAGGAGTGGGATGAAATAAAAGAGAACTAAAACACTTAGTTTTTGAGTGGACTCTTCTGAGATGCAAAGAACAGCTTCACGGCCACATTGACCCACAAAATGCCTTGTGTTTAGGTGGCTAGTGTTTCCAGAGTTTGGGACTCGCCACCTTCTAAGTGTGATGGATATAAATATATCATTCAATCTGTGGAGTTTCCGTTAGAAAGAGCCATGGTATTATCTACTTTCACTTTAAAATTTCCCCATTCGAAATGGCAAATTAAGACTTCATTGGTTTGTTCAGTGACTTTTCTTTTTTCTTTTCTTTGGTATTCCATGACAGAGAATTTGAAAGTGGAGTCTGCTATTAAGAAATGTTTCTCTTGCCTTCTGCTTGAATTATTGTAAACTGTTAATGGCAAATATCTTTAATAAATCTAGATGCAGTTTAGAAAAAGCAAAGATTCTAATCATAATACTGACCTCTAGTTGTCTCAGATAAGTATAGATATCTTTCACATATTCACTACAAAGGTTTGGATCGGCTCCATCTTCTGCATCCACATCATTCACTGCAAGAATTACATCAGAGAAAGCCTGACACAGATATTCTTCTGCAGGGGCACAGCCAGATGTTTCCATTGGGCTTGGAGAGGGAGTGTCAACCTTAAAACAGAGAGACCTTTTGAGCTAATAGCAAAGAGGAGCATACAATCTGGAAATAAAGATCAGATTATTGGTACCAGCTCAAGAGACCACTTGCTGAGTAGTCATGCAATTCATTTCCTTAAAGATCAAGTATCATCTTTTAAAATTTATTCAATTTCTTTTTAGGAAGTGATTAATATGAAAAGTGAAATGCCTGCTTGAAGTCTGCAGAACCTAAATGCTAACGGGTAAAAAACAGAGAAGTAAATAAATTCAGATTCTGGACATTCCTCCAAAGGAGACTGATAAATAATGAATATCTTTATCAGTGTCATTCATGTGACATTAATCCAAATGAATGGCAAAAGTCAGTCTTTCGTCTTTATTTCAAAACATGGACTACTTGTCACTGCTCAAGAGAACACAAGCTCTGTCCTATTAATTACTACCTGATGTCATTAACCATTTCCTTCAAACTCCAGCTACCCCCTTGTTCACTAATGGATCATTTTCTTCAAGCTACCCTCTGTGCTAGGCACTAACTTAATGATGTTCTCCAGGGGCTTTGAAGTGGAGTTAAGGAGAATGATTCTAGGAACGATGGTTGGGGTGGGGAAAGTTAGGTAAATCTTCAGGAGTTGATAGCCAAGATGTTTCGAAGGATGCAAAGATTATTAGCTAAATGAGAGTGGGGAACACATTTTTAGCTAGTGTGAAAGCAAAGGCAAAAATCAATATGGGACTTTCAAGGGAAGCACCAGTAGTTTGGAATGGCCAATTAAAGACCTTGCATGCTACAGGTTTCCTGTGCTATGCCCAGAAAGCCAATACTAAAGCAATAGCCTTGAATTTTATATCCTTATATATAAGAAGACTGGCTGAATGACTTTTACAGATTTTCCCAACTGGTTTTACTAAGTTTTTAAAACTAGAGCTTCAGAACACATTTCACTGTAATTTCAGCAAAGTAGCCTCCTCCAGATGGCCTGTTTTCCCTTCAAAGTAGATATATTTACCCTAATACTTAATAGAAAGTTCTTGGTTTTTGAGGCTGTTAACTAACTTATCTTTTTACCTAATCTCTAAAGAACTATATTTTCTTTCTGCTTTACACCCATTACATGTTATAGGCTTATTAATTACTCAGTGGTCATATTAATGAGTAAAAAAAAGATTCAAGGGAACAATCTATGTTTCAGTCAATAAATTCTGACCAGAGAGAGCTTGTACCAAAGGCAGCTTAATCTTTGGTCGAGGCAGCTACTACTCAATACCATCAACAAAATGATTAAAAGCATAGGTTCTGGCCTTGGCCAAGTGGCTCAGTTGGTTGGAGCATCATCCTGTAAACCAAAAGGTTGCTGCTGGTTCAAGCCCCAGTTGGGGCTTGCAGGGGAAGAAACTGATCAATGTTTCTCTCACATTGATATTCTCTCTCTCTCTCTCTCTCTCACGTCGATAAAAACTTCCTCAGGTGAGGATTAAAAAAAAAAAAAAAAAAAAAGGCATAGGTTCTGAAGCCAGACAAACCTGGGTTTGAATCCAGTACGTGCCACCGATTTGATATGTCTTTAGATCATACTTTAACACTTCTTTAAGCCATTATTTACAAAGTAGAATACTACTAGCTAAGAGAGTATGAGATTATGTGAGTTAATGCATTTAAAGTGCTTAGCAGAGTATAAATGTTACTATTATTACTATTTATTCAAATACTATTCCATGCATTAGAGTAAAATGAGATTCGTTAAAAAAAATCAACAGACTCTAAAATAATAAAATAAGTTTACCAAAATAGGCTCGGGCGAAAGTTTTTCTTCTTTAACAGGCTCAGGTTCTGGTGCCAGCGCTGGCGCCGATTCCACCACAGGCACCGGCTCAGGCTCAGGCTCGTGTGCCTTTTCCAGAGGTTTTGGTAGTTTTTTAGCAATAACTTTTCCAGCAGTTAAAGGTTTTGCCTCCTGTGGATGAATGGGAGAGAATAGGATGTTTCTCAATCCAGGGTCACAGTTGGAAGGTGGGCCTTTATAGATACGTTCAATCAGGAAAATAGTTACCTTTTTCAGGGGCAATTTGGCCTGTGGCTGTTCACTGACGTTGTTTCCGATGTCTCCAAGTGCCGTTCTTGGCCGCAGTCCGACCTTGGAGGCTGCAGCAGTGGCCACAGGCACGCGCTTTGCGCCTGCCACACTGATCTTCGCCTTATTCTCAGCATTGATTTTTGTGTTCTGAAAGAAGCAAGGCCACTTTGAGAGCCGGTCCAGCTAGGTTAGACTAAGGGGTTAAAAGGAGCCAAGAGAGGCTCCGGATGGAAGTCCGCTGTGAGCCACGGGAAACCTGGGTTGCAGGGTCTACGCTAAGACTATGACAAGTCAGTTTCCTCCCTGAACCTCTTCACTCAGATGGAGGAACTGCCCATTTTGTTCCGGATAGCCCTAAAATACCATTAATTTACATTTGAAAGGAAATAAAAAATGTCTCCAATAGCCGGCACTTTCTCCTTCCGGAAGCGAGTTAACGTAGTTGGTGGGAACTCACACAGGGGGCCTCCATTACCTTTTAGAAAAGGTTGCTCGTCGACCCTCTACCATCCCCCCGCCCCTCCTTCCATATTTATCCAAGGCCCATCCAGGTCTCTTTGTCTCCTTCCTCTCTTCGTTGGTCAGACGTCCAAACTCCCCTACAATGCCAGGGGCCCACCGACACTCCTATCTTCCTCCCCAAGTCTCTGCCCTGGTCTGCTCCCGCCCGGGGGGCTCCGGCAGGCGAGATGAGAACAAGCAGCGAGAAGGACCCCGTTTGTTTCCCGTCCGCAGCAGCAGCTCACCCTGGTGATCCGGAGCGCCATGGTTTCCTCTTCACCAGGTAGCAGCTCAGTGGGGAGAAGCAGAAAACGGGAACCCCCAGACAAGCCGGGGACCTGAATCCAAGACAGATCAACAACCGTTCCTCCGCAGCACGCTGGGAGATGCAGGGCTCAGCCTCAGATTTAAACCCCGCACCTCTCCCTCCTTATTGGCGGGTTCGTGGCACTCGCTCCCTTCCCATTGGCGGCTGCCCATTCCCCCGAGAATGCGTTTCCAGGGCGATCCCGCGACGGAGTTCGAGAGGAGGCGGGGCCAGAGCAAGGTTTGGTCGCGGGGCCTGGGTCCAAACTTGGTCTGGCTCCGCGTCTGCGCTCTCGGGTATTTGAGGCAGTAACCTGAAGAGGTCAGGTCAGGCCTGGCCTAGCCAGGCGAGCTGTGCGCCCCGCCCCGCGATGTAGCCTAGGGGAAAAGTGGCTTTGGAAAAGTGACAGTGGAGCAGCCACTATCTGAGTGGCAAAAGAGGCACTTACAGCTCTAGTCCTACTTATTGTTTCAGACTTCATACATATGGAAATATATATGGTGGTATATAGCCAGAAAGGCTTTGATATGCATTCTTTCATTTGATCTTTCCAACAGCACTCTGGAGGAACTGAAGCCCAGAGAAGCTTTAGGTTGTTTTTCAAGGATCACAAACTAGTAACGTGGGTACTAAATGTAATTTTTCTTTTTCTTTTTTTGGGGGGACCTAGGGTGGGGGGAGGCTGTGGGAAGGGGTATCTGCGATATTTCCGCAAGGCTAATTGTATCATAAGAATCTTGTCATTTTCTTAATCTCCCAGATTCCTTCAAACAAATTGTTTTCCAAAGACAATCTTTTTCTTTTAGCTTTTCGAGAATAATTTCAAACTTAGGAAAATTTCAAACAAAAATATTATATACACACGTATACTCTTTACCCAGATTCAACTGTCCTGAGCATTTTACCCCATTTTCTTCATCATTTACTTAATCTCTCTCTTTCTCTGTATAAACTGTATGTTTTCTTTTCCTGAAACATTTGAGAGGAAGATATATATACCTTTTATCTTTTAATTCTGCTGTATGTATTTCCTAAGAAAAAGAGATGTTCTGTTACAAAACCATATACAGTTCATAACTTCAAAATTTTACTTTATTATATTTTTATGTCCGAGTCCTTTTTCCTTTACTTTATTATAATACTTTATTCAAATATTATAATATAATATTCCACTTTGTCAGTTGACTTAATAATATCCTTTATAGCATTTTTCCTCCTCCAGTACATGATCCAGTCTAGGGTCAGATGGTACATTTAGTTATCATGCTTCTTTAGGCTCCTTTAATTTGGAACAGTTCCCACAGCTTTTCTCTGTCTTTTATAACATTGATGTTTTTAAAGAATATAGCATCCTTTTTTAAAAAAAACATTTTATTTATTTAGTTTTAGAGAATGGGTAAGGGAGGAAGAAAAAGAGTGAGAGAAACACAGATGAGATAGAGAAACATAGATCGGCCTCTTGTATGCACCCCTACTGGGATCGAACCTGCAACCCAGGCATGTGCCCTGACGGGGAATTGAACCAGTGACATTTCAATTTGCGGGATGATGCCCAACCAACTGAGCCACACAAGTTAGGGCTACTTAATAAAAACAGAACTTTCTTATTTTTGTTTTTGTTTGTTGGTTTCTTGTGATTTGAATAGAGATTGTGCATTCTTAAATGTTATATCATAGCACATCTTCTTAGGGGATCAACTCTGCAGATGCATGATTTCATCTGTCTACCATAAATGAGATTAAATTTGATCACTTGGTTAAGATGTTGCCTGATTTCTTTACTGTATATTTACTCTTCTTTTAAAATTGCATCTAATTAATTGTTTGCTAATAAATTTAAGACCATGCTTCTCATCAAATTTCTCCCTAGATTTCACATTCCCTCACCATAGCATTTGCTTAGGAACTGTTGAAACTGGTGTTTCATTGCCATGGGCTCCAACTAGCTGAAGCTGATTAAAAACAAACTTGGAATGACTCTAGGATGCCAAGCCTTTGCCAGACTTAATGGAAGACCCCTTCCTGACTATTGCACTGTGGAAATTCTTTTAACCCAGTAATTCTCAACTGAAGGACATTTTATCCCACAGGGGACATCTGGCAATGTCTGGAGACATTTTTAGTTGTTACAACTGGGAAGGTGCTAGTGGCATCTAATGGTCAAAAATCAGAGGTATTGCTAAACATCCTATAATACACAAGACAGCTGCCACCCCCCATGCTCCCAACACAAAAAATTCTCCAGCCCCAAATGTCAATAGTTTGATAGCACAAAGCTTAAGAAATCTTGCCAACTATGTACAATTATATACATGGACTCATTTCTAAACAGAATGATAGTTATGCTCAATTAGCATTAGTTCCATAGATTACCTCCTTTCTTTATAACACTTATAAACTTTTCACTTTCCTCCTCAGTAAATTACTCAGTGTTCTCTCCCTTGGCCAACTTAACAGTGTGAACAATACGTACCAGACACTGTTCTAGGTGCTAAGAATACAGCTCTGAACAAAATAGAAAAGATCCCTGCTCTCATAAAGCTTATATTCCAGTAGGAGAGAGACAAAACAAGTAAATAAGTAAGTAGAGTTAAAAAAGAAATCAGCTAGTACTGAGTGGTAGGCAGAGAATGAAAAGAAAATGATGCAAATAGAGTGACTTGGTAGCTATTTGTACTTTAGACATGGTGGTCAGGGACAGTCTGAGAAGGTGACATTTAAGCTGAGGCTTAAATGACAAGAAGAACATTTCAGACAGAGAAAACAGGCTGTGAAAACCCAATGATAGGAATTAGCTTGTCATGTTCAGAACAGCTAGTGTGGCTAGAGTTTGGAGGAGGGAGGTAGTGCAGATAAGATTAAAGAAATTTGGAAGGGTAAAATTATACAAGGTAATTGTAAATTAAGATGAAGAATCTGGGCTTTTTGTGAAGTGGAACCTTTTGGAAGATCTTAAACTAAGGTGTAGCATAACCTATCTGTGGAGATACTGTATGTGGGTGAGAAGGAGGAGGGGGAAGCAGGAGGTAAAGATTCAAGGAGAGCCATGAAGAGGCTATTGTAGGAGGCCAGGAAAAAGATGATGGCTTGGATGGTTCTGGTAGTGCTGGACAGAAAGGAATGGTCTTTAGAAATATTTTGTAGGTAGACTTGATGGGTCTTGATGGCTTGCGTGTTTAGAGTGCAAGAAAAGGAATCAAGGATGACTCAGATTTTGGCTTGAGTAACTGAAACAGAGAAGATGGAAAAATGAGCAGCTTTTAAAGGGTAGCAGGTTTGGGGCAGGAGATCAAGAATTCTGCTACATTTGGAGACGTGGCTGGGTAGGTCCGTTGATTAGAGTGTCATCTTGATATGCCAAGGATGCAGGCTCAACCTCTGGTCAGGGCACATACGAGAAGCAACCAATGAATGCATAAATAATGGAACAACAAATCAATGCCTCTCTTTCTAAAAAAATTGTTATTTAAAGAATTCTGCTACATTTGGAATGCTTAGAGATATAAAAAGGAGGGGACCATTAGGCAGAAGTCAGGGTAGGAGCTAAATTCTCCCTTTCTGTAGATAATCCTGACACAGGTGAGGTTATCTAGAGAAGGAATATAAAGAAGAGTAGATGTCCAGGACAAATCCCAGAGCCCTCCACATTTAAAGATTGAACAGATGGGGAAGACGCCAGTGCAAGAGCGCTGGAGAGGTAGGAGACCAAATAGTGGTAGGTGAGAAGAGAAGGTAGTGTTGCACAGAGGAGATAGTGGTATAACATGGCAGGTTGAATATACACGTTTATTGTTTCTTCCTGAAGGTACTAAGGGGATCTTTTTTTAATTTTTTTTAAATATAATGTGCTGACTTTCTGAATACGTTTAAAAGGATAAATAGTCCTTTCAATGCAAAGGAAAAGAGCAGACATTGCTCTAGCACAGAGTCAAAGCCAAGGGAACTATGAAGCACACTTGGGTGTTCACTGTGCCTTAAAGGGATTATTTTAAAAAATGCATAAATTCTCAAAGGTATGGGAGGAACAATCATGGCACCATTTTGGAAGTAGGAAAGTGCATGGAAGAGCGGTAATGAAAATGACAGACTGAGACAGTTGCAACCTAAGCTGGCAGTGCAATGCCAAGAAGCAAATTGATTCGTGCTGTAGACTTCAGCAAGCCTCAGGAATTGGAGGTACCAGGAGCCCATAAAATCAGTGCTATAGGTGGAGCTGAAAACAGGATTGGTTGATTCCCTACTGCAAATCTGAGCACAGTGAGAGTGCAACCTCTTCCTGGTCCTGGCAGATGACTGGAGGTGTATGTTTTGCAGAGGCTGAACTAAAGGGATTCTGGATTTTGAACACCAGGAAAGCATATGGAGATGAAGTGAAATTCTCCATACCAAATGGTGATACCTTTAGTTACCTTCTTCCACTCAGTCCCCTAAATGCAGGAAGCTGGACTTATACCCTCATAAATGAGATAAAAATATGAGATATAAGAAAAATCTTAAAAATACTCTAGGGAGGATGTCCGATGAGCTTGCATCTAAATAAAACAAAATAAAAATACCTGGGAATAAATTTAACCAAAGATGTAAAAGACCTGGAATTGAAAAATTACAGGACAGTGAAGAAAGAAATTGAAGAAGATACAAATAAGTGGAAGCATATACTGCGTTCATGAATAGGAAGAATTACCATGATTAAAATGGCCACACTACCCAAAGCAATGTTCAGATTCAATGCTATTCCTATCAAGATACCAATGGCATATTTCACAAAACTAGAAGAAATATTCCTAAAATATTGTGTAGAACCATACAAGACCCTGAATAGCCACAGCAGTCTTGAGAAAGAATAAAGTTGGAGAAATCATGCTACCTGGTATCAGACTATACTACAAGGCCACAGTAATCAAAATAGTATAATATTGGCATAAAAACAGATATAGATGAATGGAACAGAATAGAAAGCCAAGAAATGAACCTATGCCTTTATGGTCAATTAATATTTAACAAAGAGTCAAGAACATACAATGGGGTAAAGATAATCTATTCAATAAATGGTGTTGGAAATATTACACAGGTACCTGCAAAAAAAAAAAAAAGAAAAGAAAAAAGAAAAAAAGAAAAAGAAAAAGAAAGTAGAACACTTTCTTACACCAAACACAAGGATAAACTCAAAATGGATTAAGGACTTAAATGTAAGCCTTGCAACCATAAAA